TTTGCTTATTTCAAAATATCACATGTGTTCAAACATTTATATTTATACCACATTTCTTAATAACAATATAATATGCTTATCGCTTATAATAGAACATACTAAACCCTTTGAATTGCAAAAATAATTCATCAATAATTGCTTTTTAATTTAGACCAATAAAATGTATGAAAAATTACAATTTATAATAATTTTACCAATTAAATATATCATATAGTCCAAATTCCATCCATAAAATATGTTCAGAAATATACCAATTCAATTGTTTACCTAGGAATATTAATAATTGATTTAGTTGAATTCCATTAAAAATTGAATCAATAAATTGTGTACCTATCTTATATATATTTTTGAAACCTACATGTATGTATGCTATATTAAGTATACATGAAATATATGATTAAAGGGTCTAATGTTATTTTTAAATTGATTATATTAATTTTAAGCATGAATACTTCAGTAGGTAACTAATTCATTTCATTTATAGAAAGATGACACTTACGTTTTTCCGATTTAATTTCTTCCTCTTTTTCTACTAATGACCTCTTTAAAGCTTCTGGTTCTTTAGATCCCTGAGTATCCATAGCGTCATAATCACAGCCATCCTTACACTTTGTTTCTTCAGTAGTACAAGCAGAAATATTTTTCGCAGCTACATTAATCGACACATTTGTAGATGATTGAGAAACAAATCGAGATGTTTTTGGTTTTTCTTCAGTTTCGACAGGTTTTCTATAAATAGGGATTTGTAATATTAAAATATTTTATTGGCAAAACATATTTATTTTATACGTTTACTTGGTGATAATACTTACGAATCGTTTGTCATGCTAGTGATGTGTTTCTCGGCTATTTTCTCGTTATTCTCATCTTGACAAGTAGACGAATTCTTAAAGTGGACATTACTCATGCTGCTGAGACTTATTGTCAACAAGGGTATATACTCTATACTCTATTGATTGTAAAGTGTAGCAGTGACAAAAAATCGTAACGACTGCAATATGGCCAGCTACGTTCAGTAATCACGTGTGTCGTACCTATCACTACTGGCTGGTGGTATTATAATAATTATATGATAAATATGTGACGAGTACTGACACGCATGCGCAATAGACACCTAATCAGTCCCCTTATCACTCGTTAATAATGTTGTCTTCAACTCGTAATACGTGTTTATTATGCTGCAAGTCTATCCATAGCATGGTAAATTTAGCCATGTAGCTATAGTATAATATGTGATTATTATTACTCTAAGGTGTGATCTAAGATTACTATAAAACCATTATCATTATCACTTACAGCTTATCACCACTATAGACCTATAAACATATGGATAGCGCTTTCTTTACCGCCTTACCATAACAGAGGAAATCATGGAAGAAAAACTAATCTTTTTTCCATTTACATTGATAAACGACTGCTTCCGTTGATAACTACCTCGAAATCAAACATTCGAATATTATCAAAGTAATTCTCGAACGTCCATTTTATTTCTTAATTAATTTTTAAATAATTACCACCGAAAATTTTCTATTTTAAAAAAATTCAACTTTGTACCATTTTTCTATGATAACAGTATAGAAATAAACTTATATAGTTTCTTTTTTATTTGATATTTTAGCTAAGAATGAAATTTCTAGTCCAATACAAGGCGCTGATGAAGAGAAATTTAAAGGTTCTGGACCATTTTGTAGAGAAGATAGCCCTGGGAATTTTCCCAAAGTACCTCAGTTAAAAATTATGATACCTCTTACTGATGCTAAAACAGGTACTAGACATAAATACAAGAATAGAATGGTTATCAAATAAACAATATTTATTATATATCAATTCAATTCAAGCCATTACATGTGTTCTATTATAAAAGAAAACATTATTATATTGTTATAAAAAAATGTGGTATAAATATAAATGCTAGAACACATGTGATATTTTAAAAAATTGAAATTCTTAAATAATTTTTAAATTATTACCACAGAAAAGTTTCAGTATTTAAAAAATAAAACTTTGTACCATATTATATGATACCAGTATAGAAATATACTTATACCATTTATTTTTTATTTGATATTTTAGCTAAGAATAAAGTTTCTTGTCCAATACAAGGCACTGATGAAGAGAAGTGTAAAGGTTCTGGACCATTTTGTAGAGAAGATAGCCCTTTGGATTTTGCCAAAGTACCTCGGTTAAAAATTGTGATACATCCTACTGATGCTTCTACAGGTACTAGAACTAAAAACAAGAAAAAAATAGTTTTGACCATATTAAAAAAAAAATAAATTTTTATTGCAATTCAAAATATTACATATGTTTTATTATAATTGAAAAGAATACTATATTGTATTTATAAAATTTGGTATTAATATAAATGTATAAATATATACCCTTGTTGACAATGAGTCTCAGCAGCATGAGTAATGTCCACTTTAAGAATTCTTCTACTTGTCAAGATGAGAATAACGAGAAAATAGCCGAGAAACACATCACTAGCATGACAAACAATTCGTAAGTATTATCACCAAGTAAACGTATAAAATAAATATATTTTGCCCTTAAAATATTTTAATATTTCAAATCCCTATTTATAGAAAACCGGTTGAAACTGAAGAAAAACCAAAAACATCTCGATTTNGTACACAATTTATTGATTCAATTTTTAATGAAATTCAACTAATTCAATTATTAATATACCTAGGTAAACAATTGAATTGGTATATTTCTGACATATTTTATAGATGGAATTTGGACTATATGATATATTTAATTGGTAAAATTATTATAAATTGTAATTTTTCATACATTTTAATGGTCTAAATTAAAAAGCAATTATTGATTAATTATATTTACAATTCAAAGGGTTTAGTATGTTCTATTATAAGTGATAAGCATATTATATTGTTGTTAGGAAAAGTGGTATAAATATAAATGCTTCACACATGTGATATTTTGAAATAAGAAAATTCTTAATAAATTTTTTAAATCATTACCACAGAGAATTTAATACACTTTAAGAATAAAATTTTGTACCATTTTTATGTTTCGAGTATAAAAAAAAACTTATACTGTTTTTTTTATTTAATATTTTAGCTAAGCGTAAAGTTTCTAGCCCAATACAAGGCACTGATGAAGAGAAGTGTAAAGGTTCTGGACCATTTTGCTGTGAAGATAGCCCTGGGGATGTTCCCAAAGTACCTCGGTTAAAAATTGTGATAGGTCTTACTGATGCTAATACAGGTACTAGAACGAAAAACAAGAAAAGAATGGTTATCGATCATATTTACAATATTAATTAATTTTTATTGCAATTCAGTAAGTCAGTATGTTCTATGATAAAGGATAAGCATATTTTATTGTTGGAAAAGTGGTATTAATATAAATGCTTCACACATGTGATATGTTGAAATAAGGAAATTCTTAAATAATTTTTAAATCATTAACACAGGTAAAATTAACTATTTTTAGAAAAAAACGTTGTACCATTTTTATATGTTTCAAGTATAAAAAAAAAACTTATACTGTTTTTTTTATTTAATATTTTAGCTAAGCGTAAAGTTTCTAGTCCAATACAAGGCTCTGATGAAGAGAAGTGTAAAGGTTCTGGACCATTTTGTAGTGATGATAGCCCTGGGGATGTTTCCAAAGTACCTTGGTTAAAAATTGTGATATGTCCTACTGATGCTAATACAGGTACTAAACTAAAACCAAGAAAAGAATGGTTATCGATTATATTAACAATAATTATTAATTATCAATGAAATTCAAGTGATAACGTGTGTTTTATTATAAGGGATAAGCATATTATATTGTTTTTAAGAAATTTGGTATAAATATAAATGTTTGAACACATGTGATATTATTTAAATATGGAAATTCTTAATTAATTTTTAAATAATCACCACAGAAAATTTATATTAGTTCCATGACGCTTTTTATTTCTCCATTTAGAAGATCCCTACAACTTCTCTATGTTTTGGGTATGTGCCCCTTGTGTCCAGATCAACAAAATTATTGGTGTGGTTAACAGTATTATGTTGGAAACCTGCTTGCTGCAAATAATTAGAGGCTTTCCAACAATCTGACAAAATTATTGAGTCTTGTCTTATATATTTTTGTATTTTAGGTAACAATGTTTTCTGATCCATCTGGTATACTAATTATAAAACGTTCTCTGGTTTCAAGTTCTGTTGGTTTTAATGTTTGACCTTGTGCTTTATTGATGGTCATTTAAAAACATAGTTTCACAGGAAATTAGAGCTATTTAAACTGGAATGTTAGATTGGTTAATATCATTAGTAAGAACATTTCCCCAGCTCCACAGCCAGGAAGAATCATACACTCAAGCAGACTAAAGATTTTATTTGCAATCTTGTGCATTATTAATTACCATAGATATGTTTTGACCAACCTTTTAAATTTTTGTTCATAAGTATATAAAGACAATGTTTATAATATTAGTGCAAAATCTCAGACATCATTACAATTTTTATTAAAATAATATAAATCAACAAATATATCTGATTAACCAATAGTAACCAATATACTAGTATTACTTTAATCTACAATCAATAGCAACCATACAATAAACAAAATGATTAACAATATTATCATTTAGTACCACTGTTTTTTTATCATTACCACACATTCCTCTAAAAGCACAATCTCTGCTACTTAAGTTGGTGATTCTAATTGGTGGCATTTTGAAGAACCAAATTGTGGTGAACTAACTGTGATGAACAAATACTTCTCAAAAAACTCAAAAATAGATAAATGTTCAGATAGAAAATATAAAGATTATAGGTAGAATGTGATTTTTGTAGTGTGAAATGTTATGACTTCTCAAATGTTCAATATTCAAATATTTACTGCCCATACACAACCAATAACTGATCTGATATTTGAAATAAAAAAGTCTGAGCTGACATTGAGATTAATGGATATTAAAAAACTGATACATAATATTTCCCAATATTGTTGGTAACGTATGGTAGTGTTGGTAGTCAATCTGATTAGATAGTGACGTTCTAGGCTGAACAGCTATTAACATTTAAAGTTTGAAAAAGTTTTTTCATATTGTAATATTATTTTCAAAATTAGACATTTATTTTCAATAAATGTTTTTTCAAAAAAAAAAAAAATGATCCCATACTCAGATATCGGTCAATATACAATATCAGTTTATGCTGATACCCACCACTAATTTTTAGTAAAGTCTGAATCTAATATTTAAAAATAATAACAGTACTGTACATAATTTTTAATTATAATTATTATTTTTAGGAGATTGATGATGTCTCTTACTATAATTATTAACCATTTCTATTGGAGAGAATTATAATTCAAGCATTTTTTTCAGATATGCATCATTCATTATATATATTAACATATGGTATTGGCATAAGTTGTTGTAGTAAAGAATACAATCAAATGTAATAATTATTGTACATATAAATAACATGTAAGTTAGAAACTAAATTAACAAAGAATAAGTACATACATAAACAAAATTTAACTATAATAAATAAATAATGTATAATAGAATAAACAAAGACTAGATAACTAAGTGAAATAAATAATACAATATAATAATGTAAAAACTAAAGGCTAAGAATTTGGTGGCTGTTGAGTTAAGTTGTTTCATAAGTGAATATCCAGATTTTCTAGCCATTTAGTCTCTTGCATTGTATAACTTTAGCTAATTTAGAAAATAGGCCATTTTTTTGAATGGAGTCATATGCTGAAGATAAGCCCAGAAAAACTGTTCCTGATTTCAATTTTTGTTAGAATCTATTTTCTAGATGAGTAGTAATTTCCAGAACTTGCTCTCTGTAAGTTAGTCTTTTATAGTTATCATATTAACAATGACTTTTGATGTCAAGTAAAAATAATTCATAACATCATCTCATTATATACAAATATAAATTTAAAATATATTTATGTATTATTGTACGGGTAATCTAATTTTATTTTATTTAAAAGGTTTTATTTTTGTTTATAATTGTTTTTTTAGGATTCAATAAGTTAAATTTTATTAAAATATCAAACTGATAAATAAATTTACAATCCTCATAAAAAAGTACCAATATTTCTTCTCCATAAATTTCACCACCATTTCAGTTTATACAAAAACATAATATAATATATATTTATATATATATGTGTGTGTGTGTTAAGTACACCATCCATAACTGAATTGTACAAATGTATAATAATTACTGTAGTATTCTACAATTACTAATATACGTATTGTCCAATTATAAAAAATGTTCAAGGTAAAAATTCCAATAATTTTTATTTTATGACAGCAAACTCATCTATATCAATACATAAATTGTCCACTTATTTCCACCTTTCTATGAAAAGTAACGTCAAATCAATTAGTCTAGAATTTACCGCCGAAGCACTAGACACAGGAACTATAATAACAAAATCAATAACTTTAATCATTTTTCAAATCCAACTCGGTAACTTTGTGCTTGGTAAAACAATTCAGAAAGACGAGAACTACATGCAAATAATGTTTTCCCAATGCACATTGATATTTTAATTTAAAAAGATATTCATCGGAATAATATTACGATAAAATGAAATAGTTTTTTAGAAAACTACATAATTTTTGAATCTCAAAATTATTTTCTCTCCAGTTATTTACACGTCTAATCTTTGTTCTGATATGGTTATAAATATTAATATGTTCAAATCGCAATTTTATTTTATTTTTCCCAAAATCATCAACAACATTTTCTGCTAAATGCCAGACTTTTTACCTATTCTAAACTAAACGTATGCAATCCGGATAAACGATTTTTCTACATTAGATAATCGCAAGTCAGCTGTCCACAAAAATATTCATAAATCGAACGGCCGTAGTGATTGGTACCAGTTTTAAATCATGAGGGCAAAATTATTTACGTCGTTAAAACGAAATCCGTACAACTCACGTACGCCATACATAATACATCTGCTGTAAACCCCTCCCACACACCCACACACACACATACATTCTTACTCGGTGTGTGGTCTGTATTCCTTTTTTTTTTTTACGGAAAATAAAATAATATTATTTGGGTAGGTACCGACGCAGTATTCGGGACGGTTAAATTGTTCATTTCGGTGCCTATGTACACACACACACTATATGAGGGTGCATTGTAATGTATTATTGTAAAACGTGTTCCGAGAAACTGACGCGGCCGCAAAACACAATATGCGAACAAGTACCCACACCTACCTATTTGTCATATTACGAATCACGGCCGGGACATAGCGCGTGAAATAAAACCGACAAGGGATGGCGCGCGTTCTTTAAATCGGAATAGGCCTGCAGGGCGGGCATCGCGAGCACATGCGTGACCAACACACAATGACATAACGAAACAACGTTAAAAGTACCTGCGAAGAAAGGTCGAAAATACGTTTCGTTCGGGCTCGGGTACAGCGCATAATAATGGCGTAGCCGCGCCGCGTAGAGTACAACAATGAATTAGCTACCGACTGTTGTTTTCAGCCGCTGGTTTGTATTTTACATGTCACAGCTACGCGCGATATTCGTCAAGGGACGATGATAATATTAAAGAGTCGATTGAATGTATACACACACACATTTCCATCGATAACACCATCGTTCGGTAACGTAGCGTTTGGAATTTTCCTACGGAGATGCTATTTTTCCTAGATTGGAACGATCGGATGATTGTTATTTCGAGATTCAAACGTAGTGAACACAACACGTCGAGCACGTACATTTTGGTGGTTATGTACAATTTTTTAACACGTATATAGGTACGTCAGGTGCTCGTAATCCCGACTTGACTATAGTGGCTCTCTAAACAACTGCAGAACGTGGGTTTAATAAATACAAAAGAGGAAACCGAATGCATGATATTTACCGTGTCTACCTGACCTACATAAACTATACACAAAGCTCCGCAAAGGCATACTCATTGCAATATCCCCAAAGATAATAAAGATAATCAAATTTTGTTTTTTTATATTTTATCATTAAAAATATTATTTTTATATATATATTTGTAATCATTATCTCTGTAAGTAATATTAAAAAAAAAAAAAACAGAATTTGAATATCTTTATTATCTCTGGAGATAATATATATGAGAATATCTTCGTGAAACGCCCCGTATTTAATCCCAGGGAAACAAATATCCCCGAACCTAGGAAAACAAATCCCCAGCGTGTTACGTTTGTATCATTCCGGGTTTCTAATAAAAATCAATCACTGGATATTTCTTATTGATGGCGACAGCACGGCAGAAATAACAAATTTATTTGGGCCTATTCAACCCCAGCCACGGTACCGTACCCACGGCCGTGTAACGGGCGGAAACAGAGAATCCAGCGGCGTGCGTGTGAACATCGATAATATAAGTTTCATACAGTAGCAGGTACCCGTATTAAAACAATGTTAAAGCCCCCGAGCCCTGAAATTTGTTTCTAGTACCCATGGTATCGTTTCGCCGATCGCGACCGTGACTCAACGAAAATTATACGCGGTCGCGTGTCGCCGGAGCGTTCCGTACGCAGCGACCATAATGTGACTGTTGTCATTTGATCGTCAAATCCAATAATGTTATTGGTCTGTAACGGTTTTATTACGCGTAACCGCGGACCAAGTACACGGCACGATAATACGCTCGATACATCTATGCACGACCGGAATTCGAGTGTGATAAAGGATCGCCGGTCGCGACAGTTCGTCGAAAATCGCCGGCCGCAATAGCCGTAGCCGGACCAGTAGTTTTCGGTTTGTTCCATTATCACAAACCGCTGTCTAACGTCGGAGGGCCACCGAACGGCGTTTAAACAAGAGTGGGAAAACATTAGGTGACACAAACGCCCTCTGCTGTCGGTTTGAAATCCCCTAGCCGCGGTGACCTGCCGGGCGGCGGACATTCATCGCGAACATTTTCAATCCGTCCGGCGATCTTTACCAACTGTTCCTCCGTTATTGGCTCGTCTAATGAAATCATGACTTCCACGTGTTTTGTTATGGCGCTGTTGGTCTCGTTTGTCTGTATTACGGTCGTTGCCGCCGCACCTGTTATAAACTCCACTGCTCATTCACCGTTCGATTCTACGGAAAATGCATCTACCAACGTCTCCAATAACCGTGAGTCGGATTATTTGCAGTGGTCAAACTCTACTATCGCCGTCAATGCCGTGCACGTTCCCGTGACAGTGAATAGTTCGACTACGTTCCCGAATAAACCTAATGTTTTGAACGCAACAGCGAATAATTCGGCTGCGCTCCTGGACAAACCCTCTATTTTTAATGCGACGGGTAACGGATGGGAGACCACCGCGGATATCATCACTGTTACCGAATTCAATACATACAGACCAGTGGCGAATTCTTCGTTAATCACTGTCGCACCAAACTTAGAGTCGAAACCCGTAGAAATGGGCGCCACTACAAATATCACGAATTCAACATTTAATAACTCAATCTTTGCGACGCACGAGCAAAGAACAAATTCAACGGCATCGGATGATGATCTTGCAATCGCCAACTCGGGGAATTTCACATTAAATTCCGTCGGCAATATCAACTCCACCATAGTCCAGCCGCAGTCAAATCTGACAGTATTAAATTCCACAATAAACTATTCCATAGATACTGCGCAACATTTGAATTTGACAAACAATAGTTCTATCAACTCTGTGCTTTTTTCTGCACACTCGGAGTTAAAACCTGAGGTGTCAAATTCAACAGGAACAAATACCTCTACTGGCTCTACTGTTGCCGAAGAGGATGTTCGTCTACAATTGGGTTCAAAAGAAATTAGTACCTCCGACAAGGTATCCGCCATCTCCAAGCGGTCCATTTTTACAGACATTTTAAAACTAATACCTGTTATTCGTATACCTGTCATTCGTGTACCTATCATTCGCATACCTGTCATTACATAGTTTATTACATTTAATTAGTTCACTAGAATTATTATAATCAATCATTTTATCTATTTCAATTTTATATACAATTAATATGCAATATAATAATTTTGAATTTTAACGGATTTATTCCGCACATTATTATAATATATAATTAGAAATTATATTTCAATAAACATATTTTTATTATAAAAAATCTATGTGTCGAGTCTATTATTTATTTATAAACCATACATATATTTTGAAATTTTATTGTAATTAGACATACTTGAGAATATTTTAATGTCATGTAATGTCTAATGCAGGTAGCTGCCAGTTAGAATAGTTAAAGTTAGGATATTATAGGTATTACTGAAATAAATATAGGTATCTAGGTAAATAATATATAAAATGTTATAATATAACTATTAGATAGACAATGGTCTATTGAACAATTATTTGATTTAATCAATGTGAAAATTACATTTAAAAATAATTCAAATGTTGATGGATAATTTACCTAAGCCATTGTTGCTACAGGAACAAAAGTATTTATTTTTCATTATAAAATTAATAATAGGACTTCTAAATATAACACCTATGTTTAAATGATGTTCCTATAAAAATTTATTAATTGTAATATTAATTTAATTCTTGGCATTGAAAAACGGTGTTGGTAAAAAAATTATTACAATGGTGTAAAAATCTAAAAAGTTTCATATGAAATATACAGCGTTTCAGACCAAATTTATTTGTTAATCATAGTTAATTTTTTTATATTTAAAAAAAAAAGAAAGGATACAAGTTTGAAATATAATTTTTACTATTTTTGTCATAATTTAACACAAAAAGGTATGAAAAAAAAAATACTATATTACACTGAACTTTCTTTCTATGACCAAGAACAACTTATGATGCGCCTTGTATGAAATATTCGAACTGAAGCTAAAAAATATTATATTCATATAAAACTGATATAAACTAAACAAATAAAAATACTACAAAGTAAATCAAGAAATTGTTTATATAAATATTTATTAAAACCTCCTTGAAGTTCATGATAGGAGAAATATTTTGGATAGAAATGTTAACATTCTACAGGCTCATACAATTTTAAATAAAACATAAATAATCCAAATTTAAAAAAAAAATCAATAATATTTACAGAAAAACCATCTGTTAATTTTCATTTTGTTTTTTCCTGATAGTTCATAATCCTAGAAATCTAAAATTTTCACCGAAATACTTATAATAGATTTTATTTGTATTTCAAAAAGGAGGTATAATTTCAAAAATATTCTATTATTTAAGTCAATATATAGTATAAAAATAAAATCTAGTAATAAGTTTGCATAGGTATAGTAGGCATAGGCATAGGTATATCTATAAAAAGTAACAGCTAAACAAATTTTAAAACATAATTTTTGGTTTGAATTTTTTTACATTTAGTTCCATATTCAAACAGTTTTCATAATAACTACAGTAGTTTGCACAATAAATTTACACATGTAATTTTTAAATTTTTTTGTGACAGTTACAATAAATTTTCTGTAGTTGTGATAATTCTTATAAAGAGAGAAAAACAATTAAGTAAATAATTGTGTAGTGTATATTTTTAAAACATTCAATTTTTTATGGCTGATGTAACATGTTAATCCTAACAAATATGAAACCATTAATATTCATCATTATAAAACTTTATTTTTGTATCTAAAATAATTTTTAGTTTCACAGGTTATTTAAAAAATATATAATTAAATTACTTCTTCTGTTTACTGTTAGTATAATTTATACCACCAGTTCTATATATTTTTATTAATTAATAATATTATTAACTGATTCTATCATCTAAACTGAAAATAATTAAGTAAGGCATAGATACTTTTATTTTCACTCTCTTATGTCTTTTTGAAAATAGTTGACCTAATGATTATACTATAGAAGAAAATTACCAACATAAAAGTATTTCAATAAAAAAAGATCAGATTTCTAATGAACGAAAAAAAAAAAGGCACATGTATAGGATGGGTTAGTAAATTTAATATATCAGTAATTTTTAGCTATGTTATGTATAAAATGAACTTTATATATACTTTTTATAGAAATAATTGTGAATATAAACTCTATATATATGTATTACTGAGTTATGCATACATACATCACTTTTTAATACATTCTCAGTCATCTTAATACTTAAAATGTGAAATTATATAACCTGAATAATACAATTATATTATAATTTATATAAAACATTTTTTAAAGGACTTGTGTTTGGTCGTACAGAAACCAAGAAAACCAATCAAATTTCTGTCAGTGATGACTTTGAAAATAATTTCTTATTAACAGCAACATCAAAAAGCAAACACATTAAACTAGTCTATTATCTATAAATATGTATGAACAAAAAACTGTTAATATTAAAATTATAAAAGCTGAAAATAAATAAAAATTGAATACAAATGAATTAAATATATTATTATATATTATTTAATATACAATAAATTATTACTGGTTTAAATACCACTCAATATTTTTTTTTGATTTGAAATTGGTCTTACATATACTAAACTAAATTTTTTGTTTATATTTTTATGCAAGTTGTAATTCAAAGATTTAACATCTGAAATAACTATTGATCTGTACAAAATTTTTAATTCTAATTTTTTTGTGTTAACTACTAAGATCTTGATTGAAAACTATGATTTCTTATTCTACATTTTTTTTCAAACTAAAAATACAAAATTTAAATTTTTCAAAAATTATGTTTACATAATCAAAGATTGTTATTTTATAAATATATTTTAAAACAACATTTTGGTGTAACTAACATTTATTAATGATAAATTGTCATTTTTCTACAATTTTTTGAAGTTAAGGATAATTTAAATTAGTTTCATTGTCATTATTAAGTAATAATAATTGATTCCCCAACTTGTCCACAGAAAACAATTCTGTGGTCAATTTCTGTAAGCTTTGAAAATTGTAGAAATTTAAGGATCATTGTTAGTAAATATCTGTAACACTAACATTTTACTTCAAAATATATTAATACATTTCCATTTTCAAATTTGTAAAAAAAATGTTTTAGTTAATAGTTTTAAAACATATAAAATAGAAGAATCTCTAGAAAGTATTACAATAAAAAAAATGTTTAAATATTGAACAAAAAACTATATTTAGTTTTTAGATTAAGTATTTTAAATATTTGACAATGGCAGTATTAAAAGAGATAAAAAAATAAAAATAAAATTATCACAATATTTAACTTGAAATTAAATTATACATTTTTTAGGTAAATGTATAAAATTAAATTATACCTTTTTTAGATAAATTTATAAAATTAAATAAATAAACAAAAATTAAATTAAAAGAAGTTATATAGTAGGCTGTTTATCTTATAACTTGTGTGTTTATTTTAATTTTCTCCTTGGTATCTGCCAAACCCAATTGTATAAAATTGTTGCTAAATTCAACCATTTGACTAAACATTTTTCTTATTATTAAGCAAATTGTATATCCATTTCCCTAAAACATAAAATCTGTTTTTTTTTTCTGCACTAATAATATTTTAAACTCAGAAATTTGTACCTTTTCTATTTCATTATTTTTCTTGTCTTCTTTATAGTATCTTTGAATACTTTATGTAAAGATCTACTTTAAATGAATTGGCTGGTCTTCTCATTTATTAGCTCAATCTGAAATAATATTTCTATTAACACAAAGCTATCTTATTTGCAAAGTAATCGCTAAATTAAAATTATAAAAAACAATTAATGTGGAAAACTTCTTTAAAAAAGTAAATAAAAAGTAATTATTATTTTTAATAAAATTGAAACAAAATAATAAATCACATTTTAAAATCTTAAATCAAAATAAATAATAATACAACATTTGTACATGTTTTTTTTTTCTTTCAATATTATTTAAGAAATTATTTCATATCGTAGAAAATAAGAATTATAACATTTTAAATTGTTTTGTTTTTATAATAAATATTTTTAAATTAGTTTATTAGGTTACTGAACAAAAAAAATTAAACACTAAGTTAGAAGTTTTAGGAGAAATAATGTTTAAGTGTAAGTCTACTAAAGACAACAAGTTTAGGTTAGATAATTACCCTTAACTCAAACAAGGTAAGGCAACATTACATTTGGTAGTAGTATGAAGTTTCATCTGCTTTAATATAGCAATATGATATTAATGGAGTCAGGAACTGAATAATGTCCAAAAACTCTTTCAGGACAACCAATTAGGTACTCCTATAATAATAATTAAATTATAATTACAGTCTTACGTTTTTAAAACAAAAATTTATTTAATTTGTAAATATAAAAATAACATAATGATATGCTAATTATTGTTAGTTAATAAATACCTGATGTACTACTATGTTGAACTAATGTAACTTAAGCTGATATAATACAAAATAGTACTGATAGTGAACAATATTAATTTTTTTCTGTTATTATACATTTGTACAAGCCATGTTAATAATTGTTCCTTAATCTCTGTCTTAACTAAATTACCTACCTGTTTATAATATTATGAATAATCTATATTGAGGATATTTGCCTTGATGAAATTTAACTTATCAAATTAATAAACTAATTATTTAATATCAAAGAAACTAAGAATATAACATTTTAATTTAGTGTTTTTATACATATATATGATACATATTTTTAAATTAATCGGTTTGGTTCAGTATAAATGTGTTATAATAATAAAAGCAAATAAAAACCAATCTAAAAAATAAACGGGTTAATAATTATTAATAATAAAAAAAAGCTGAAATATTAACTATTTAAATGGTATAATGAATAAAACTAAATTGCCACTCAAGACTCAATAAATAATACAAATATATATATATATATATATATTAATCATAATTATTATCTATAATCATCTATAATCTATATATTATCACTTGACTAGGATAATTAAGTTATATATAAGTTAAGTTTTATATTTTTGAATTCACATTTGAATAGTTGCAATTCTTTATTATTTGTTCTGTTTTTGTTACACAGATTATATACTATCTCCAAGGGTAATTGGGTAAAAATACCAAATTATTGTTTGAGAATTGATGAACTTCTCTCACGAACAAAATTGTTTTGGGTAATTCTTCTACATGTACCATTCACATAATTTGTATCAAAGTATATTATATAATGTATTAATGTATATTGTGTATAGTACTTATACATATATATATATATTTTATGTTACTGGAAATTTTGAAAATGATAACAGTTCCTAATAGTTAAGTTAGATTCTAATGTGGTCATGAAATGATAGACATATGGACAACTTGTGTCGTGCATGATTTGCAGCATACAGGCCTAAATTTATATTTAGTAACCCAATGAAAATAACAATTTGTTCCAATTGCCTTCAAAAATTTAGAAAGAAAATTATTTTATTATGTTTAAAACTGGATTATTAAACTATTATTACTACAATTCAACTCATAGTGATAAATGTTAATGAATGTGCACTAATGGAGGTTTAATCTAGAAAGTAGGTAGATTTAGAATAGATGTATGTTTGTATATGCAGTATAAATAAAAGTAAACGAGTATACTACAATAATAGTAGAAAAATTAAGATATAATTATTTGAAAATAATATTATGTAAAACAATTTGTGAAGAGATTAAATATCAAAAGACAAAATGTTATATGGCTCAAATTTTGTAAATCAAAATAATCAGAATAAATTATTATAATGATTTTTGTTAAAAAATAGATGTGTCAGAAAATAAAATAATAGAAAAATTATTCATCAGATAGCTAGTTCACGAAAATACAAAATTCTAAGATAAAAGTATTCTGAATTGTTATGATTCTAACGGTTTTTTGGAAAAAAAAAAAAAGGTGCGACCTGGATTCTGAAACTCATCTCGGTTTATAGAATAGGAATCAGTCTAAAGTATTAATTACGAATGTGTGATAAAAAAATTAAAAAATTAAATACCCAATGAAAAACGTTTAAACTTTTAATTAAGGATTTATATATTAATACAATATTATACATTAAATAGTGAGTACTTAAATAATTTTAAGTATTAAAATACCCTACCTATTAAGTTTATACTCTTTGTAACTGATAACAAATATTTTCAATTTTAAATCTATTATTAAAATGTAAAATAAAATAATTAAATAACTAAAAATTAATGTAACTTTTATATATTATGCATTTATTATTAAATAATTTATTTAAAAGTACAGTAACCCTCAGTGAGCTGTATAATTATAATAATTATTATATTAAAGAATAAAGAATTTACACTTGTATTACTATGATGGTTGTACACTATCTAAAAACCAACTATGCTATCATCTTGGTAGATTAGGTTAAGTTTCACCAAACACACAAAAACTGATAAAAATCCATACACAAACAAAATATTATTTAATTTTCAAAAATTGATTGGCCAAAAAAAATTGCATTACACTGAGATAGTAGCCGTAAATTAAATTTTTTGACACAGGAATATACCCAATGTCATTGAAATTATGTATCATATATTTGATTATGATACATTATCAATAACTTGAAAATTTACCAAATTAAAAAAAAATTAACGTGCGAAAATGTAATAATAAATGATTAATCACAATCCACTATTTCAAACGTTATCAATAAATTACAATCGGCGCGATTTTATTGTGATACATTTTTTTATTGAGCTGTAGACACACAGTATTTTTCTATTTTGTCTCTTTCCTCTCTTACCTCGTCACCTGACCTCTCTCTAAGTGCTGTCCATTAATTTATAGGTCTATATTATTGGTTCCAAAAGAGAACATACCGCTCTGACGTCCAGTTTAGGTTCGGCGGTTAGGTTATAGTTTTGGCAAATAACCAGATATAACCTGGTTACTGCCATAGAAATGGTCTGCGCGTATCTATACCTTGCCAAATGTTTGCCGGTTCAAGCATTGAACGAGAGAGACAAAATATTATAATTTACCCCGATTGTGTAAGAAATAATAAAATAACGTACGTTTCCATGATGAACATTATTTTAGTCGATAAGACATAATGATAAAAAAAATTCAACTTACTGGGTGTATTTAATTGTAAAGTGGAAAAATTAAATAATACGCTTTTTTTATAATATTAATTGGATCGAAATGGTGAATAAATGTAGTATCCGATGATGTCCAAAGATTCCATGCGTTTCAGTGCATAAGTTAGCAACTCCAAATTAATAATAATCGTAATAAATTTTTGTAGTTTTGCTTTAAATTATTTTGTCTGTACTACTGGGTTGTTTTTAGCATTCCCAAAAATGAAAAGCGTAGTAAGTTGTGGCTCAATGCTATTAGAAGAGTGGACATAAATTTTAAAACTACGAAGTATTCGAAAGTTTGCAATTTACATTTTGATGAAAATTGATTTTACTTTGAGCCTAGTTAAGAATAAAAAAATGCTTAAGAAAAATGCAGTGCCTAGTATTTTTCCAGGTAAAAAAAAATACGTATACTTTATTGTTCAGGTATTTAAATTTAAATTTATTATTATTTTTTAGAAATATATAATGAACTTTTTGCTGAAACTTTGTGTAGTATTAGTGTTGAGGGTGATAAGAGTAATTATGATAATGGTAGGTTTTTACATTAAATAAAATATATTATTTGAATTTAAATTTTATTATAATTTATTTTTTACATATTTAGATCCATCTGATCAGTTGGATATTATAGATGGTAGTATGGATGTCTTGGATCAAACCACAGTTATGCAAGAGCCAAGTAAATAATTATATAAAATAATTTAATTATAAATTATATTTTATTGTAATCATTATTTAATAATTCGTAATTGGTTTAGGTATCAATTTACTTGATGGTCAATCTGAAGCATTAACTTCATCGAGGTTAAAAAGTAGACTAGTTCAAAAAGTCAGGTATAATTTGATGGTCCATATTGAGTTATCATTAATTGATTAATTAATTACATTACGATTATTTCATTTCAGTAAAACAAAATATTTTGCTGGCAATTTCAAATTAGATGATAAATCAAACTCCAATGAATAATCATTTATGAAGAAACAGAAATATCATTTGATAGTAATAATTATTATACAAAAATGTGATTTCACAATTAAATATTGACAATATTTGTACTAAATTAATTGGTCTTATACAAACCAATATTTTTTTGAACAATGGAATAGAATTTTAAGTTTTTTTTTTTCATTGAATATTTACAATCTATAAATAATTAATTAGCACAATATGTAAATATAAGAAACAATTTTTTTTTTTTTTCATTTGAGTGGCATGAGAAGAGAGGCCATCCAATGATAGAACCCAACAATTTTAAAGGTTAAGCAATAAATAAATTGAAAAATGAGAATACAGTTTTTGGGAGCTGGGATGGCAACATAAATACATAATTAAACGTTTGCAATAGAATTTTGAAAATGTGTTAAAAAATGCATTTTTAGGTACTAGTTAGGCAACTTATTAAACTATTAGCAGTATCAGTATAAACAAATTTGGTAGTCACTGGGCTTTGTTATCAATTATTTTATTTCCAAATTTATCACTTAACAAAATAATATCGAATATCGATAATCAATTCAAGGTTTTATATTTTTCAAGATAATATTGATTTTAAATAATGTCGATTAAAAGCTCGAATTAAGATAAACCTTAATATATCTTAATTCGTGATTAAAAGTAATGTCAATTCTAGGTTTTTATATTTTAATACAATGTCTATTTAAATTAATAGAGATTCAAAGATTCTTAGTTTCAAATAATTGTACATTCAAAGTGACGTTTTTCAAAGTTTTTAGATGCTATCCATTGAGTCCGCGGGTAATTGTGTTGTTTCCAGTCTTGTATATCTTAGTCCGTAACCGTGCACATGGGAGCTCAGCGGGGGAGGGTCAAGAGGGGTACATGTTTTCTCTAAAAAATGATACATTTTCCGAAAAAAAAAAAAATTAAGTACTCTTTGATTCTATCAAAATAAATATATAACTAGGTATTTTATATTATGATTCTTATACAATGATATTTGTTAAGTTATTATTTGTATAAAAATAAATAATTTAATTGTCAACTGGAATGTATAATGTAAACTATAAACTGTAATAAACTGTAGAATATTATGATGTCTTGATTTCGTTTTCAGCACAGTTTTTTTAAAGCTAATGTTTGCATAATTACATACCCTTTCTTTTTCATTCTTTTTCAAGAAATACCAACCTTGTATCTATATACTATAAGTAGGTATTAGAATCCAGTTTCATTTTGTCCCTATCTGAAAATTGGCGCCATTGACCGTGACTAATTACAAATTGGGTACCATATAGTTTTCAGAAAAAATGATAAAAAATCGTAGCCATATCGGTCTGCACAAACACCAACGTTAAGAAAAAAAAAATGAAATAAAAATGTAGATACACCAAGGCCGAAAAAAATATTGTTTCAAATTATGTATTTATGGTCGTGTGCGAAACCACGTCGGGCAATTAGCAGGGGAAATAGAAAAAGCATTATAAGTGGAACTAGAGACCCAAGGTGGTAATTCACTTGCTGCGATTTTTTGTGCAAAACCACATCGGGTAGGTAACAAGAAAAAGCGAAGAAAATTATAGGTCAAAGTACTTTTAATTGGTATAACATTATTCCATCGATATAACTTATCGATGGATGGTCGTATTGGAATTAGGTACTTATGGGTTATCGCGAAAATACGGTCATGGAAAAAAAATGGTACTATGACACTTTAGGAGAGATTGGTTGACAGTTATAAATAATCCGTACAATTTAAACATTTTTTTTAAATTTTTTTTTTATGTATAGATTGGTAACGTTGAAATATAGTTACTGACTTCTTATCAATTCTTTGAAAACTGTAACTCTCTGTTGTAAATTATTGTTGTGTTATCAGTGATATCATTAATGATAATAACAACAAATAAACATTTTCGAACGCAAACTACTTAACAAGTATTTATTCTTGAACCAAAATTTGTTTATTATCAATTAGATTAATAGGTGGTTACTCAAAATATATTGTGTTACTTCGTATAGGCATTGCATAAACGACCGAAGAAAACATAGTTACTCGTAAAATACCAAGTGTACCTAATATTATTTACATTTGGTGTTAAAATATTTAATGAGTATTGCCCACCATGAAAACTTATAAATTGACTGTGCATCAAAAGGTTTTCAACAGTAAGTCAACTTTTCAAGTTATTTTATGGGTTGAAGTCTAGCTATTGGGGTAAAAAAAGTCGAAATATCGAAAAACGCTAAATTCATATAGTTTCTGTGCGCCTTGTTGACCACTGTCCCACGGTTGAATTTTCAATTTTTCCATTTAGATATGACTAGTTTAGAGGTGTACGTTTATAGGCTTAGTAAAATTGTATCGTTCACAGATGCTGTCTGGCTCTCGGTGATCAAAACTATACTTATAAATATTAATGTTTTTTTAGTATCTATAATAACCTAAATAAAAGTCAAAATTTTGATTTTTAAATTTTTAATACTTTTCAACGATATGACCTTTGGTTAGGTAATCAAAAAAGTGTTGAAATCATTAATGCAGTAAATTGAAAAATGGAATTCTAACTGCAGAATGTTAATAAGGTAAGAAAGAAGAATGAAAAATATAGGGGTAGTTTTTGATGTTAAATTTTTTTTTACCCCAAGAGTCAGACTTCCTACTATTTTATGTAGGTACATAATACTGAACTATTTATCTATATAATTGTTCACTATCATATGTGTCAATATTAGATGCAGAACTTATTATCAACTGTCACGATTTTCCAAATGCAGTCAGAGGGAATATTGTAGAAATTTATCATGCTGATTCTAAACTGAATAAGTTATTGCTTCAAGTTTTGGTTTTTAAAGACGATTCTAAAAGTAGAGGTAAGTATTCTCTGTTAATTACCTATGACGTAAATGCATTTTACCTTTCCATTCAAAATATTTAATTTTTTTTTGGACCTTATGTATATTTATAAGTTAAAAATGATACCGAAGTCAGAATGTAGTTATTCCACTATACATAATATGAGGAGCAAATCGAACTCATGGTGTTTACCGACAATTTTTTTGAATTTATAAATAGGAGTATTAAAGGACACAAATATTAATAAAAAATACGAGTTTATTAATATCTAATGTAACTCTAAATCATTTGCACTTAAACTATCTTTATACTTGTCACCACTATATGCTACAATGTTATTCGGTATTATATATTGGGTTTTAAAGACTATTTTTAATTCTTAAAAACTTTGTATAATGATCAATACCTGTTTCTTATCTTACATTGTTTTAAAAACATATATTTGGAAAGATTTATATCTAGCTATAAATATATTTCTTTTTTATTATAGTCACTGTGTCAGTGATTATTTTGCATGTCACCATAGTCCCTCAATTGTACCTTTTATCTAGTTCGTTAAAGTTGATGCTATTTATTGAATTTCCATAATATCTTTTCTAAAGTATTACATATACTTATTTTTAAGTATTTTTAAATTATTATAATATTTCCGTACATTCATAAATTTTTAGCAATACTTTTAACAAAGTAACGAGGAAATTATGATTGATGAATTCTAATTACATCATAATTTTTATCAAGTTAAAATGCGTGAGTTCCAAAAAAAAAATTATGTAATTTAATAATTCAAACCATTAAAAATCATAATTACAATATTATCTACTTTTAATTAATTTCTATGTAATTTTTCAGATATAATTAGCATTGAACAAAATATAGCTAGTTTATTCAATCTGCGTGTATATAGTGATGTTATAGTAAACATTGTGAGTCCAGAATCTGTTTCTTTAGATTCAATTGAGTTGGTATTTAGAGATCAGTATCTTGGAAGATCAGAAATGTGGCGTTTAAAAAATTCAATGGTTGATACTTGTGTTTATCTTGCTAAAAAAATTGAGTTTTGCGGTGGTTATACACGTTTACAAATTTATCAAATGTGGAGAAAAGGAAAAACTGTTACGTGTGGGGTTATCAGCAATAACACGAAGGTTTTTATTCTATTATAATTTGTAATAATGTTATACTTAATTAAGGCACATGGCTTGTAGAATTTTAATATTTGAATATTTACATTATTTTATAAAATATATCATTTTTAGAAGACAATAACAAATGTTTCAATACTAATGTTGGTATAAATGTTTAAAAAAAAAAAAACTGGAGTGTGTACTCTATTCTAAGGTGTATTGTTGAACTTATAATTACTTCATCTAGAGCTGCAAGTCATAAGTGCTGTTTATTATTAATAAAATATTATTTTAATAATTTTAGATATATTTATTTACTAGATAATATTTAGATCAGCTACAAGTATGGTTTACATATTTCTTCAAATGACTTCTGAAATGTGGGAATTCAACTTTTTAGGTGACACTTATTTTGAAAAATCTGTTGATGGGTTTTTAGTTGATTTGTTTGAGAAATGGAGGGTAAGTTTCAATACTATTTATATTATATTAATTTTAAGTATTAAGTAATGTTATACTAGTATTTTGGAAGTAACCATGAAGTTACACTGGTTGTATTCTCACGAGTATTTTACAAAGCTAAAAAATTAGAAGAATTTCCTGAAGGTATGAGAGAATGTCTTCAAATAGATTTTAAGAATCGTTTTTATGAAGATTTTTACAGGTAATTTAACAATTCACTTTACAAATAAAATAAATTTTAAGAGTAATTATTAGCACTTAAATAGTATATTGAAATACTTAATAATAAGTATAAGTAATACATTTTTAATCTGTAATAATCTCATAGTTGCTATAGAAAATTAATGTCTAAAATATTTACTAAAATAATAAAGTAAAAACAAAATTATTAAAATGGTTAATATTCGCAAATAAATATATAATTAAAATATATATATATATATATATAGAAATGAGAAATAAATTTATGAAAGAATGTGTGGCATGGAGTATTATGTTAAGTGTATTATACTACCAGTTTCGAATTAAAAATTCATCATTAGGTATATCACAGTCAAAATGTAAAACTACTACATTTTTACATTTCACTTTTTTTGAATTTAATTTTCAATTTGAAACTAGTCGTATAATGACTAGTTATGACTCACTCATCATAATACTCCAAGCATTTATTCATTTTTTATTTATATATTTATTTACTATATCTATAATAATTATCCCATTTATCTTATTGTATTTTTAAAAATGAAGTCTTAGTGCCTTATGGTAAATATAATATTTATTATAAAATAAAACAACCTTAATTTATTGAATTAGGTGTTTTTGTTTGACTATATACCAACAATTTGAATAAAACAATAGTTAACCCTAAATACATTATCCTACATGAACTATTATTTTAAACTCACTTTTTGTGTCTTGTTTTATTTATTAGAGTAGTTATTCAAAATGAAAGATATGAAGATTGGGCTGAAGCTTCATTAATGTTACTTAATCGTCTTTATTATACATATAAGACAGATGTATTAAACTATCATCATAGGGTACTTCAAGAATCTGGTATTTCCACAGATTCAATACCAGAAGCTTATTTATCTCAAGCTGCTCAAGGCAATATACTTGAAGTATTAAATATGGCATTAAATGGTATGTATTATTCAATGTTATTCTTTATTATTATTAAATTAACTATTATTTTATAAAATAATATAATATTGTCATCAAATAATTAACTTTTATAATTTTAGTTATTTAAGATTCTGATTAAAGTAAGTAATGCAATGGTTTTACTATAAATTGTGTTGTATATAATTTTTTTTTATTATAATTTACCTATTATCATTTTGTTTGTCTATTAATATAATTTTAATCAGCAGATTTTCTTTAATCACATCAAAAGAAGTTTCAATTACATAGCATTTTTTTTTTAATGTGTTATACCTTTCTTAATAACTGGGAAATGTATACAACATCAGTCTGTGACAAAATTAATTTGAAATGCACTGAATAATATAATATATTCAATGTATATCATATTTAGCTCAAATTCAAAAAGATGAACATACTTTGTATGTGTGTGAGCCACTATTATAGGTGAGAAGTTGGGAAGTTAGCAGAGGGAAAATTAAATGTATGTCTGTACAAAACGATTAACCATTGCTAACAAAAAGATGATTCTCAATGGAGTTAGATTGTTAGTGTTGCTTTATCAACAATTTATATGTTACATTATGGTAAAATAATTCATATGCATAAGTATCACTTTAGTGAGATTTCCTTTCGAAAAAGTGCTATCATTGTAAATCAGAGCAAAATTCTTGGTAGAAAAGTTATTCGTAGAAAACAAAATAAATTCCATTGTAAAACCAATAAATTCCTCTCTCCAAACAGAATCTTAAAGTATATTATAATTACATGTATGAGTTTTTCATCCCTTATATTGGAGACAACTATTTTCATCAAATATTTTTATTTATTTATTTTTAGTATTTGAAAAACATTTTATTGAAAGGAGTTTGGACCGGACTGGTCAATTAGTAATTGTTGTATCACCTGGTATGGGTGAATTTGATGTGGATAGACAATTAACAAATATTACAAAACAAAGAGTTATGGATAATGGAGTAGGAATTGATTTGATTTGTGTTGGTCAAGAGCCATTGTATGCTGTTCCATTATTTTTGGTGAGAAAAATATTTATTATAATAGGTATGTTTTATGGTGTTAGTGAATATAATACAGAGAGTAACAGAACTATGTAACAAATGTAATAACTTTTTTTCTATAAATATTTTTAATATTTTTTTTTTTCGAATTATTATTACATCTTAATTATTGATTACATTTTATTAATGTTTAGAAAAATGTAAATTTTGTGATCAAAAACTATTACTATGGTTGTTGAGTCAATTATTTGTATACAGTTTTTTAAGTTTTGTGAAATATGACATTTTTGAGTGCTGAAATTTTCAAATGGTTAATTCAATTTTTCCGTAAAATATATTATATAATTTGATAATAGTCAAAAGTTGGGAGTCAATCATTTTATCAATAGTCAAATATAATTTATTATTAGTAAAATTAGAAAGCAAAAATTTGGATTTTAACAAACTTTAAAAACTGGTGGCATAACCTAATTAAGTGAATTATGTAATGCAAGAAAAATGATTTTTACAAAATGTTTGCATAATTATGTTGAACAAATTTAAATAATTTTTTGTTTAAATTTTAGTTTCAAAATCGTGATGAATTATTAGGAGATGATTACAGTATTCCACATTGGATAAATTTAAGGTAGTTTATTTACTAAATATTTTTTTAAGTAAAACATTCACTAGAACTGAATCTGAAAAATAATTTAGTCCTAGACTTATAGTTACAGGTGTCTCCAAATTATTGTATAACACTACATATTTAATTGGAAGATTATGGTTTTCATTTTTTTTGGTTGGTCTGTTCAGTTCTATTGTTTGTATCGCTTACTTTTAACATTATGATTTTATAATTTATAATTCTTAAAAATAATAAAAATATATAATTAGTTTTTACAGAAGTAAACATATGCCTCCCCGTTCAAGTTTTATTCCTCGGTTAAAAGTACCCTATGCATTTTCAAATATTGTATTAAACCGAAAAAAAGATTCAATAATAGTGCCACCAAAATCTTTAGTGGTGGCTTCAATGCGTGATACATTTACAAATTGTGAACAAGACTATTTGAATTATGATGCAGATGTGTTTGATAATAAATATAATGATTTACCAACTAGATGTGAGTAAGTTACTATAATTTTTGCGTGTATAATATAAATAGAATAAATAAATACATAAAATGCATGTAAACTTAACATAAATTATATTAAATTTTAAATATAATCCAAACTTTGAATATTAAAGTAGTGGTTAATAAATTACTTTTGATAGAACAAAAAAAGAAATTTGGAAAAGGTATATTAAGAGATTTCGAGGGTTATATTGTGGAGGTTTTTTAAAAAAAAAGGATTCAAATGGTGTATGTGGATAAACAACATGTTACTCACTAATATGGTAATACATTAAAACACTTGTTACTATTATACAAAATTATAAACATTACGTAAGGTATTCATCATCTCTGAAAATATTAATTTTTTTTAGAATTTGTTTTTTAGAATGTTTAAGAAATAATTAGCTCTAAAATGTTACATTATTTGATATTTTGTTTCCCTTATTTTAGAGGGTGAAACCACTACCTACTTATGATTTTCAAATGGTAACCTACATTGAAAATTCCATTAACAGGTGGAGTTAAGTTTAAATTAACTCTTAAGATGTTGAAATTTTTAATATCCATTAACTCGTTAAGAAGATATTCCACTTTTAAGTTTGGGTAGATGGTAGATGTTTAATTAATACATTTGTGAACATGGAGTCCTACATGATTGAAAAATTTGTATTTACATATAATTAACACACTTGAATTTAATATCAATATTTACATGTTTTAATGTTATACTTTGTTATTACAACTGATCTCCAGAGGTTTTTGTGGCTGATGCCTACCACCCTCTGCATCTTAGCTCTGGGTTCTACTTGCGGGCGGTCATGGTGCTGGAATGACTATGGCGAGCCCCCGCTGGTTCAGGGTCATCGTCCCTGGGCTTTTTAGGGCCCCTATCTTTCTCGTGACCGAGATGGGTTCCCGTTCGCCCATTAGGTGCAGTGGATTAGCTTTACTATCTCCTGCCAGTCCCACAACCACCAGTCGAGTTAGGCTCCTCAACTTTGGGAGCACTAGGTCCGGAGCAGCCAGGCCAATCTGGCATGAAGTGGGGCTCCCCTGCCCGTGGTACCGACTAAGTTTGTTTTAAGTTGATGTCGGTGGGTCAACCCGAGACTACATCTCTCCCACTAGTTTGCTCCCCAGCCGTCTAGTGGTGGGCCTAAATTCGTTACTACAGTGAGAAGGTCTTCCAATGTTCATTTGATAAACTGATTAATATTATCTAATATTATTAGTATTATTATGTTAGGCATTCTGTATACTTGTTTATACCAAAATACATAAATACACGTGTACACGAGATTTATCAAATTTATAGGTTTATAGAACCCAATGTTAATTGCATGTGTTTATTTTAAAACAGTGTGTACAAATGAAATATTAAGCTCTAATAGGAGAGTAACAGAACATCATTTGTAGTTTGTAATGGTAATATTACTATGGGCTATTTATTTCTTAAATGATTTAAAAAAAAAAAAAAAAAAAAACAAATAAATGATACATAAATAATAAATGTCTTACAATAAATTGATCACTCAGTATAACTTTATACAATATTTTTAAATTAGTGGTGTGTATAATGAATGGGGAATTCGTTTTGGTTAACATCATAGTTTTGCATTGTATTAAACATCATTATAATAATACTTGGAAATATTCATTTTTTCAGTAGCACCAATAACACCTTCCGCCATAATACTGTCAATAAAGTTGATACAAGAAAGAAAAAAATTAGTTCATGCAGTATTGATGTAAATTTGGATACATTAATTGCTTTAAGCCGTAGTCTTTCTCCTCTTAAACAACGTAGTATAACACCTCCACCCAAAAATCCGTGTTTTGACAGTGAATTTAGTGAATTTGTTAATTTATCCTGTAATAGTAAGTATAGTATAAAGTAATTGCCAAGGTTATATAAATATTTAGTTTTTAACTTAAACTTTTTTAAGGTTTATTATTCTATAATTTGTATTCTAGAAATGAGAAGTCGCAGTTTTGATGACCTGAAAAAGATTGGAAATGAATCAGTTAATCAACGAGCTAAAGATACAGAAAATTCACAAGCTGATCGCACACTACTTAATCCATTTGACAAATCACAATATCTTGTCAAGTTAACATCAAATCGAAGAAGATGGAGTCATACATTTCCAGAAAGTAAACAATTACTCACATTTTTAGATGGACATGTTTATAATTTAAATAATAACTACTAATATTATTGTTTAGAATGTATAAAAACTAAAAAGTTTGCTCATGAAGGTAATGGAAATAAAAATGTAAACAATGCAAAACGTGTCAAATTTTTAAAGAAAAAAAGATTATATTGTATGATTTACATATTATTTCTTATTTATCATGCAAAATTAAATACTAATTACCTAATTATTATTTAGTTAAAAACTTTGACATTGAAAAATCATTAAATAAACAAATTCGGAAAAAGCAAAGTGTTAAACGTTCTTTTCAATCAAATGAATCCTTAGGATCAACAAATGGATGTTCATCAAGTTAGTCTAATATAGTATAAATATTGGATACATTTTTTTTTTTTAAATTTATGTTAACTTATTTTATGTACATATGTAAATTAATGTTTTAACAGTTGTTGATTGGAAGTCAATGGTATTTCCTGCATGTTTGCCAATAACTACAGACTATTTTCCTGATGATGTAAGTCTTCAGTCATTTTATGTGTTTTCAAATTATAATTTATTACCAGAGGATGTGAATGCTGAAGTTGCTCTGCAAAGAGCTGTTTATCGCCCACCACTTGGTACAAAGGAAGTATTTTATCAAATGGTGTACCAACGTCTATCCCAAGTAAGGTTCTATAATTGATATTTAGTATGTTAAATATAACATTAAATTGATCCATTTATTATATTAAAGCCAGTTAGAGATTTTCTCAGTAAATTATTTTAATCAAATTACAAATAATTAAATTGATGTGTTTATAAGGACAGACATACTTTCCATTGCTAATGAAAATCAATTCAAAGTAAAGTTTTTGTTATAAATGTACATTTTTCTCTGGTTTCTTCAATTATTATGAAAACCACTTGGGAAATAAAAAAATAACTTTCTGGTTTAAGTACCAAGTACATAATATTTCCCTTCAGAAAAAGTGTTACACTTAATATACAGTGTGTTCACATTAAGAGGTACTAATAAATATTTCAATAGTTCGATACTTATCATTCAGTCTTGCCCATCACTTATACCTATTTATACATATTATATGTTAGATACTACCATGCTGATGAAAAATAATTTGGTCACTGTTATAATTATTATTATATAGTTACCAAGTACTATATTTTAGTTTATTTTGTTTGTACTATGCTAGAAACCTTTGCAAGAAGAAGTACACTCAACAAGTTCTCAAAGCTTCAAGGGATCAGATGAATGGTGTAGTAATGTCTAAAGGACAAATAGACATAATATATTCAGTTTAACATAGATAGATTATTTGTATACTTTTGTTAGTTTTATCCTTAAATTATTTCAATTCGATTTATAATTTTTATTTACTTGTCAAATTTGAAAAAAAAAAAAATATATAAATAGCCAAATAATCAACTATTTAGGCTAATTAAATATTTTTGTTTATAAAATAGGGTTTCCAATTGGTTGTAAATAAAGCTGACCACAATGATCAGAAAAAAAAGATTAGTAGTCTTGTTATGAGACCAACCCAGTCTATTGCTGAACCCTTTATTGAAATGCGACTAAGTATTGGAAGAATTGTACATATAGTCACTTTATGTGGTTCAGAAATTCGAGTAACACGGTATAGGCCCAGGTAAATGAAATCATTTTTTTTTTTCTAATATTTAATTATTTTAAGATTACAAACCAATAAAATTAAACCATAAATGTTACAATTATGAACTTATAGGGCACAATTATTCGGCCAAGTATTAGTATAAATATTTAGTATTTACATGATAAGGACTTGATTTGCAGAGCTAAATTTTGGAGATACTTAGCCTATTTTTACCTATGATAAAAAAAATATAAAAAATCTATTAAAAAGTCTACAGAGTGATTTTTTTTATCATGAACCAGAAATTATCTCTGAGAATTTTAAATGAATTTGATTCCTGGTTTGGTTAAATATATTTTTAAAATGTTGCAATTTGTATGATTTTCTGAAAAATGTGTACTTTAAATACTTAAAAACTACTACATTTTTTTTTTTCAAGCATTTTTGCCTACCAAAATAATTTTATTAACATAAAACTAAATAAACCATGCATTTTGACTTAAAACAACAGTAAAAATTCATTACAAAATTTGTATTAGTTCAATACTAAATTAATAAAATAAAGTAAAAACAAAATTATTAAAATGGTTAATATTCATAAATAAATATATAAATAAAAAATGTATGTATAGAAATTAAAAATAAATGAATGAATGCGTGGCCTGAAGTATTTTTTTAGTATTTATGATAAGTGTATTAAGAACCATTTTCGAATTAAAAATTCATCATCAAGTATATCACAGTCAAAATGTAAAACACTACTGAGTATAAAAAATGTATTTTTTTATTTTTATTATTTTTTATTAGTTTAATATAATTCAAAAAAAATTCATATATAATTTATTACAACTGCCAGAATCTTAATTACAAATCTTTAAAAAATGTAGTATTCTTTTTATCAAAATTTTAAATATCCAACAATCTGTTTAACTTAAACAGGAGTAGGTGGCTTCAGTTTATTGAATAAAAAAAAATATTAACATACTATTAACTCAACAAAATGTATTTATTAGTAATTATGTTATGTTAAATTTGTGAATTGTATATTCTATTCATATATGTATGTGATAAATTTTGGTTTTTATGATTTAATATGTAGATTTCCATATGCCACATTCGAAATTCAATATCGATATCGGTTCCAAGCACCAGATCATTCAACATATGGAATCTCATGGATTTCGTTTATTACTGAAAAATTGGAAAATTTCAATTGGAATTATATGGATAATTATTTATGTGTTCGAGGGGATATGGATTATGCTTTACATGAGGTTTGATTTTTATTATTATGTATACTTATGAAAAATAAAAAATATTTTGATTTTTCCTTTCGAATATAAAACTCTAATTTTGTGTGGTACCCTATATTGTGTAGTTGAAAATTTCACATCTTAAATCAAGCTACAGTTAATAATTTATTAGTAATAATTGCTTTATAGAAGTTGAAATATTGGCGATTTCGGATGTACCTTCTTCCATGGCGTCAAGAGGCTACAAAAGTTATTATGGGTCATTTGCATGAAAAATTTTATTGTGATATTTATAAAACACCTACAGTAGAAGAGCAGAAGCGATTTACTAATAAATTTATTAAATTTCTTGAAACATGGGTAAATCGTGTTAAACGACCAACCATAAGCCTTACAGTTAGTTATAATTTATTGTATATTCTTTATATTTTATAAATACTTCAAAAATGCACTAATTTACTTTATTATAGAGCGCAAATGACTTATCACCTTATAGAGACCGTGCTAACTCCTCCTCTTTACATCCATTTGAAAGACCACAATCAAGGTTTGCATAATTATTATTAATTTTCAGTTTTTGAAAAAAAATTTTAACAAATACTTAAGATAACTTATCACCTATTTTAGATTCTGAATGTAGTGAAGAAGCTGTTTGATTTATTAATATATATATTTTTTATTTATATATTTATTTACTATATATATTCTTTACTTTTATAAAAAAACATGTTCAATTAAAATGTTTAGATTATTACATTCTATATCTTAGAACAATATTGGGTCTAAAATGTTATGTGGTCTACACAAAAAAATGTTGGGAGGGGGGGAAATTATATACAAAATTGTTTTAAACTTGATTAATTAATTACGAAATTTAAATAAATTATTTATTGGATATAACTTAAATTACAAAAAAAAATCAAATTAAAAATTTCTTCTAGGTTTTTGTAATATCTGGTACCAAATTTTCTATTTTAGGAATAATCTTGTCACTTCTAACATGAAATTTAAATGATTATTGGTTAATCTTAATTTAACTTGAGATTTATTTCTATTAATAAATAAAAATAGTTACTTACATTGTTAAGTACTTCTAAACAGCAATAATTTTACACACACACATACATCCTACTTGCACATATTTGTAAAAATCTGATATCTCAATTAAATATATTTGCATGTGCTGGAACTTTTACTGCATCAAATTAAAAAAAGAAATTAGAACAAGACAAAATTAGTTTCTAAAAATTTAAAAACATATTTTTAAATTTGGTTTCCAAACTTTTAATTTTTTTTATATATATACTTCAAGTAGAAAATGGATTCATTTTTACTTATTTTAGAGGCCACACAAGTTTATTGTAATTACATCTTTCCTTTGTAATTTTTAATTTAAATTTAAAAAATGCTTTGTGAACAATAAATCGACCATTAATAGTAAATAAGTTTTACTCTGGATCCTAATAATCAGTAGTACTATAATCAGTATACTATCAGTGATTTTACTTTATTTTGGAATTTTGATAAACAGTAACATTATATTTGTTTACAATTAAATTTACAGAATAGTATTATAAATAGTGTCGAAATATACATATTTGAGAAATTAAAACTGTGTCCAAAAACTAAATTGGATGTTAACTATTGACAGGCATATATATTAACAATATAAATAATTCTATATGTTTAATAATAATATTGGACATGCTTGCCCTATTTATTAGATACTAATTTTTCCATAGATGCCACTTATTTAAATAATTTTTTTGAATTCCAAACAGTATTGTTAAAAAAATTTGACAAGTGAGATGATAAATCAGTTTTTTTAGATTTGGAGTATGAGGGATTTATTGGTTTACTCTGAGTGTATTTTTTTTCTGTCTGTAAACAAATTTTTGAAAAAAAATCTTGCTCCTATGTATAGAGTGTAGAATCTTTTCTTAAAGATAATTTTGTGTAGTTAGTACAATAGAAAGATTATTTTTTGATTTTCCAAAGGATTTATAATTTAATTAGTATAAACCAGAAAAAAAGTTATAAGTAAACAAGTATTTATGGTGTTACTAATTTCATTGTTTTTAATTAATATTCATTATGTTTTCTACCGAAAATATTGTTCCAATAGAAAAATAACAAGATAATTTTTTGTTACATTTTTAAGTTCTAGTTCATGAGAAAGTTCCTCCCCAACTACCCACCTTCAACAGTGAATACACTCGTCCCCAATATCAGATTTTTTAGTTCCATTTTGGCTACAAGAAAAAAAATAGGACCAACACTATAAAATTTTCAGTTTACTAAGCTTCACTCAGAATCTTTTTTTTTTATTGTACTGATTAATTGTTAAATTACTTTATATAAGCTGTATCCTATTCTTAACTAACTTTCTACCTACAAACATAGCTTACCTTTAATGTGAAGCATGTTTGGTTTTTTTTTCCATTTTAATTTATCATAGTATTTATTTTACTTTTGTATTATTTTAGGACATGTTCTAAAGTTTATGATAGAACAATTACATCACTATTTCCTGAAACTTATATTCCAGATGATGCTAGTGATGATTCTGAAAGGTACAAAATAAATTATATTGATACATTATATTCACATGAAAGTATAATTTATGTTAATTATTATTTATTAGTAATCCAGTGGAACTGGTTATAAATGAAAGTTCATCAAATGTTGAATTAGTAGAATATATGTGCAATACACAAATTGGTATTGGTTTTGTGAACAGAAACATGGGATTACCACAAAATACATTTGTCAGTAATGATGCAATTAAATGGCTTATGGACAATTTAAAATCTTTTGATAGTAGAAGCAAAGCTGTTGACCGCTTACAGGTTATATTGAAATGTATTATTTTTCTATCTATATTAATTTTTATCCAGTTTTACTATATTTTATTAGGATATTTTAAATGAAGGATTAATTTGCCATGCATCTGGAGATTCATCTCATCCTTTTATTGACGGATTTTATTTATATTATATGCCAGTGTGTGAATCACCTACTGACCAATGTAATTATTTTATAATATTTAATTAATACTATTAATTCATTACTACAATCAGATTTGTATGTGTATAGCTTTTCCTAAACATGATTTTCAAGCATTTGAAAATGAATGGGTTGAAGTGGAAGTCAAGGAGCCTATTCAGTATCCGAGTGATTCAGATATTTTAATGGAATCTTTGTCATTGCCAGAACCACTTAAGCATAGTTCTAAGTGGGAAGGTGCATAACTATCTGTTTGAATTATATATTATTATTATACTTATTATTAATATACATATATATTAATTTTTTTAGTTCCATGGTACAAAGAAGCTCATTTAGAGGTAGATGTTAATAGTAAAAGTGACTGTGTAGAATGGGGCCATGCTCATTATCAATCACTTTATCGCTGTGATCATGCATATGAAATTATAGCTCAGTGGGTAGCAGCATCTGGCTCAGTTGTAGCTGATTTGGTAAAATAACTCATAAATTTAGTTTTAAATTAATTACATTTTATATTTTATATCAGATCTATACATGGGCGCGAACAGCACAAACTGGTGGATTTCAATTGATACCATTACCAGCTGATCCTTTTGCTTTACCATATACACTCAAGGCTGATCCACTGCGTGGTCCAGTTTTTGTACCAATACATTTGGAATGTCTTTTAAAACAAGGCGAAAATAACTTATTTCATGGTAATTTGTTAGTATAATTGTTATTGTTAGGACATAAAATTGAATACATTAAGAAACTACCAAAATTATATTAATTATGGATTCCCTAAACCAATGGTTTTCAACCTAGGGGTTGTGACTAACAAAGGGGTTTTGCTGACAGTGGGTCATTTCGCCATCAAAAGAAAAAAAAATAAGGAAATTCTCAAGCTTCCAATGGAGGTTGTCAAAAAAAAAAAAAAAATGATAAAATCTACAAATCTTATTGTAATGAATACTATAAGCTCAGAAATGAAATTAGTTTTCATTCTGACTTTTTATATCTTCATAAATTGAGTTTAAAAATCTATAAATTGAAAATTGGCGGCAATCAAATGTGTGTTACCCGGTTTTTGGTTTTGTGGGTTACCACTGTGACTGAAATCATACCTTATCATGTATCTCTTATTGATAATGTTATTAATACATTTTAATTAGTATGGTACCTTAATATACCTGATATTTATAGTATACATTATTCTATTGTGTTTAACAAAACAATATTCCAACATTATGAAATATTCAGTTTCTAAAAGTATAATTACTCATTACAGTGCTATGTTATTGATATCCAGTTAACCAATTTTAGTGAACATTTTTTTTTTTTTTTTAATATTAGTTTTATTTGCCTCCAATTGATGATTTTAACATAATTATTAGTATGATCTTGATCAGTAAAGACTCAATCCTGTATATTTCATAAGAATGGTTATTATTATTATATTAGGATGAGTTTATCAATACAACTATCAATAATGTGATTATAGTGATAATTTGTCAACAGTAAATATGATAAATATAAATTGTATACTAGCAGACCACAATTATAAACATATAAAACTTAAAAAAAAAATATATATATATATTAATAAATGGGATACTTTTTTTTTATTGCTAAATTATCTTTGTGGAAATATGACTTGTCCTGCATCAGAAAACCACTGCCCTAAACAGATCTTATAGTTAATTTATTATTATTATTATTATTTTTTTTTTTTTTTTTTTACAAAGAAATAACCTTAAATTATGCTACTTGTTTAAGATATTTAAAGTTTAAAATCATAAAAAAAAAAATTAAAAAATAAATAACAACATTTTAAAGTAATTAGCAACTACTACTTACATAGAATAATTAGGTATGTATGTAATGTATTTACATTAAACAATGAAATTAATAAAATACTTAAAAATTATAACAAATTCTAAAATACAAATAAAATTCTCTTAAGTAAAACTGTTCTAGAGATATTTAGTGCAACTTCCCATGTTCATTTCAATCAAGTTGATATACAACTAAGTAGGCCCCCATGTACTTTTGAAAGTACACAAATAAATATTTGATTTATTGCCTGTTCCAAAAAGCTGACCTAGATTCTACAATTTGTTTTAAAACTTTATAATTTTATATATTTAAAAATGTTTACATATTTAATACCTATGAAGAATATTCTGAGGATTCATGGTCCCAAAGATTATTACTATTTCAAGAAACTATACTTTATCGGTTTGGGTTTGTAATATGCAATTCAAAAAACAATAATGACCGCGAATCATGCCGATATCATAACCAATACATTCATCTTACTGGTTCGTAAATAAATTTAATAAATATTTTGTGTAAAATATAAAAATGTTTAGTGTGCAATTTTTTATTCACAGGCAATGTATTTGTGTTAATACTTTCTGATTTAATTGATGAAATAACAGAGAAGAATGATTCTCCTGATCAAGGATTAAGTGATTTAGAAGCTGGAAATAATCAACAAGAAACACTATTGAGCCCTCATATGGAGTACATTACACGGCATGTTTATCATAGATCACCCAAAGATAATGATCCAAAAATTGAAAAAAGGGTGGGTAACTTATTAAAATAAATTGATAAGTAAAAAAAATGTAAATAATTTGTTTATTGTTTATTTATTAGATTTGTGTACAGAATTTTAATAATAATATTATAAACTTTGTAAAAAAATTATAATATACTATTTTATTAACATTAATTGTTTGTGTAGGTTGGATATCTTTGGGCATGGAATCATATGGTGAGTCGTAGGTGGAAATGGTCAAATCCGGCAACTGGTGATGAAGATTTTCAAAATAAACTGTTAAAAGATTTTAGACATTTTTGTAGTAATAAAGATGATAGGCTATTAAAATTTTGGAATAATTGTAAAACTTAATAATGAAATGTCAGGAATAAAATTATGACTCATAGTCAGTTAATTAATTACTCATACTGCTTACAATCCTTTTTAAGTATTCAATAAAATATAAACTTGTTTTAATTATGCTTAGTATTAACTGTGAGATATTAGTTGATAATTTTTTTTTCTATAAAATATACTATTGATTTGAAGTAGTTAAAACAATGAATTATTATTTTTATATAAGTACTAGAATGCTCAATGTGTTCTTTTATTGAGTGGTTCCCAAATTTGTTTTCTAGTGATGCCCTTATTTGGACTAAATTAAGTCACAGTGCCGCCCTGCCATGAATACCACAAGGAATATATATTTAAAAAAATACATACATACTTTGCACTGTTTATTGTAAGTGAGAAGTTGGAAAGGTAGGATATAGAAAGGAATTTCTTGTACTACTTGATGTAATACTTTTTGTAAATTTTCCGGGTTTTTTCGAGAAAAAAAATGTGAATTTTCGAAATACAAAGAACTGTTAGGAAAAAACTTTGAACAAATTATGCACTGCCGCTGGCGATCATTAGTCTCGGTAAACCCCACTTCTAAAAAACTTGTATTTATGGTTTTTGGTCTGGTTCATAAAGTTACCCTTACTTGACTTACTTTAAGTTGTACATTTACTAATTTGGGCTATGCTTGACTACCTTCATTTATGATGCATTCTTGTACTAATTCAGTTCAATGAGATGATTTTGAAGCAGGCTTCTTATTAGCAGATTCACCTTTTAACCAACCAATGTTTATTTCAGGGGGTGAGTGTGGTATTTTACATAAATAGGTTGTCAAATCAAAAATGAGTTATGGACCGATTATTAGTCATCTTGTTGACAATACATTTTTAAAAAAAATTTAGGTACCTGTAGTTACCGTGGCATTTTTGTTAACTTATTAAGTGTTATATTAATTAATCAGTTAGTACATAAACAATTGAAAAATGTTTTTGATAATAAAAGGTCAACATTTGAATATTAAAACAATCAAACAAATTAAGTAGGTACCTACATTATATTACCTACCTATTATTATTTTTGTAATCATTATCATTAGGTAGTGCATTTTTGTTCAAATATATTTGTTAAATACCTACTGCAAAATAACATTTCAACAATTAAAGTTGTATTTTTTTTAACAATGGACTAGACGTGGAGTTCATCAAACAATCCCCCCCCCCCAATTTGCTGTCCGCCTATTAACGAAATATTGATTAGTGTACAAATGAATTGCGAAAATTGTTTCCTCCTGAAAATTTATCACTTCAAATAGCTCGTAGGTGATTTAATCATATCATAATAAGATAAGGACAGTGTCGGCGCAAGTATACAGAAAGTGCAATAGCACCGGGTCTCGCGCTTTTATGGGGTACCTATGAAAAATTTAAAAATATTATAATTTAAACAGGGCCTCGCAAATCATAGCGCCGGCACTAAACAAAAAACTCTATCACTTAGAGGTTTTTAGCCCCTTATACCCTTTTAAAATGGGCACTCACTTAGGTCGGTATTTATTACTACAACAAGAATCACTTTACTGTCGAACCTGACGAAAACCCATATGAACAAATATGTTCATTCCATTCGAGGATCCGTGAGGCCAACCGCAAATTAAACGTAACGTATAGAATTGTACAAAACTTGAAAACAAGCAGTAACATGCAAATTATCTGGAAGTCACTCTGGATGGTTTACGTTGCCTAACCTATTCTAATTTAATGCTAATATATAGCGCTCATTGTGAAAATGTGAAAAATTAGAGACTACAGAACTAGAAACTAGAGAAAAATAAACGGACTAAACGGACTTTTACGCAAACTTACAAATATATAACAGATTATAAATATTTACGTTATCAATGTTATTGTGTTTATTTTTTGCGAACTATGTTTTCTACTAGAAAAATTGTTCTAACTAAAAATGAAAGTGATTCGTTTTATGAAATTTCAAGTAGTTTTCATAATAATTGGGTAAAACCGGGAAAAGATGAAAAATGAATGTTTCTGCGTTACTTTATTTTAAACCTTTACGGCTCATGAATTCTACCAGAAATATTGCTCTAGATTGTGAATAAAAAAAAGTCATTTTTTTAATTTTCCCCGTGGATTTTTATTAACTAGACAAAGCCGGAAAATGACGTAAAAAGAACGGGAAAGTTTACGAAATAAATGCTTTCATTTTTTTTTTCTACTTTGCTTTAGATTCTAAGTGTAGTGAACTAGCTAAAAATGAATTGGTTTTACAAAGATGTTTTTTTTTTTTTTTTTTTTTTTTGAACACGTTTTCTACCAGAAAGTTAGACACTTTTCTGAAAGGAAATTTTCTTAATGTAGTTATTTAGGGAAATCATTTTTCGATTATCCAATGATTTTTCTCAACAAATGCGAAAAACCGAAACAAACGGGAAAATGCATAGGGAAATTGTATTATCAAATTTTGACGGTAATCATAAATACTACGGCCTTTCAATACATACGTAATCGAACTTCGCATTGTTTTTCGTTAGCGATGGTTTATCGTTGCTTACAAGTATAAATTAAATAACTTTATGTATCCTATCTTCCCGATTTTCCCAACTATAACAATAGCGCCACCCGTCCCCAGTTTGAGCTCTTTTTTTTTTTTTTTTTAATTTTATGTGTACCTTTTTCGCAATAATGTATTCTTGTCTAATAAAGATATTATACATGATTTAATCGTTCTTCTAATAATACAAATATTCTTCGTCTTATTATTTGAAAATATTATTCATTACATTAGCACAAACACACATGTAATCAAATAATGTTATTTAAAAATTATTACCTGCTTTAGGATCTGAACAAGGCGATGAAAGTTTTATAGTGATGTTTGTTTTATTTTTTTTTTTTATCTGTAAACAACTTCTACCAGAAATCTTGCTTCAATTTTCAAGCGTAGTACCTTATTTCTTATTTGAAAGGAAATTTTATCTGAGCGGTATTTTAGGGTTGTAATGTTTGATTTTTTTTATGTGTTTTTCATGGAGAAAACCCGGGAAAAACGGGAAAATGTACGAAATGTATTATTTCCAATTTTATTTTTCGTTGGATTCAGTCAAAAGCATTCGTAGAGACTTGAAGTTTTGACAGAAAAATTATATTTGCCTTTTCTAGACGTGAAAAATTTTCATAATATTTTGGCCATTTTCGAGCTTTTTATATTTTGTGCGTAATTTTTATTCGGTAGGTACTCTATGAACAAAATTATTAGGCCAAACAGAAATGCTTTCAAATTTAACTGGAAATTTATCATAACTCGTTAGGTTAAGTTAACTCGGCCATAAATGCTTTCTACGGTGTCCCGCATTATATGTAGGTATACTGAAATTTATTTGTACCCAAAGGCTATTATGCATTTTAATTTCCAGCATGGTATACAAAAGATCAAGTACCTTTTCACGAAAGAATGTGCGCACACCAAGTACAAATTGACGCGCAACCAACACGATTACTCCGACTTCTCTTATATTCGTGCTCGTTTCAAGTTCGAATAAAAAAACTGCTATAAATCATACATCTCTCGTATCAAATTATCTTTACACAATAACCGTCGTGGCCTTCTGGGCTTTATCAGGAAGAATAAATCACTAAATGGTGTATATTATACAGGAAATTTTCAATTACCCATTTCTGTATTATTGTACGTACACTACATGTCTTATACCGTGCCTATATATTGAGATATATTGATTTTCAAAACATTTTAGAAATTCACGAGCTCTTTATACCTAGGTGTTTAAAACGTTTCACTTTCGCTATGAAATTATTATACAACTGATACGCATACATGTATATAACGTGACTGATCTATAGCTATTAATTCCATAATGGTTTTAAATCGGTACACGATAAAGTCACAAAGTTTTAACAAACAAATTATAATTCTCAACAGTTGGTATTATGATGTAAGTACAGTAGACTTGAGTTAAAACTCTGTTGAAGCCAGATTAATTTAAGCCACACCTTTGTGTGCACACCGGTTAAAACATCGGCCCGTTTACGAGAACTTGAGGATAAACATTGTCACGGCTGGTTTAAGGCGTAAACGTAGGCTTATGATTTTTTTCGTCTGGGATTCCAAGAAATATTTCTGGTGCAAATTCTGTCTAAACTTATTCATAATCGTTTTTTATAAACAATTATTCAATATTTATTATTATTATTATTTAATTATTTATGTAAAAATAATACAAATTTATTTATTTTTTTTTCTATGTATTTCCTTCATTTAATTTTTTTTATTCAGTCACGTTTTACATTTTGACTGTGATATACCTGATGATAAACTTTTAATTCGATATCGGTTAGGTATCACTTATCACGATAATCCAGGCGCATTGATTCATTTATTTATTTTATTTTGATATGTACATTTTTTTATTTAGATATTTATTTAATTTTCATTATTTATTGTTATATAAAGATATAAATTAAATTACTCTATAACATATCCTATACCTATTTTACCAACTTTCCACCTACAACAGTGGCACATCCATTAGCTGTACCAGATTATTATTATTTTTCTATATTTTTCTATTAAAAATATAGCAGAATTAAGAAATAACGGTGGTTTTTTTTGTTTGGTTCAATATCATATATGTAAATTACCAGAATAAATAATATGATCATAAATTCATAACATGTGTAAAATAGCTAACAAGTGTTTATATTGTACAATCGTTCAATTACACCAGTTTAAAAAAAATCGCTGAATGGTTTTTTGTAAGTAGGTACCAATTTTTATAAATACAAAATTAAACACATGTACACATATTTATGAAAAATATACTAAATAATTTTGCTATTCGGTATTATAGTAGGCATGTATAGGTATCTAATCTGTTGATCTATTAATATTATCACTTGTTCACACATTTGGTAGTGGAAAAGTTTTGTTTTATAATTTATAATAACAAATTGTGTTATTAAAAATAATTATTTTAATCAAACTACATACTTATTTTACACTCTTATTCATTTTTTTTTTTTTTTTGAAGACTGCATTAGAATATTTTAGAATAAAGCTTTTCGTTTTAAAATTTTAATTATTAAAATTAAAACTCTTAGAATTATGAAAACTGTAACCTAAATTGTTTTCCAATTATTAAGAGAATAACAAAGAAAATGAAAAACATGACCACTCCAATGTAATAACTAGACAAAATACATTTTTAAGTTTTAGAAAAGATGATGTATTTAATGATCAAAGTAATATGTCTGGTAGAAAAGTCAAATACGTTCCTTGTTATGTTCAGAATCTCTTGTTGGGGCATCTTGTTCTTCACAGATTAGATGTATACAAAAAAAAAAAACGCCAGGTTTCAAAAGACAATGAATAATATTATAAAGCATAGTATATTTGATAAATATCATTATAATAATAATAATATGTTGATATTACAGTAAATAAATTTATGATTATAGCACGGGTTCACTAATTGTGAAAATTAACAATCTAATGTAACAATACACTAAATACTAAAAAAAAAAAAAAAGCTTTCCTTAACTATTATATTAATAAATTTGACTATCTTATGTTAAGGTGCTTTAAGACCTGTACAAGAGGACGTTTTTTTTATAAGTACAATATTTATGCTTAATAAATATTTAATAATATTTTATTATATCATAATATACAATAGTAATAATTTTAATATGTAAATAATTACATTGTGGAAACACAAAGTATGTCATCAGGATTGTCTATCCATAAAAATGCTAATATAAAAACAATATATACTCTATTGAACAGAAAAAAAAAAGAACAAAACAAACAGTAAAATTAAAAAAAATATTTTAAAACTTGAAATAATACTAATAAATTAATAATAATTTTAACAACAATTTTATTAATAATTGCAATAATATTGATAATAATAATAAAACAGTTTAATTAGTTCAAACTAAATTCGATGCAAACGAACTGAATAGATATCTAATATTTTTATTAAGAAACACTATAGTGTATTTTAAGACACTTTTTAATAGTTGAATCTAAATACATTGCACAAAGGGATCCATTGCCTGTTTTGCATTAGAATGCGCATTTATATGGTATAATTTACATTCACATTGTATTATAAGTTTATACAATATTACTTAACTACAATAAATTTCAACCTAGAGCTTTAAATAATTTTAACAATATTTTAATATATTGTAAAAAAGTAAAAATAATTCTTGTAAATGTCAACATAGTCAACAAAATATTGATTATGGGTACAAATTGAGGTTCTTGTTTGTTACAGCTTTGCCACCATAATAAATGTAACCCCCCTGAAGTAATTTTGCTAAGGAATTATTTTTTCAATTAAAAGTTCGAAATGAGCTTACAGTTGAGTTATGTCATACTGAGTGTATCATAATCGAGCAAAATTTGTGGTGGGGTTACAGTACATAAGTACCCAAATTAGCAGATAAACCAAAAAAATTATTTACATAAGTCAAAAAGTGAATTTAAAACAAAACATATAGTATAACATAATACTATAATGATATTATAAATAATGTTAAGTGAAAATGTTTACTAACTTGATATTTTAAATATTATCTAATATTAATTTTATTTATACACAGTAACACTATGATATTACATACTATGATTAAGAATAAATAATGTAATTGCTTTAAATATAAAATTATTTATAGAATATAGAAGAATATTCAATTGTCTCAATTGATAAAACCCCCAATTGTATATACTTAAAAAATAAGACCATTAAATTTAAATTTCTAAAGAATTTAAGATTTTCTATATGTCCTTTTTTCTAATGTATGACACATTAATCAAAAGTCATGTGCTTATTCCCTTGCACCTTAAATTAAACAATAAAATATTAGTTAAATAGCTAATTGTCTAATAGTTGTTAATAATATTTTAATAGCAATATTGAAAATTATAACATAATTTCTAGTATTTGTATATTAATTAAAATTGTATATATTTTGAAAATGCAATAATGCAAATATACATTTAAAAAACCAATTATATAATTATGGAACACAAGATGAATAATTTAAATATTAATACGAGATCTCATTGTGTAATCAAAATTCAGACGAATCAATGAATCGCCTTAAGTACTATAGTTGCAATGATTTTTATTTTTATTTTTTTATACAGTTACATACACCGATATTATGATATCAATATGTATTGTTGGATTATATTAGTATTAGTATTTTAAAATAGATGTAATACAATAAAATATATAATCAAACTCTGAATTTTGAATGAAAAAACAAAATAAGTTTTGATTAGTTCAAAATATTGTTTATAACATTAAATAATTGAATATGTTTAGCACAAAATAGTATTGGTCATTCCTATAAAATGTTTGCTTGGCGATTGAATAACTAATAAAAATGTTATATTATATATTAAGAGTAAAATTTAAATAACTTGAATTAAACAAAAATAAAAATGAGACAGAGAACACATTTTGTTGTTTAAGTACACTGCCAGAAAATGAAGTTTTATGAATTGACACTTTCAACCATTGTGTTTTTTATAATTTCACCTAAATTATCAGTTTCTAAATTTAAAGTCTCTTTTTCGGATGTACTTGGAATATTAGGAATGCCAAGTGAATCAGTACTTTCAAAGCCTTGTATACTATAGGGCTGTAATAATTCAGTAAACGATTCTGGTTGGTTATCTAAAATAGATCCTCTTAGTAGTCTGTCTTGTGATAGAGGCATAAATGTTGGAAACGATTGGTATGGATCATATAAATTCTGCGAACTGTTAAGTGTATAATTGTTTAACGGGTTGGTTTCAGGGGCGATATGATGGCCATCATAAACAGGCAAAAATGAATGATAATTGTAATCATTCAAATTGCGTTCGTACTGCTGTGGTTGATAATATGGTTGTATATGTCTGGAATCGTGATAAGAAAAATTGGAAAGAAATGGTGATGTCATTGCTAGCTTATTGCAATGCTCTTCTTCTTGTGCTTCTCTCTTTTTAATTTCCAGTCTCATTATTGTGTGAATAAAATGCTTCCGAACTCTTGTTGGATTAAATTCAATGCGGCCAACAGAATTTCCACAGCCATCTACTGTACAACCACAGGGAAAGTTCATACGGTCAACCTGAAACAAAATAAGTAATAAGAACGGATTTCCAATCCAACCATCAACACAAATTACAAATTTATTAAAAAAAATTTGAATATTTTAAAATAATGTTATTATTTAAACAGATCAAAATTATTTTACATTTTACTCATGTATTATTCAACAGCTGGCCAACATTCAAGGTGTGTATACAAACATTGACTGTTTAAACGTTATAGAAGAAGTTGTATAGCTTAATATTGCTCAATAGCACCTTAGACTTAATATTAAATATTACATTTTAATAAATTAATTTATTAAAAAATACAAAAAAAAGTGTAATAGCCATGAGTATTTTTATATAACAATGCACATTTGTCTGCAATCAACATATATCTGCCAAAGGATATTATTGGGTAATAAATGAATACAAAATAATGGAAAAATGTACGAATGAAAATAAAATAATAGATTATGAAACAATTAATAGACGTATGGAACAAATATATCTCTTAAAAAATGAAGGAAGGAAAAGAAAAGTAATAAAAAGGCAGCAGCATAAGTATGTATTAATCATAAATAAAGGCTAATACTGATAAATCTAATAATACTAATATATTATGTCTTTGCATTTAAAATCTGTTTGAACGGTTACAATTTTGCTGAATGTATTATTTCTAACCTTATTATAAACATGTTATTTCTTTAACACAGAGTTGACATAAATTTTGTTTTGATTGTTTAAAATAACTAGATCTTTTTTGATATCAAAATTAATAGAATGGTTAGAATTCTTTTTGGTCAAATTTTTTAGATTTAATTTCAGATATGTTCTTTATACCTAACATTAAGTTTCTATTTGTCTTACCTATATAAAACTTATTCCAACTACATATAAACTTGTAATGCCAGAATTATTATAATTAGACAAAAGAGAATAATACATGGAATAATTTTATTAATAATTGTTTTAAGTAAATTATTATATGGTGTAAAGGAAACTCTAATATTATTAGGGTTATTATTCAGGGCATTAGCATATTTACTATAAATGAAACTTTGGAATTTCAAACTACTATAACTCAATGTATTATTGTATTTATTGCATTATTTACTAATTAGTTTTTCTTTATTTTATCATGTGTTTTGTTAATAGAGTTAAAATTAAAATTATTCTTAAGCCCAAAGTCTTGCAAGATGTTAGCATTGTGTATGAAAACACATTTAAATCTATGCAAAATAGAATTTAATAAATGCAATTTTTTGTGTATAAGAGTGATTAAAATCATTTCTAATAATATTGTCTATTTGAATAAGCTTTCCATAAAAGCTAAAGCTAATTTTACTGTGGACCAAACTTATAGTTAGGTCCATAAAAATTAATTTTGTTGAGGCTTTAAATTATTAGTCTGCCTATTAGAACTTTTAAATAAAACAAATGTGTTATCAACATACCTAAAAAAGGTCAAAATAAAATGTTTACATTGATTACAAATTAAAATATTTTTAATTATTTTTAATTAAAAATAATTTTGCATATATAATTTGGATAAAAAAGCACTCAATGGACTATCCATAATAAATTCATCATTCTGTGAGTATAATTGTGTATCATACTGGAAGTAGTTATAGTTGATAATAACATTGACAAAATTAATGATTTCATTTACTTCATTAGCTTTTTTATCTTACTTAAAGTTATTAAGGTTTATCCTTAAGTATACCAAATGATTCACGTTTTAATATTGATGTATAATGTATACATATTTTTCACATCAAGGAAGATCATTCTGTATCCAGGGGCAATATTAATTGTATTAATTTCATTGATAAAATCATAAGTATTAATAATTGAATGAACAGTGGATGTCGAGATATTTTGCTTGATAAAGGAATCCAAGTGTTCAGCAAAAAGGTAAGACGGAGCTGTTTTAAAGTATATAAAAACGGATTGGACGATTTACTTAATGCAGTTCTATGAGTGGATGTGATTGGGGAAAACATATTTTGTGTACTTTCATTGAAACATATTTATTATTATTATTTCTTTTTGCTTTTCCATCCTTCCTTTTTTAACCACGGATATATTTGTTTGTACCTACACTCTATGTCTATCACTTGTTTGGTAATCTTTTATTTTATATCTATGTATTTATTGACCTACTCTTGTTCCCGGTTTTGTTTTTTTTATTAATTTATTACCTGATAATGGCCTATAATGCCAGAACATGTAAAATAAAAAAAATGTATATATTTATAGTAATACTCATGGCTAATACACTTTATTTTATTCTATATGAATACGAGATCTTTTTATTTTTATAAGCTATTATAATAGTTTTGAAAGTTAGAATATGAAGTATTCATACACTCCTACTATACAAATTGAAGATCCTGTTTTATTTATTTATCTTATATAATATGAAAACAAATTTAATGAAGTCCTTACTTGACATGTGATGCCAGCTTGAAAGCAAGCGCATGTATCTGGATCACAAAAACCACGACACAAACAGCCACAAAATTCCCTGGATAGCCTTATATTTTTACAATCGTCTTTTTCTGAAGAATCAATTTTTTCAACACCAGCCGCCTTCAATAAAGCACGTCTTTGTCGTGTAGGAACAGGCTATAATAATATACAAAAAAAAAAAAAAATAAAACTTATGTTATGTTTTTTCTCATAAATTTAGATAAGAATAATTTTTACTTGTAAAAAACTTCCATTGCTATCTGAATCCAAGTCAGCTTCAGATTCAGAAAAAACATCTACTGCACCTACATCACTATCACTGTCATCACTATTGGTGACAGTCACTTCGGACTGACTTAGCTGAAACAAGTTTCGACGTATTCTACGTTGTTCTGCGACATATTCAGGGAGTGAAAAAACACGTGATGAACTATGCACTCTTGTCATTCCGAGAGTTGAACCACCCTAAAAAAAATACAATTTTTTAAATTTAATATCTGTAGTCTTACAGTTAAATAATAAGTATAATTATTTTGTTGTTTTATTTTACTTTAAGCACATTTTACATCTAAACACAGATTAGCGGATTATTATTATAATTTTACATTTTAACCCAAGATTGATCGCATTAGGGAAAAAGTTCGAATTTTCTGGGTTAAACATTTAAATTAAAATTTAATCATTTGTTTTTTTTTTTTTTTAGTTTGAGAGTGTAATATGTTAAAATTAAATTATTTCCTTAAAGTAATATTTGTTTTTATTTAGTTACATAGTAGCAGGGTCCTTCAGCACCGCATTATCCACTCAACATTACATACTAACCTCGTCAAACCCACGATCGTTTAACTTAAGTGAAAATAATATTGAAACTCCAGTCATGCGGAACAGCAATATTTTCCAGACAAATATGGTAATGTAACATAATTTGACACTATCGTGTAACAACAGGCGCCCGGGTGCCCATATTAATAAAGAGACTTATTCTATCAAAATGGAATAAATAGGTAAAAAAAAAAAAATCGTCAAATATTTTATTCAACTAATAATATGGTTTATGTGGGCCTTTTTTGTCGTGGACCCCGGGGACATAGGTCCCTTTACTCCCCCCCTTTTAATCCAGGCCTACTGGTCTACTATATACATATACACACATTCACATATCTTAACTCTTTTTTTTTTTTGCATTTGAGACACTAATTAATATAACTATTTACAATAAAAAAAAAAATGGAATAGAAATAATAATAATAATAATAATAGAATATAATGGAATCTGCCTATATGAATTTTGTTTTTTTTAATTTACTTGGAAAAATTATGTCTATGTTAAAATTACATGTCTATCCTACTTAATAAATTATTGTGAAATTTATATTTGTAGACAAACTTTATCTAGTTTATTCAAAACATTAAATTACCTGAGATGGAACACATGTAAATCCTTGAACACGAGGAAAGTAAAAGACTGTTACATTTGCAAAATTTATATTTCTACGTTTCTTCACTGTTGTCACTTCATTGGATGGTAAATCGCCATAACTGATTGGTCTGTTGTGTTTTAATATGCCTTTAACCATCCCATAATTACTACTACCAACTTCCAGTGAGCAGGTGTCTAGAATAGAATCGGAAAACTTTGGTTTTAATACTTCCATTGCCGATAAAAATTCGTTTGAAGTTCTTTGTAAATCTTCAAAACTCGATTCTTGATTTAATGTAAAATCATTATTATATGGTAAAATCGTTGAAATTGTTGAAACTGGTGCTTCTAAATTAGTAGTGTTTTTTTCTTCAGCTAGTTCAGATCCAAATCCTGAATCACTACCATCATACCGATCAGGTATACAATCTCCCTCTAAATCGTTTTGAATGCTAGTAAATCCGGTGTATACTTTATTGTCATTTTCGTTAGTGTACAAACTACCACTAGACACCTTACTAGATTTTTCCTCGTTAGCCAATTTAGTAGTACATAACTTTTTTACTGGAGAATCAAAAAAATAACTATTGCTTCTTTTAAAAGGCGTTAAATTGCTTATAGTATCTGTCTGTTCACTTAAAAAACAAGTATAATCATTTGAATATGTTGACATGCTTTGGCTATTTTGCGATGATTCATCTTTACTAATTTCTTCAATTGAAAACCCTCGTTTTTTACTAGCCGTAAATATATTATTTACATCAAAGTAATTCGTTTCATCTGCACACGAAAGAACTAGAGGTTCATTAGGAGTATTGAAAGAAGTAGATGTGGGCAAGGTCATACATAGATTGTCATTGCTACTATAGGATTTTGTATTAAAATCTAAGTTTGTTTTGTTGTCAGAACTGTTCAAGTTAAATTCATCAGGTTTTATATCAAATAATAAATTTTGAACGATTAATTCTGAATCAGATAGCACTTTTGGAGCATCCAGGCACTTGGATATTGTGTTTAATACATCAGACACATCGTCATTATTGACTTGGTCAATGTTCATAATATTCGTACTATCAACGTCAATAAAATTACTATCAATATTTTGTACGACGTTGGACTTGGATTCATCGGGTTGTTCTGTTTGTAATAATGTCGAGACATTATCTAATTCTTTTGTAATTAAAACTTCCATTGTATTTGAGTAAGTACCTGCAACAGAGAAAACACCTATTATAAATATCAATAGCTCGTGAATGGCTATATTTTCAAAAAAATGGAGCAATTTTTATTTAACTAATGCAAAATATATTTTATCTCGACAGGCGAAGAAGGGCGTAGTTACATCGAGCTTCACAAATTTAATTCTGACATTTTGCGTTCTAACTAACATTCATTTTATTTTGCTTCACCGATTTACTAATATCGTTCTCCAAAAGGGTGCCTAATTCTGAATAGTAGATTCGAAACTGATGGAAGAGATTCATTTCTTCCGTCAATTTTATTTACAATACACGATCAAATTAATTTTTTTTAAGTTTCGGCAAACCCATCGTTATGCAACAAAATCAGCATCTTGCGATTGTTATCGAATCACGAGTGTTCAAATAACGATAAACCAACCTCGTGCTAAACCCATTCATAGCGGTCTTGCCACAATTTAGACATCGTCCTGCAAGTCTAGCTGACATTTACAAATGGATAATATCGTCTACGGCGAAATCACCTATTCGGTTAAACGTGTTTATTTATTGAATTGTTAACTGATATCCCGCATAGTTGCGTCCGCGTACAGTATTGAACAGAAAAAAAAAAAAAAAAAATGTCTCCAGGCATACACCGCGGTAAAAAACGACGGTTTACATCGTCGGTTAAACACGTCGTGTTTGAAATCAAGACTCGACAGAAATAAAAACCGCAGTGTATGTCTTAAGACGATTATTATTTTATTTTTTTTCCAATATTCTTGTCCAAAACTGTACACACGCTTTGGTTTTTTGTCCGTACACTTCGGTGTTGACGGACGTGTTTTTATCGTGACGACGGAAACCGCGGTTTTTGGTATCGCAGCGTATGGGAGAGTCTTTAGACGTTGTCTTAGATACCCGACCGCGGTCCCAAAATGAACACGCCATAAAAATACGGCTGTAGACACTTTCGGAGTTCGCCCGTTAAAAAGTCTAATGATGTTGCACACCGTCGTTAAGTGAAACACAAAAATCTAAATATTTTTTAATGTTTTTTTTTTTTTTTTTTTATTATTATTATTTTTGACGTGTCGATAAAAAGACCGTAACAGTGTACGTGCGCTGTATATTCTCCAAAATATAATAATAATAATAAAAAAAAAAAAAAAAATGAAATGGAAGAAATATGGATATTGTCCCGTCTTTTCGGGAAAAATCGTAAACCCCGCTGACATTACGGTCAGTACGGCTGCGAAAAAAAAAAAAAAATCGAGGCTATACGTGCGCGCGGCAATTTTTTTCTTTTTCTCCGTTTAACTGCAATATCGATTGGCTAGGCGTAACGATAGTTGCACGTGCGATGCGACTGAACGATAATTATCGTTCAGGTATTTGCTGTTTCGAGTTTGAAATACATTATACACATGTACCTTTGTATTGATTTTACACGCGTATTGTTAAAATGTATTTATCGTCTGTTGGTGTTTTTTTTTTCCACGTTATTTCGCGCTTGGTTTTTTTTTTTAATTTTTTCAAATTTGTTTCCCAGTTGCCCGTACACCTATTATATCTACACCGATATTTCCGCGATTCCCGGCACTCGACATGAAATGGATACTCGCGGCGGCACCCGCACTGAGAGACTGTGGGCGAAATTCAAAGGGGGGCGGGGGAAATTTATAAAAAAAGTCGGTTGTGTTTCTGTTCATTGTCCGCGGAGGCGGGCACATGGCCGCGGCTACGCGGTTCAGTAGCCGCGGCGTACACTGCGCCCAGCCCTTATAAATATCCTGCGATTTGGCATCCGGCCGTTTCGCGGCCGTACCCGCCGCCTGTACGGGCAGGCGTAACAGTTGTTGTAAATGCAAATTTACAATGTATTTTCGCGTTGCGGGCCGAATCGTAATTTTTACGCTGAAACACGCTGTGCGGGCGCCGTGCACGCGCGCAATCGGCGAATTAACATCGCTACGCGTTACGCACTGCGCAAACGAAAAGCCGCGCGGACACGTCGGCGTTTGGAAATAGAAAAACAATCGGTTGGCGAACAGGTCCGTCGACCCGGCCGTTCTCGGCTGAAGCTCGGAAATCGGCGAGGGTCGTTCGGATCCGGTTCGCGTCTAGCGCACACGCACGGCCACCACAGTTGGTGCCGGACGGTTCCGCGCGTAGCCGCGGAACTTCGAAAACGCGTAATGGGTATTTTCGCGTCGTCTACAGGTACGGTACACAGTTAGCCGACCCACGCACGTACGACCGGGCGACTTAAATGTCGGGCCGCCGAACGTTCCGCAACCAAGTCGGCCGGGCCGGACAGAAAAAAAAAAAAAAAAAAAAACAAAACCAAACAATATTCGTCATACGGGTGCCTATTTTTCTGCAGACCCGCGACAGGAGAAACGGTCGGTTTCGCCGTTCCTCCCGGTCAAAGGCCCACTGCGCGAACCCCGCGTTTGATCGCACGTGACGCGTGCACGCTGGGGCGCGTACGCGCATTACACGGTCGTGAAATCGAATCGCGCTGGACCGTCCAGACATCGGGTACCGTGTGCGGCGGTTAAGTATTTCACGTGTTTCGCGGGAAGAACGTTGCAGACACCGTTTCGAACGGCCGATGCCCCGAATTGGGGGGGTAGGGGGCCGGGGGTTATTCGGTGTGATACGACAATATGCGGTGTGCCGACGGCGGGAAAAAAAAAATAAAAAGGAAAAAAAAAAATCGAGGGGAACCAGCTGCGCGCAGCCCTCGGCCCTGCACGCGGGGACGGTTCCGCAACCGTCGGCGCACCGGGGTTCACGTCGAGTTTAAACGGCCGACAAACAATCGGCACGCGGCACCTCAACGGGAGAACGAAATGTCGACGGAAATTTTTTTCCGGTTTTCCCGTGCGCCAGGGTGACGTGTGACGGCCCGGGTGCCCAACATAATGGTATTTTAGCTACGGCTATGGGTGGGTAGAGGTACTCGACAGTCGCCGGCACGTCTCGTCCAAACGGTTTTGGGTGCCGTATTAGACGATCCGATTGTAACATACGGATAATATTTTCGGGGTGGCGGGGGGAGGGGTGCGTGTGTGAAAAAAGGCCGTTGAAAAACGCGAAAAACGCGCTCATTCGAATGTGGTTCGCCAGCGTTGAAACCGTCTATAATGTATATTAATGTGTATTAATACACTTAATAATAATAATAATAATAATAATAATAATAATAATAATTCACGTTATTTACGTATAATACGTATTTAACGGGTACGACGTCCGCGTCCGGACGGAAAACCGTTTACCTGGCGGGCGTCACGTCCGATTCGAAAACCGTTGTCGGGCGCAGAAAATCAAAAGTTTTGCCGGGACATTTTCAAACGGCGGTGAGACGGCATAGGTGGCGGCAGCGGCGGCGGCGGCGGCGGCGGCGGCAGCGGCTAACGTGCTCTTGTGATCGTTGCGCGGACGACAGTGTCGACGAAAAACACCGAGTCGGATAGCGGACGGCAGTAGAGAGAGAATAAAAAAAAAAAATAAATGGTAAAAGCGCGCCGGGTGGCGGCGGCGGGCGACCGTCGGCGGCGGCGGCGGCGGCGGCGGCGGCGGCGGCGGCGGGCGGCGGAACAGAGCGCACTGGCGCGCGTAAGACGGCACGCTGCGGTGGACGGCGACGGCCGAACGGTACCCGCGTACGACACGTCGCGCGGCCGCGAGAACGTAAAATAAAATATTATAATATTTCGTTTGCCGGATAGCAACAGAAAAAAAAAAAAAAAAAAAAAAACAAAACAAAACCGAAAAAATACGCGACGTTCGAATAACAGACAATAACAATGCGGTGTATCGCGCGAAATACGATGTTTGGAATATTTCGAAATGCTAAACGTTTCGAGCACCAAACGGAAAACAACGATATCACAACGAAATCGTATACTCTACGCGGGCGATAGATATAATTATTACTGTTATTATTTTTTATCCCGCGACAATGTACGCGTAAAACGGATTCGCGGGGGGCAGGGGGGGGGGCGCAGCGCGGCGCCGTCGGCCGCTCGAGGGGATGACCGCGGGCGGACGGCGGGAGGGGCGGCGCGCGGGGAACGCGTACGCTAATAAGCGACAGCGTACCGTAACCGTACTGCTGTGCGGTGTAGAGAGAAACCGGCGGCGATCTCGGTTACGATTCCCGTCGCGGTCGTAGTAATACTGATTACTGGTTCGTCGCGGCCGTAGCGTTTAGCAGTGTGTACTATAGCAGTGCACTGGTAGTAGTAGAATAGTAGTAATAGTAGTAGTAGTAGTAGTATTAGTAGTATTAGTAGTATTAGTAGTATTAGTAGTAGTGTAGTTGTCGGCCGGTTATTTTTTATTTTATTGTACTTTTTTTTTTTTTTCTCTCCTCTCTTCGCTCGGCGCGCGCCTCCGTCCGATCGCTGTACGCGCCGACCGTCGTCGTCGTCGTCGTCGTCGCCGTCGATGCCGCCGCCGCCGATAATCTACTCCACGGCGACGGCACAATAATAATAATAATAATAATAATAATAACTGTCGTCGGAACTCGGGGCCACCATACACACACACACGCGCGCGCACACACGCGTGTACGCGCGCGGACAGGGGCGTCCGCACGCACGCACGTACGCCGTCGACGGCCGGCCGCCGCCGTACAAAAACCGTGAATAATATCGTAACTCCGTTCACCCGCCTCACCCTCTTACGCCCTCATCACCAACCGCTACCCCTCCCGTCTTCCCCTCCCCGCTTAGAGAACGGCCGCGTGCCACACCGTCTACGTCATCGTAACGGAGCGACAGCGGCCGCCGCTGCTGCTGCTGCTGCAACAGCATTGCGATCGGGTTATAACCACACACTACACTACACTACACACACGAACACACATACGTCACACGTACGCACGCACACAACAGGCTACCACGGCCTGTTAGTCCGTCACGTTACGTCTTTGCCCCGTGTAAACACGAAATGATAACATCGCCGTGGCGAGAACCGCCCCGAAACCGACAACTCCATAATCGGGTTCGGGATCGTCTCGTTCGGGATAATCGGGTGTAAAACACGGCGCCCGATTGCGGCGCTTTTCACCTGCGGACACACGCGCGTACACGCACGCACATACGCACGAAGCGATTGCGCGCAGCGAATATTAAAAGAGAAATGCACAATATTTTCCTCGCGGGGCCTCTACGCGTCGTCTTACCGTTTTCTCTGTCCGTTTAGCGCGCGTAATAATGTACCGAACAGAATACGCATCGCACTTCGGCGATCGCGACTGTTCGGTGAACGATTCAACGGTGAAAGATTAATAACGATGCACGCCAGTAATCTCACACCAATCGAAAACCGGAGACGTTTTTTTTTGTGAAATTTAAATTATCGATCATTTCTAGACGTGGCGACAAGCATTTTAGATTTTCGAGTTTTTCGGTATAGGTATATAGGTACTGTGTAGATTTAATTGTCAGGACCAAACAGAAATGCGCTTGTACGTTCGACATGACATTTGATTGTAAGTTGTACTTGGTAAAAAGTGGTAAAAGAAGATGGTGCGCCACTGTTATAGGTGGGAAGTTGAGAATGTAGGATACATAAAGATTTGAACATATATCTATAAGCAACGATAAACCATTGCTAACGAAATATGATTCAGAGTGAAGTTCTAATACACACGTTTTGAAATGACGTAGTATTTACGATTTTTATCAAAATTTGATTTTAAAACGAATTTACGAAAAAAAACTACTACATTACGCTTAACTTAATTTTTTCACTACTAAGTACAACTTATAATGGAACTCGTGTTAAATTGTACCTACACATCGTACCTATCAAAGAAAAACTGTAAAAACTACACGAAAACTAAAAAACGTAAAATGTTTATTAATAGCTCGAAAATATGTTCCGAATATTTTTAAAATTTCACCACGACAAAAAAAAGGCCAACATAAGTTTTTGTCGAAATTTTTTTACGAATATTTTTAAATGATTTAAAAATATTTAAATTTAATGTTACACAATATAGTAAAACAAAACAACAACAGCTTAAAACAATGAGACCATATTATAACTGTAAACTTTCCCGTTCTTTATTTGTCTTTTCCCAGTTTTTCCCAATAGTTATGAAAACTACTTGAAAAATCAAAAAACGGATTACTTTCTTCACCAGGTATATCTAAAAGGCAAAATAAAAGATCTCTTGGCATTTTTTGATTAAAGCAAAATATCTTGTAGAAAACATAAAGCGTAAAATTAATTAAAAAAAAAAAAAAAAACAACAAATAGTAAAAATACATTTTTATTAATATTTAATTGCCAGTTTTAATCCTATAAATAATTGAACAAGAAAATTATTTGTATTTGTATTTGTTTTTTTTTTTTTTAAATGGTACGCGTATTTTTATGTTTTTCTTCTTTGATACATAGTGGAAATAATGTAAAAAGTAAACGCTCGAGGCTTTATATTGAATACGTGCAAATATAACGCCATCAATCTTCGTACTCAATAATATTTTGACTTGACGGGTCAAGTACGGTAAAAACGGCAAAAAGGACGTTTTTTCCCCAGAGACACAACCTGATATTCAAATAAAATATACACCTACTTTTTTTTATATAACGTACCTTTCGGGTAGTCGGGTCGTTCAAATGTTGATTGATTATACATAAACTACCTAGGTTCGTGTACAATTCTAATGATTTAACTCTGTGTCCTGATCCTTTAATATTATCAGAAACAAAATTAAAGAAACGATTATTCCTAACCTTAGATATCTATATTTTGTATTCGTATTTTTGAGCAAATATTGTATTTTTTTTTTTTTTTTACGTACATCACCAAAATAACTAGTATACAATTTATAAATAAACATGAGCAGCAGATCTCCGTCACTTGAGTCGATTTTCCCCGGCCGACCTGTTGCCGTAATCATATTTCAACTTTTTTTTATAATGTTAAGAAATTGAATAAAAAAGTTTTATCAAAATAGGTTAGATTTTTTCTAACATACAAATAGACGGCGGGGTCAGGGATTGGAACCTCAAACTTTCTACAAAGGCACATCCTCGATAACAATTCTATTCGCATATACACATTTTAACCAATTTACATACTTTCACGAGTCTGCACGGGTATTTTAAACGCGCTATTTTCTGTGAAAAAATGGCCGGGAAGGGCGTTGAAAATTGAAACCGCCAAAAGACCACCCATCCTCGGATACTTACATTATGCGTGTAAACAAATGAAATCCTCCGGGCTTCTTTTGAGGGGTCTGTAGGAGTACAAAGATAAAAATACATGCTCCACTCCGGCAACAAAATTGCATCACTTCGATCGGGCTAAAACAAAATATTCTAATCGCCGGGTTTGAGCTCTTTTGGTCCAAGAGCAGCCACTAAATGCGCCCAAATGCGTCTACACACGCACTGTAACAGTTTCTATTTTCGGGGAAAATTCGATAGGAAAAAAAAAAAAAAAAACGTTTGCTGTATTATATTATTGTGTTATAGGCACTCGCGGGGTTTGTCTAATATCGCCCGAATCGCCGTAGAAAATATTGTCTATACCTGAAATCGTCTCTAGATATAACCGTTAAACGTATCGTTTATACCCAATGTGTCGTCGAAATTAATTTTGAACCGTTTCGAAAGTGAAGATTTTGAAAGTGTACAGTTGCAACTGCACGCTTTCCGGAGAGGGAACACAATTGTCGATGGTTGTTATAAGTTTTAAACCGCGCGAGCGAATTCGCAAGTTTCGCGCAGTACTGTTACCGGCGTGAACGCCACGCGATCATGTTTTACAATATTAGCAGACGTATATTATATTGAGACCAACGTCGAAACGGGTACTTCTGTGCAACACCATATCACGGATATCTATTCCATGTGAACGGCGTGATACTATTGTGATTTATTTTCAAAACTGTAATCGAATCGGGTTTTTTCGGAAAAAAACAAAAATAATAATAATTTTTTTCGGGCGAACACATTTGCGTGCGTTACCGTGTGCGCGTGCGCTCCGTAACGCGATAAACTGTGCAGCGTTGTAAAATTGCGAGCGCACGAAAATGTTACGGAAACGCACGTACCCGCGGGCGCCGGTGTTATAAAGGTATACGCGATAACGGCGCCAAAGGTGCAGGCGAGAGAAAACAAAACCACACACAGTAAAAACAAACGCGAAACCGTATACAATTCGTGTTATCGTCGCGCTCGCGCGTGATTACGTGGATCCGAACTCGGCCGTCGATAACAGTGTCGTAACCGTACCGGAGTGTACCGGAGCGCGTGCGGTTTTTTTGGGTGTTTTTTTTTTTTTTTTTTTTTATTTTTTCTCCCTACCGATTAGACCGTGACACCGGCCCGGGCCGGGCACCTACCGTATTTATTTATTCATTTGTCAAGCGCGAGATAAGTATACGCGCGGGACGTATTGAATTATAGATTAGGCGGTGCACCTATACAAACCGCGTATACCGTGCCGCGGGTATACTTACCTGTAATTTACCAACGTAGACCGTGGCCGTAGCCACGGGGTGAATTATTCGTATTTCGTTTTTTTTTTCCTCGCCGTTTTCGATAGCCGATATCCGGATCGATATTTCGTCGGTGGGTGGGCGGCGGATAGTGGGGAAGGGGAATCCGCGACACGGCGAATAAATGTCCGAAACAATACTAGATCACTGTTATAACACTGCGGGCGGGACGGGGGGAAGAGTTCTGAAATGCCCGTGAAAACCGTATTATGTGTACATAAAAGGGTTTTGGAAAAAAAAAAAAAACCAACAATAAAAACAAATAATGTTTTATTATCGTCCGCGTGTATAATGGGTACCTGTCCCGTTGGCGTTATATAGTCGCGAGCCGACATCCGATCCCTATAGATATATAATTATATAATAATGATAACTCGTGCCAAACGGACGAGTAGGATTGCATAAAAAAAAAAAATAATAATAATAATAATTAAAAAAAAAAAAAAAAACAGTTTAACGTGCGTTTCACATACAATTTCATGTAAATATCGCGTTAAATATCGTTTAAGAACAAAATCGCAATTGCAAAAACAAAAAAAATTTACTTCACCGTCCAATAGATGAATATAACTCTATATAATAGGATGAATAGAAACTATAAACATATCTTCACATTTGCACTCTTGAGAACGTAATAGTCGTTTTGATTTCAATTTTGAACGTTTCAATTCACAGGTACGTGTTTCGTCACAACGAAGTAGTTATATTATTATATGTTTGTCTTGTTGACGCGATAGGACGAGTAGACGGTGGATTTACGATGTTTTCGGAACGAAATAATGAGTTGTACATTTCGATTGCCTGCGCTACGTTGGGAATAGCCGCAAATGAATTGCAAAATATTGGCACAAGTCCGAAATCGATCGGATAAAGTTAGGCTGCGTAAAATAGATTTTGGCCTCCTCCCCAAAATTAATACTTCGACAATTCGATTACGTCAAAAATAATTATTTGCGAATTCTGATTCATTTATTGCAAAAAGTTGATAAACATTGAAACAGGTCTGGAATTCATTAGACCGAGGTGAAGAGGGGACAAATTCACGGACGTGATGGAACTCATTGTAGAAGAGGCCTATCAAAATCCCGAACGCAATAAACCAGAAAAATATCAGTGGTTTCTAAAATATGTTAACGAATATGAAATTCAGATACCAAATCCGGAGGTTTTAGACATACTGGACGAAAATTTAGGTCCATTTTGCTAAGTGTTTGGAGATGAAATAAAATAAATATAAATAAACGCCATTGTAAAATTAATACAAATAACGCAGTTGCTAACAATCTTCAGCAATTACCTATTAGAATACATTAGAAATTTAGGAACCGCTGGGTTTTACTTACTTCCGGGACATTACGTTCCGGGTTTTTAACATTCTGGAAAATATTATGGCTTTTCACTATCATAGGGCGGTAAACGGTCAATTTGAGTAATTATGTCGATTTTTCGTTTACCAAATATTTGCACGGGTTAATGTTATAAAAATACAAACTAAAACAAGTAAAAATACAACTATTATTATTATTTTTAATTTAAACAAATATTGCAGTTTGAAAAATCCACACCGAAATAAATTCAGGATAAATTCAGTGGCTTTTTAACTATGAGATTTTTATAGTAAATCCAATATTATTTTCATTCAGAAATCATAGATTATTTTTTTAAACTATTAGGTAAGCACTTTGCCTAATCGTATAGATAATCGCATGCAGGTTTATGCGAAAACAAGAATCACCCATTTATATAATATATTTAAATTTATTGTTACACATTTTGAATATAAATTCATTACTTGAATTGACAGAGGGGACACGGAAAGACGGAGTACATTTTCTTTTCTAAATATATCTTAGCGTACCCCTTCTAATTCTTCATAATGGGCACGAAGGTACCAATAAAAACTAATAGAAAAGTGTGACTCATAATAACGAATTTACCGCCTTCAAAATATGTGTTTAGGTATTTTTATTTTTTGGTCTTTCGATGAGTAATAAATTTGACAATAACAGAAAATAGCAGAATAAAGGCTCTAACATTAAATTAAAATGTGCCAATTACGTTTTTTTGTATGCATGAGAAATTCGTGCACACTATTTTTTTAACGAAAAGTAGCAGAATTTTATTTCTGGAAGATCATTTTATGGTTTTTTTAATACTTTTCATAATAATTAGAAAAAATGAATAAATTTACGGTATTAAAAATTGTATTATTTAAATTTGATGTTTCTATTATAGAAATTTTGATCTGAATTCTAAGAGTAGCATATTAAAGATATTCGTTTTTTGATTTTCTTTGTTCTTTTATTAATAATTGGGATAAACTGGAGAAATACGTAGGAAAAACTATAAAGTTTACAGCAATTACGTTATGTTCGATTTTGTTTTTTTTTATTATAATTCGGCTAAAAAAAACAGAGTAAAACACGAGTAAGTAAGGTAAGTTGAGATAAGTTTATAATACTCGTAGTTCTCTCAGTAAAAGTATCGTATCCGATTAAACCAAAAAAAAAAAAAAAGAAGAAAGAGAGCTGTTACTGTTTATGAGTGTACCAGTGTTGTAATTGGGAAGTTGGGAAGATAGAAAAAAAAATGTTAGTTAATTAATATCTGTGCACAACGATAAACCATTACTAACGGAAAACGATTCTGAACCAAGTCCGGTTATATATGGTTTGAAAGGGTGTAATTATATACCTACATTAGATAATTGAATTGTTGTTCAATATAATTAATGTAAAATTACTATATCAATCTAATATCAAACTGCCGTGACTACCTAATGATTTAGAATAGGTATGTGTAATAAAACTACCCAATATCCATTACTAAATACTGCAAACATGTACAGTATTTGGCGTTCATTAACCAGTTATCTAGGCCACAGTTATCTATTTTATCGAGGCGACCGTGACGTTGGTATGTTTTTCCTTTTTATGCTTTGTTGATATTACTATTATCTATATATAGTTTCCCACGGAATAAATAGAGAAATATATTACCTACTTAGCTATAACTATTATTTATCAAGTCTCTCTAGTGTTCGTGTCCCCTTGCTATTTCAGGTGTAATACAATTTCACATATTCGTGTGAAATAAACATTAATTTTTTCCCATAAAACCGTGAACTTACAAATTACTGTACAAATTTATGAATTCTGAGTTTTGAAAACATTTCTGAGAGGGATATTTAGACTTCTTGGACTCTCTCGAATGCAACCTAATTTGTGTGTTTAAAACGGCACTTCAAATGTCCCAACTATCCCTGATTTTCCCAGATTAGTTAACAAAATATGCGATCACAGATAGTAAAAAGACGTGCATACTGCATTTGGGTTGATGTTATATTATTGTTAATCAGACCATTACTATTGTCGATTTTTTTTAATACTTTGAGAATATTTCAGCAACGCCCTCTGAAAAAGTCTAGTCACACCATTCGTTACGATAATTGTATTGCCATGCCACAAATCTAACCAAAAAACAGTGTGCAATTATTGAAATTAACGATTCGTCAGCGGTAAGATACTTAATTATTAGAAAAAGTATCTTATTTATCGATTTCTGTTTAAAAAAAAAAAAAATAAGTATTTTACCAAAACAAACCTTTAAGAAATAATATATACGATATCAATTGTAGGTTGGTTGATATTGGTTTTAAAGCTATCTAGAGTTATGTAATTCAAAACTATGTATGTCTTTACATACATAGTTTTGAAGACTTGAAACTTGGACAGAAAACTTACATTTGTCTTTTTTAAACGTGGTAAAATTTTCAAAACATTATAGCTATTTTTGAGCTATATATATATATAGACATTTAAATTTTGCGCGTTTTTTAAGTAATTTTTATTCGGTAGACACTTTGTAGATAAAATAATTAGACCCAACAGAAATGTTTGACAATTTAACTGGAGGTTTATTAATTTAATTTAATGTCCAACTAGAAAAAATTTGAGCTTGATGTAGTATTTTTTTGTATAAAGACATTTTATATCAAACTTTGACGAAAATTGTTTGAGTAAAAATTATGTGGAATAAATTCAAGTTAGTTACTGGTCCATGCAAATTTTTCAATTTTTTTTTGTTTTAATTATATGTATACCTATTGCCGATTTAAAAACAATGGCGGAGTCAAAATTGAGCGCACTGACTTAATTTCGAAATCATAGCTTTTTCAAGTTCTAATATTATGCGGATATTATATGTGTTGTATTAAATAACTAAATATTTTCGATTTTATAGTATATGTATGCCGTAGTCCAGTTGTAACATGTATAACCGAATTCCGCTTAGAATCGTTTTTCGTTAGCAAAAGTTAATCGTTGGATACATATATATATATATATATATTAAATTCGTCTATATATCCTACCTTCCCGACTTCTCACTTACAACAGTGACACACCCATCGTACGAAGTATGTCCGTATTTTTTAATGATTCGTTTAAGTTTGTTTCTCCGAGAGCAAGAGAATAATCTTCAATAATTATTAGAAGATACCGTACATCTCGATTTCAATTAAGTATTATGAATACATCAATCAATTTTTTATAAAAAAAAAAAAAGGATCGGGAAGATGTACACAATATATTAGTAAAATATTACGATTATTTTTACTGTGACATTTTTTCTACTAGTAATTTTGCTCCGATTTACAATGATAGCATTTTATCTGGAAGGAAATCTGACTGGGAAAGTACTTCCGGAAAAATCGGAACATTAAACAAATATTATTAAAGAAAATATATTATACCTATTAAAATAATTTTACCAAAATATGACATAATATATATTGTTGACAAAGCATCACTGAACTCCGTTTTTTTTTTCGTTAGAAATGATTTATCGTTGCCAACAGATACAAATTTAATTACCTATAACAGTGACTGCACCCGTTTCCATTATCCTAGGACACCTTTTTTTCCATGTAGATGTAATTAAAAGATTAATAATAGTATACAACTTTGATACATAGGTACATTAATATACATAATATTATAATAATACTTTTTATTTGTGTTGTAAAATGTATTAATTTTATTTTCACGCTAGTAGTAGTAAGTATTTGATAGTTATAATTACAGATTATGTAGTTAATAATCAACAATTTATTAATGAATCACATTATTATTTTATTTATAGTTGTATAAATAATAATATGATAATTTCAGTTGTTTTATAAAGGTAAACCGGGGTTAATTTTGGTCGGGTCTTTGTTTATTGGTAAGAAACCGGGTTTGCGAAATATTCGAATTCCGGGTTTTAGTTTTCAAGCGTTCACCGGCTTTTGGGTTTCCGGTTTAACCTTGTTTCGATTTTTTTTTTTTTTTTTGCGGTTTTTGAGGTTTAAAACCCGGTTTGATTCTCTGGAATGCACTGACTGTATTACCCGGTGTTTTCCTGGCTCATCTGAAAATGGGAAATGGGATTCTTTTTGGGAATAAAAAGTGCCAGATGACCTATTATAGGATCTAAAGTAACTGTGTTCCAAATCCTTTCAGTCTTTACGAAGTTGAGTTGTACAAACCGTGCACACACAAATTTCCGCTTTAGTAATGTTAGTACTGGTAAATAGCGGGTACCTAAACATAGTGTTATAATATCGAATTTGGGATCGCGAATAAATCGATTTAGAAAAATACCTACACTCACTACTTGTCATATTCTCGGTCGTGATGCAATAAACTCGCATCGAGCCGAGTTCGTCTGCACCGTCACGGACCGCTGGAGTCTCGTTCGGTCATTCGCCGCGAGGAGGTCACGTTCAATTACAATGTACCATTTTATATTATTGTATACATTATGTTTAACGGGTTCACTCTATCCACGAAGAATTTGTCTTTTAAATAACGATTTTTGTACTCGGTAGCTGGTATTACTAATATCCATAACTATTCATTTGTCGGCGACTGCAACAGACGTAAAACTGTTCCGCGTTATTACGGGAATCTGCGCGGTAAAAATTACGAGGGGGAAAAACATCGACCGACAAAAGAGCCCGAAAAACAATTTTCCGAAAACTCTACGAGATCGAATAAATTTTCGCATGTAGTTACGATGCACGGGGAGGTCATTTTTGCGATTTATTTTTGATTAGCAATTTATTATTGTTCGACACGTCGGTAGGTACAGTAGCGTTTTTCTTATGACCGTTTATGTTTGATTTATTATCATTTATCAGCAGTCCGCGGCGGCGTTAAGTTATTAAATATCAAACGGCTCGTCTGGAGTACGCGTTACACAGTGTGCATAATATTAAACAATGTCTACGCAATTTGTACGGTGATTTTCTGGGGCCAAAATTTCCCTGTCACATATTCAATATCCTTTGGATTTGATACAATTCACAAACGTCAGAAAAAACTCGTCTGATGGAATCTTGGGCGAAATCGCACATACTTCGACACAATGTCCACCCTTCTATTATAACCCGTAATCATATTTACCGTTATCATCACCATATTGTATTGATTAAGTGGTCGAATTCCGGAATAAAATGTGTACCTAATATAATAATAGATCGATCGGCAAGTGCGCGTAGATTAGTCAAAGATCGGAACACAGCTGTAGATATTTCTCTGCAGACTTTCGCATGTATTATACCTATACATATGGTGACCAGATATAAAAAACCAAAAAAAGTACATTTTAAAATTAAGGTCCTTCGTTTAAAAAAAACTCTCCCTTGAAAGAATTTGCAAACGTATATACTATTCTACCCATTTTGTCCATAGCTCATCTCCATTTGTGTACATTTTTTTTTTTTATCTGATTACTCTATTATTATTTTTTCTATTATCAATTATAAATATCAGGTAAAACTATAATAACTGGTGGTTATACAGACGTTAAGGTTAACAACGTTTTTTTTTTTTTTCTTTTGTCAAACAGTGGTTCTCTAGTTGTCGCTACAGTTGTCAGCCACTTGCCAGACGTTTGAAATGCATTAGGTCGAACCATAAAATATCTAAACATAAACGAATAATCAAATTCTAGAATATCGTAAACGTGTATTAGCCCATAATATTTTCAAAAAAAAAAATAGTACAACTGCATGTACTCAACGCTATAGGGACACAGGACAATGCATCAAACGACAGTACGTCTGGTCACCATACCCACACATGATGAAATATCCGCCTATTGTATTAGTACATAATATTTTTTGTCGAAAAATCCGTTTCCCAGTGCACCGACGGTCCGCGGGAACGCGCAACTAAGAGCGCGTACGCGTGTCGCGTACTTACACCGAAAATTCGTCCCGCACCACAGGAGGTCCGAAAGAGTCGAGCACCCCCGCGAATCGCGAGAACTACCCTGCACTATGGTAGACATCCTTTCCGTATTCAATTGCACCCTCCGACGGCCGCGACGACGACGGTCGGGCATTACGGGACAATAAAACTATTTCAGCAGTTTCCATTGTGTTATTACACACACGTTGAGTATCGTTGTGTATCGGGTCTTGTCCCGGTGCGCGCGCGACAGACGTATACGAAAAACACAATAATTATTATACTGTTTTCTAGAGGGGAAGGAAAAAAAAAAAGAAAGAATGAAGAGAGTAGGAAAAAAAAAAAAAAAACAAAAAAGAATACGAAAAGTACAATAATAATACTATAACAATATGGAAACGGTCTCCCCCCGCAGGTGACCGCCGGGCGGCCGTCGGCAGGTGCGACCCGAGCACAGTCGCGCGCACGCACGGGCACCCGCCGCCGGTTATATCCTTTGTGGCGGCGCGGGTCGGTCGGCGCGGTGCAGTTGGTTGGTCGTGGGGAGGGGAGCGGGGTGACGACGGTATTTACGCGCGAAACGAAAACATTACGTCGTTATTGCATAACACGCGACCGTCCGGACCGCCGCCGTCGTCCTATGGGTGCGAACCGAGGGCAACGACGGCGGCGAATCGGACGGGCGTAGGCCGTACGTTCCCGTACGGGCATAAAACGTTCGCGCGCAGGTTAACAGGTATAACAATATCGTTACAATCGGCGTGGTATCTGTGGTATACGCGCGAACGCCGATTATAATATCGTAACCTCGGTACGTCCGTTCTCCGCGCCGCAGTGGTTTTCAACCTTTTACGAACCGCGACCGACCCTCTTATTTTCGGATCCCGAGTGGAGCGAACAAGCTTACTGCGGTGTTTTTATAATGATGTTTATTTTTTTATTTTTTTTTTTTTTGAGATTCCGAGTGTACCGTAGAATGTATTGATTTTACAAAGATCTTTGTACTTTTTTTTTTATGTGAACGCTTTCTACCAGAATGCTTACTCCGATATATATGATGCAGGACATTTTCTTGGAGTGGTCCATTAGTGGACCACCCCACTGTGAGTTAACCCAGCAAATGTGAAAAACCGGAAAAAAAACTTGGGAAAACCGGTACAATATTAAACAAATATTAAAGAAAATATATAATGCCTATTTAATTATTTTACCATAATATATATTGTTGACAATGCTTCGCTATTAACTAAACTTCACTCGGAATCGTTTTTTCGTTAGCCATGGATAATCGATGCTTACAGATATACATTAAATTATCTATAACAGTGGCTGCATCCGTCTTCATTATCCTAGGACAGCTTATTTTTTTTTCTTTCATTCATGATGACTCATTCAAAAATCGTTTAATAGAACTTGAACAATACGCGATGTAGAGTATACAATATGGTACTTATGATTTTCGGCGACCCCTAACTATAGTTTGCGATCCCTTTGCGATTCGCGATCCCCAGGTTGAACATCACTGCTCTATACGGGGTATACCGTCCATCGGGATACCGACGACGATATTGCGACTTAACCACGATTCGTTCGTCGAACAATTGATCAATTTGTTTCCTTTTTTTCGTGGTCGACGCATTTTTCCTGTCTTTTTTCCGAAAATTGTCTTCCGAATTGCCCATTATTACAATATTATACGATTTTGTAGGTATTTGTAGGTATTTGTACGATAATAATAATAATAATAATAATAATAATAATAATAATAACAATAATAATAATAATAATAATAATAAAAGGCATGCTCTATGAGCAAGGTGAACTGTTGTTATGGGCCAGAACTCAGAAGTTGGTGAGGTAAAGGAGAAATTGAATGAACATTTGTACGTTACGATTAATCGCATTGATCGTACCTAACCTAACTTAACCTAAACCTTAACGAGTTTTTAGTGTAAAATTTGATATATAGTTATTTCAAAATATAATATTATGTCGGGAAACCATCATTGTTTTATGATTTATAATATATTTATTTAAGGTGGAAAAAAATATATGGAAATATTTCGCATGATGTGTAGGCCATAATAGAAGGGGAGAAATTAAGAAGGTATGGGGTATACCATATGTATATCTGTACGCAACGATTAATCTTCGCTAACGAAAAACGACTTTGAGCGGAGTTCGGTTTTATGTGTTTTGAAAGGCCGTAATATTTACGATTTTAAAAGAATACATTTCGTAATACATTTTTCTCGTTTTCTTCACGTTTTATTCCGGTTTTTTCCATTTATTATAAAAACCTCTAGGAAAAAAGTAGAAAAGTAGGAAAATTGTTCAATAAAAAAAAAATAAACATCATTTTAACACAAATAAACAAGTCCAAGGAAAATAAGTCCAATAGAATAAAAGACTAACGAATAATTGAAATAAATATTGACGATGAATGTTGTATATTAAATAGTAAATACAAATTACAATTACATAGATACAAAGTAAAACAATAAATTGTGATTATTTGTTGTTTTTATTAAATTTTGTTAAACTAACAAAATAATTGTTGGGATAAATTCAATTGAAAAAAAAAACAGACATACTTCGCACGTGGGTGGGCCACTGTTGTAGCGGTGAGACGTTGGAAAGGTAGAGGGGGAAATTATAATGTACATCTATATGCAATGATTAACCATTGCTAACGATTGTGTTGTTTTGTCAACAATATAATATAGTAAAGTATATTACGGTCTTTCGAAACATGTATAACTGAATTATGTTTCGAATCGTTTTTCGTTAGCAATTATTAATCATCGCGTACAGATATACATTCAATTCCTCTCCATATCCTACCTTCCCAACTTTTCACTTACAATAGTGGCTTACCAATCGTGCGAAGTATGTCCGTCTAAAAATGTGTTTAAAATCATGCATTTTAAATTGTTTGAAAAATCGATTTAAAAAAAAAAAAATCATTTTTTAAATAGCTATTAAGCGGTATCTCAGAAAACTTTTGAGATAAAAAAACATATAAACATCGAATTTGCTCGAGAACTGTAGAAATATTCGAATCTAGTATTAAAAATAGGTTAGGTTAAATTAAATTATGGACGACCCTCAAAAACCTTCAAAAATCAATTTTATTTTATGGTAACGTTACCCCAGCACCCGGGACCATGAATTGTATCAATTTTCAATCGTGCAGTATTATATATTTTGTACGATTTTGTATAATTTCCGTATCATCGCTATGACGATTCTTCTTAAGGAGTAGTGGTAGTCAAAACATTACAGTAAAAATTGTAAAACTATCTTCTTCACTATACTGGCCGTATAAAGCAGAAGTTAATGTATTGTATAATAATAGCAAATAACAATAAAGAATTGATGTGTCTCAAGCCTTTTCAGATTTCACTGGGTAGGTGCTGACATATCGTACTGTCGTAACAAATTATTTTATAATTTATAAAGAATGAAAGTATTAAAATTTAACATTCAGATATTAACTTTTAAAATAATTAAAATTATACGGAGGTAGGTACATCATTATTAATAATAGGTAGGTATCGTATTATTACATTAATATATTTCCGGGTGCTGGGGTAACGTTACCGCAGCAACCGTAAGAAGAAATTGAATTTTGAGGATTTTCGAAGGTCGTACAAAATAAAGTACACATTACTATACGTTTGTAATTTGATAAAATTAATGGTCTCAGGTGCTGGAGTAACGTTACCGTAGCACCGGTAAGATGAAATTAAATTTTGATGGTTTTTAAAGGTCCCATACAATTTAATTTTGGTTGTACAAAATAAAGTAAATAATACGGAATGATTAAAATATGCATGATTTTGAAAGTACGGGTGCCAGGGTAACGTACTTATATTAGGCTGCAGGTAATACAAAATTATAATACACTCAATGTACCTACAATGTTCACTCAGACCCCCATACACGGTCAGTCTTGACTGTCAATCACGTTGGTTGTCATAAAACAGTGACTATGTATGTGTATGACTGATAATGACTAACAATCAAATTTTTTGACTGATGAATTTCAAACATGTTTAAATTTCGACCGTCAATCATGTTGATCATTCAAGACTGACTGTGTATGGGGGGGCTCAAGTATTATGGTTATTAAATAAAATTCACTGTGAGGAAGCACAGTTTTTTAAAAATAAATTATTACATACAAACGAAAGTACAATTAATTTACAAATACTCATACTTAATTTATTAATAAAAAGCAAATTTAAAATATCCAACACCAGTCTCAAAAATAATATGAACTTATTGAGATTACTCGCTTATCTATTTGACAGTAGTTAATGTAGAAAAAACTTCCCAAACTAAAGGGGGATATATTTACCTATGACGACGCAGCTTGTTTAATGCCAAACGAAAAAAATGTTAAAAGACATTTTAGAAGAATTCGTAATAATACTAATAATTTCTTCGAAAGAACTTGTGTTAGAGGTCGAGTGGATAATGCGATATAAGAAGTTTCTTGAAGACATTGTTTCAAAACATTTTTTGTTATTATCATCTTAGCCAAAGTGTGTGGCGTAAAAACCAAAAATCTTGGCTTGGAAGTGAAATACAAAGAAAATAAAGAATTCCGTAATTTAATACGAAAAATAAATGCGTTGTTATTTTTACTACTTACACCATTAAAAAGAGGTACACTAATACATTATTTGAATTATATTTCATCTAAACATTTTAATATTTAGTTTCATATGAATGAGCTTATACAATATATTTTCCATATTATGATATTTTGATGCAAGTATAGACTGGCCATTCAAGTTAATTTTTAATAAAATGAGTCCACCTATATGGTTAATATTTGTGGACCGTGCATAATACTACAAAGTTAGCTTATAGTAGGATTAATAATGTATCGAAAAGTTGGAACAACAAGTTTCAACATTTAATTAGATTTAAACATCCACACATAAATATAATTGCATTTAGTCATTAAAAAAAAAAAATAAATAATTTAATGTATATCTGTAAGCAACGATAAACCATTGCTAACGAAAAAACGATTCTGAGCCGAGTTTAGTTGATAATGTTGCTTTATCAACAATAGACAATATATGGTGTTATTATATGGTCATATTATGGTAAAATGATTAAAATAATAGAAACTTAATAACAAAAAATAAATAAAAACGGTTGCCAATGACAATCTTATTTTTAATTTTTCAATATTTTTTAACCTAAAGACCAATATTTTCCTCATTATCTCGAATATTAATGAGAATTTCAAAAAATAATCTCTTTAAAGTACCACCCAGAGAAAATTTTATTTCAAAAAAATTGCTATACTTGATAATCAGAGTATGATTTCAGGTAAAAAAAGTTTTCATATAAAAAAAAATAAAAAAAAAAAAACTTCATTGTAAAACCGATACATTCTTCGTTCCATTCAGAATTTAAAAAAAAAAAATCGATACTAAAAATAAATATTTATTTTTATTTCGTTTCATTTATATCACCGATTTAAATACATGTATACATTTTATGAATAAAACTGTAGTTTTATTATTTCTTTTTAAGTCAAAAATGATAACACTCAAAATTGTTGCGCCATTAAAACACTTGATATTTTGTCACTGCACGGAAAAACATTATTTGTTTGAAAATCATATAATCATATATATGTGTTTGGGGGATCTTTGTTCATTCAGACCTAATTTATTATTCAAAAATTTGTCTGCGGAAAAAATATCAAGTAGTGCGCTAAGCTCCCCTTATATAATAGAAAATATCACCAATTCAAACCCCAATAATGGGGTTATTTAATGAATTAGGAATCTGTGGAACTGAAATCGGTTGCTCAGTTCGATGATGGGTTACATTGTTATATACGTGTGAATATTCTAGCAGCACGCTTGTGTGTACCTATTGTCTCTTATCAATATCAATATCATGGTATCTTTCCTGCCATCTTCACTCCTTTATTTACTTTTATTTAAGTCTCCTCTCAGAAGAGGAATAGAGGTGATGGGGCTAAAAGGGAGACTGAAGTGGTTGGGGATGTAGAGATGACTAACTGCCTTCAGGCATTGATGACTGATGATGTTATACGTGGTATTGATACTGATTTTACGGGCAAAAGCCGAAATTCGAAAATGCGAAATGTCTACAATACTGGCGAAACGTCATCAAAAATCTGAGTTCCGTTCCAATTTTTTTTTTATACCAATTTCGTTCGGATTAAACATAAGTATATACCGATTCCGTCTCTAATAAAAGGTTAACTAAAATATTACAATATTACTATATAAGTTCAATAAAAAAATAATAAATCCAGACATTGAGACGCATAAATAATGACTGAAAAGTTTAAAAGTTAAATAGTATTATTTTTATTTCTAAAAATACAGTATTATTAAATTCTATTATTTAGTGCGAAAACTGAAAGCTTCGAAAGCAATATTCCAGTCATTATTTTATATTAGATAGAATTAAATAATACATTATAAAAACGTAAATGTTATTAAATTAAATTTTAAAGACTACAGAGAGAAAAACTGATTTGTAAATAAGCTCGCGTATCACAATATGACGCTCATAGTATTTAATTCAGTCAATTATTTTAAATATATCTTTTTTTATATACGAGTAATATTGAGTAGTTTTAAATTTGCACCATTTTTTTTTTTTTTTTGTTCGTTACTTTAGTTTTATGTCGCGTGTGTTGTAACCTTTAGGCGTTTTTGTTTCACCAGTTCTCCGGATTCCCCGCAGATCTGAGGATGTTTTCAGATATTATATATATGTACATATATAATTATTTATACTTCAGGAGATGCGTTTCTTTTGTTGATTTTATCTATAAAAAATATGATCCATATATTCATATTTTAATAGTTTTGATAAACCCAGTAACGTGCCCAGGAATTTTGAAGGCCAAATATTAATCATAAAATAGATTACATAATCTTCTTATTTACCCGTTTCGACAGTGAGAATTTAAAAGCCGGATTCAAAACACCAATTTTTAATCAATAAATCAAGATTTTCCTTGTCACTCACTTGAAATAAATACGTTTCAAAATTAAATCACTAAATAAATATTCATAATGGTTGTGTTGAAAGGTTGGAAGGGATGATTTAACCTCTAATCTTACTCTTATTGAGTTTACTACTGGGCCATCCACCCGAGTTGGGTTCCTTGGTTGTGTCTGGATGACGCGGTGATATCATCAGCACAGATATTAATTATTGTTATCGAATATTGTGACTGTTCAAATAACCCGATCCCGCTCCGTTTTATGTGGAACTCAGTTAAGTTTTTAAACCGTATGAAATACCTAGTCTAGCACGTATACATACTTGCATAAATAATTAAGAACATATAGAGACCGGACAAGATTTTATACTAGGAGAATATAATAATAGAAATAGTTCAGAAATAATTATTGAAGAGCATATTTGTATACGAGAGGATAGTTGAAGAACGGAGAATGTTTTGTTCTTATAATATAATATAATATAATAAGTAAAGCCTGCGTAATATATGAACATCGGCTCATACCACATAGTTATCGTGCTTTGGGTCGAGAAAAAAACGAATATTCTTATTATACATCGAATACGCATTATTATAGAAATACCGAAGACTATATTAAAAACGATATCAGTTTGCCAACGACTATAAAACGGCTCTGTCTGAACACACACATTTTTTTTTTCATCCAACGAGTTATTTATTCAGTGACTTATTCGTATAGAAACCTGCAGCGACTTATATTCGTTTCCGTCATTTGGGGCGGGGTCCTCGTAACCGACCCAGTCGAATGATTAAATCGGGTATTACAAATGTAATAACTACTCGGAACTCGACGAACTAAAAATGTTATTAAAAATACGAAAATGCTCGAAAAAACATCGTGTATAAAAATGATTATTTTACCGTAAAATTAATCGGTTTATATGCCATATTGTCCTTTTTGATCGCAATAAAATTACCAAAAATGTGGAAAACCATGTAAAAAACCACCAAATAAAAATTTAACTTGGGCGAATATTTTATACGTATGGAAAAAAATGTCTCGAGATCATGTTTTTAATTATATCGGTTATAATTTTTCAGGTAATAATGTGGACTAAGCATAAAAAAGTAACAAATAAAGGTAAAAGCAAAAAAAAAAAAATGTTCTAAAAAAATTGGACAAACGACGAAAAATGCAAAATAAAAATTCATTGTAGACAATGTACATGCCATGAAACATTCTATACATAGATTTATTTAAATGCATCAGTGACGTAACAGTACTGACACAAATATGGATAGAATTTTTTTTCTAAATATCGATATGTTATGCATCGATAGATCAAGTTGGGGAAAATTAAAGTATCGATTAGTTATCGATAACAACGAGTGGTTGTCATACCGTATGAAATTTTACTTTGTTTAGTGACAAGTTTAAATCAGACAATTTCTATTCGTTTTATATCAGATTTTTTTATTTTACATTATATTTTTCTGGCCTATAAGAACGAATAACGATGAATGATCATTGTGTAATCAATAGTTTTACTATCGATTACATATATTACTAATACGAATCGATGAAATATCTAAAAGAATCCACAAAAAATGTATTAGTTTAGTACTTTTTAACAAAAAGTACTAAGCATAAAAAATTGTTATGTTTCCATAAAAATATCGCTGATATTGTCGAACACCGACAAATTTTACCGTCATCGGACCGTGAACGTGCATACGATATTTTTCATATTTCACGGCCGTGGTTCGTTCGTGATTATTGAGTTTAGCGACGGCGGCGTGGAGGTAGAACAGCGAGAAAAAAACTGATAAGCCGGACGAGTGGCGGCGTTGACATCAATATTATTATGCAATAATTACACTGATGACAACAACTTATACTATAACCTTAATCTAATGTGCGCGTGTGTGCGTCGCAAGTTGAACACTCGGTTTTGACATTCTAAAATGTATTCATAAAACGTTGTTCCGTCGTCGTCAGGGCCGACTAAAACAGTCAGGTCCTAATTTTTACATTAATATAAAAATTGTTTGTAGTTTAATTTCATAGTAATTTTACTTTAAAAAAATCAATACGTCATGATAAATTAAAAATGAAATGTTAATTATTTAATAATTACTTTGTACCGTAATATTATACGTGGTAGTTACAATAATATGATTTTTACTTTATACCTCAACCTTAAACTTTATTTTTACTACACAGTACCTATAGGTATATATTTTAAAAAAAAAACAACGCTTGGTGTTAGTGTTATATTTGACATTGGGAGGGACTAGTTTGTCTCGGGGGCACTTGATTTATCTCCAGTTTCCCAGTGGGTCGAAGCAAGGTTATGACTCCATGACCTATCATCATAAAACTGATTTTATAATTAAAATAGTTCTTTTTTATTTTAGATTCTGAGTAGAGCGAAGAAGCTTATGGTTTTACAAAGACGTTTATTTTTTATTTTTGTATTAATGTTCTATGGACAACTTTTCTACCAACGGTCTTGCTCCGATTTTTAAATGTAGCACCTTTTTTGAAAATAGATCGGGGTGGGATGTACTTTGGGGAGGTAATTATTCTGAAGAGTTTTCTCATCAAGGGTGAAAAACCGAAAAAAAACGGAAGAAAAACGGGAAAATGTGCAAAATATATTACTAACATATCACGATATTTTTTTTCTGTTGACAACTTTTCTACCAGCAATTTTGTTCCAATTTATAATGATAGCAATTTTTTCAAAAGGAAATTTGACTGGAGAGGTACTTTAAAGTTGTCATTTTTCGATTTTTTCAAGAGTTTTCCCAGCAAATGTGAAAAACCAGGAAAAACATGGAAAATCGGTACATTAATTAAATATTAATAAAGAAAATATGTAAGGCCTATTTAATTATTTGACCATAATAATATGACATAATATATGTCGTTGACAAAGCATCACTATCAACTGAACTCCGCTTAGAATCGTTTTTTCGTTAGCAATGGTTTATCGTTGGTATTAAATTACTTATAACAGTGGCTGCACCCGACCCCATTATCCTAGGACGTTTTTTTAAAAGTATTAATTTTCGATACAAATATTTTTAATAACCTATGACGTATTGAAATTGAGCATATGTCTGATAAGATAATGAGGAGAAAAACGATTTCGATTTAAGATTCCTTTGAGTGCTCGATGAACTATGATGATAAGGTGGTTAAATGTGTTCTGGCCACAAATAAAACAAATAATTGTGCTGGTGAAACGAAATTTTCCCGGGCCGGTTAAAATTCAGAATCCGACGCTGATTGTATACATCATAGAGCGAAAAACTTCTCTTTTGTTGGTTTTTTTTTTTTCCGTATCCGGGTTGTCACTAATAGTTTCTTATACTTTTCCTTTCACATGTTTGTCCAAAACCGCTGAAGAGTTAAGAGTTAAGAGTTCATCCTCCGAAAGCGTCGTCATGTTGGTCACTCCAGTTTACGCGCTATCCAACGATGGAGGACGAACCACTGTCGATTGTTGCCAATAGAAATTCCAAATCAATAATATACGCGTTCACAACGAGTGGAATCACGGGCCGGTCACGGCACTGTCACGTACTCGCGTCATTGATATAGTGCGATTAGACCCTAATTCCCCATGCGTATAAAAAAAAATATATTGTAAAGTCCGATACACGTTTGGGCCTCGGTTCGATGTCACTTATATTGTAACCCATACCAGAAAAAAAAAAAAATAAAAAAACCAAATATTTTTATTAAAATAATAATTTACAACGTCTAATTATTTAATTCGCCCCATTAAACATAGTTTGTGGCGAGGTAAATGTTAGGATACAACTGATTTATGTATATTCACATTATTTAAGCTACTTGTATTCTATTTCCGTGTACAATTAAAGTTCAAGTAACAGCCAGTTTACAATATTTGTTTTTATTAAAATTGTAAGTATTCTTATTTACACTGTTCAAAAAATACTTTTTCAGACAAAGCGGCATAGCGTTGAAATTTTCTCGCTATCTTATCTAAGAACTTATACTATATGATACTTATACCTATACTTTTATTTGTATAACTAGCACGCATGTCAGAGGCGATGTTTTATCGTTTACCGTCTTGTTTAGTAGTAATTTTATTTATTTGATGTACAATGGAAAACTGCCTGTACGAATACCTGACCGGAAGAACTTTAAGTTCTTTATAATTTAACGAAGTCGGTCCATTTAAATCCTTTTTCTTAAGACATAGTTTTCCGTTTTTAGCATTATTTTCTTTGTAAATATCATATGATTACTATATAATAGTTAATTATATATATATATATATATGCACATTGGGTGAGGGGCAGGAAGGGGACATGTCCCCCCTGGCTTTTCCGTGTCTATTATACATTTATTTATTATAGTTATAATAGATACTATTGTAGGAAATAGGAATACAGTCGTATGTGTTATGCTACGTGAACTTACACGTACCAGTTAATACGTTAACAGAAAAGGTAAATACTATTGAACAAATACAGTGTGCCCCCCCCCAACCCCCGGATTTTCGAAGACTGACGCCCTTGTAAATATGACTTTATCGGTAGTTATCTAACAACGAAACACAGCAGTTGGAAAAACGTTCGGTACTTTTTTTTAACCCAAAAGCTCCGGGAATTGTTTGTTTTCGCTTTTAAACGTCAATAGGAACTGTATAAATATGATCACCCCTCGGAACACGTTAATGATTTTAATCGAATTTGCTGAACGTTCCGAACGAGGTGTTCAAAACACTCCGTAACCGCGCCATCCGTACGCGATAAATGCCGCAGAATACGGGCAATAATAATAATAAATAACAACAACGATATAGGTTACGCCGTGGGTTATAGGTATACGCTTCCGTTCGCGATCCGACGGGACCGACGACAACGCGTGTCCCTATCACTCCGCCTCCTGTCCCCGGACGAGCCGTACGGCCCGCGCGTCTTGCGCGCACACCTCCCGCCCGACCACGGCGGCGGCGGCGGCGGCGGCGGCGCGGCGCAATAGTTTTGTAACTTTCCTGCTGCGCCCGTACGCGCGATACGTAAATACGTTTAATATCCGCAGTCGCGGAGGCAGGTATAACGTTAATATAACAGCGCGCTGTTATTATTGTTATTATCGTCTGTTCGATCCGTCTTCTCTCTGCTGCCGCCGCTGCTGCTGCGTCAGAACGCTCTCTCGGGTCGTTGATCTCCGGTCGCATAGGTATATATATATGTATATGTATATATTAGTGTACAATAATATACATCCGTAGGTATATATTATTATATTCACGCGCATATATACATAAATATATATATATATATATACGTGCGTACACGCCATTTCGATGGGTGACCGGGAGACGATATATTACGTTGCTCCGGCGTACGCTACGGACGGACGGCGACACAGAGTGGGGAACTATCGCTGCCTGTATAATACGACCGAGCATACACAACAATAATGCGTACACGACGAGTGCGACTGCGGTATGTGTATACCGCTCGTATTATAATAGGCCTCGTGTATATTATGGACGTATTATTATGTTATGCGCGCGCGGCGGCGGCGGCGGCGGTTGTACACGACGACCGGCGGCCAAACTGCGCGCGTAATAACACGAAAATATATGGGAAGAAAAAAAAAAAATAATGTAAAAAAAAAAAAAAAAAAAAAAAAATAATACGTTTATTATTGTGAAATACCGCTCGCGCCGCGCGCCGCGGCCTACGCGACGCGCGCTTTCGGCCGGCTCGGCCGGCGGCGGGTCGGCGGCCGCGGTCGACCGGACCGTGTGTCCGTTTCTGAAAACCCGAGACGCGAGCGAACTCGGCGGCGGCGGCGGCGGCGGCGGCGGGACGACGACGACGGCGTTTGGGCCGGCGAACGATAATTCGCGCGCGCGAGTTTTCCCGCCGTCCGATGTACGCGGATCGACCACAATGACCAATTACGCGTCGCCGCGTTAATTTTTCCCCGTTCCCGGCGCGTTTTAATTTCCCGGCGTCGCGCAGTGCACAGTTTTACGGTACGGCAATATTACAGCGTGACACACGGGCGCGTGCGTACGCGTATCGCATTGTAATATCGTCGCCGTTTGCACAGGTGCAGACGACGGGCTCGCGGCGTTTTCCGGTGTCGGCGGTGCGAAACATTACCGCCGTCGATCGGCGGCGCGGATATAGGAGTTGGTTTTTTATTTTTTTTTTTTTTTATCGTTCCTACGGGTCGGCGCGGGTAGAGGGACGGACCCGAAATCGTTCGCGTTAATTTTGAACGATGACGAACACGCGGTACGGACAAGGCGGACACAACGATCGAGTAATCGACGTTACCGACGTTATCGTACACTAATATCGGTCTGACCGCGATAGCTCGAACGACGATTCGCGACCATTAAGCATTACGCATTGTTACGACTGCGAATATGATATTGTGACCGTCTCAAGGGTGCGAGAATTCGCCGCTGTCGTCGATATCGTGTATGGTAATGTCGTGTTGTCGAAATAGAGATACGCGTGCCCCGTGAAAAAAAAAACAAATAATAATAATAATATTCGAAATTCTTGTATACGATCGACAAAACAACATTATTGCCTATATAATATAATGGCGTTCGATATAGACATAATATTTTATTTTTTTTTATACATAACGTTTCCGATGTTTTCTCCGATAAACTCGTGATCGCAGGTGGTTCGTGCGCACAAGCGTGAAAGTTTCGGTGGATTGAACCGAAAAAGCGGTTATTGCGGACAATAAAAAAAAAAAAAAAACTAAAAAAATAAAATATACGCACACGCAGGCAGATTTACAAAATCAATACGTTCCTAACTGGCTCCGTTCAAAAATCAATAATGTCACTCTGCGGAAAGTTTGCTTTTCCTCCGATAATATTAAATTTCCGGACATTCCGGGAAACTCATTACTCTCCGAATTCCCAACGCGAGATTATTTTATTTTTTTATTTTTTTCGTAATCAAGTCGTCCGTCTTCAAATTTCGGGGGGGGGGACACGATTTGAATTGAATTGTATTTTTCAATGGTATTGTTTAACCTTTTTGTTAAACTGTGAACATGTCGTAAGTAGGTATGGTACATGTCGCCACTTCCTCATAGCTGTAATTTAATTTTAGATTCTGAGCGTGGCAAAAAATGTATTGGTTTTACTATGATGCGCGGTTAATTTTTTTCTATTTTTATGTGTGTTAACATACTTTTCTATATTAGAAATTTTGCTCTGATTATCGACTTCAGGGAGTCAACTTTCTGGCAGTAAACTTTGTCTAACTGCTATTAAGTTCAATTTTCGATTTACTTTTATAATTGATAGAAACCGGGAAAAGCTAAATTATTACGCAATACAGATTTCTGTTATTTCAGGTTTTGCTTTGGTTTGGTTAGGTTTAGGCAGTTTAATATAATCATAGAAATTCGAAATTTTCACTGAATATTTATATATTAGCACGTCGTAGACGTGGAGAAAATATATGAAATATTAGTCTTCTGACGTTTTTATACATAAATCGTACGTTTTCGATTTTTTTTTTTAGTTTTTATTTAGATAAAATTTGTTTAACTTCCTAAAATTATATTGCCATAAAAAAAATATCGAAAATTATTAGTCATGATTTTTATAAAAACGTTCAAGTTCGAATTTCGATGGAAACACACTAAACAAAATAACACGGTCAATTATTATAAATTTCACTCGTATATATAAGTTGCATATCAATATACGGTTTTTAACGCAAGTTTATCCAAAAATTATGTAACCAAACTTCGTTCAGAATGTCAGAATCGGTAATACATTACCAATGATTTATCTTTGCTTACCTACAGATATAAATCGAATTACCCAATAATACTCTACGTTCCCGATTTCGCCGCGCCTACAAGTAAACAACAGTAACATACCCGTGGTACGAGGTACATCAGTTTTAGATTCTAAGTGGAGCGAAGACGTTTATGGTTTTATAAAGATTTTTATTTTTTTTTTTCCGCGGACGACTTTTCTACCAGCAAAATTGCTCCGATATACAAGTATAGTACTCTATCTAAGAAAATACGATTAAGGAGTTACTCTAAAGAGTTTTCCCAATTAATGGGAAAAACCGGGAAAATAGGTGCGATATTAAACAAATATTATTAAAGAAAATATATGATGTCTACATAATTATTTTACCATAATATGACATATATATATATATATATTATTGACAAAGCAACACTATCAACTGAACTCCGCTCGAAACCGTTTTTTTCGTTAACAATGGTTGATCATTGCTTACAGATATAGCATACATACATTAAATTTCCCCTCTACTATTTTCCCAACTTCTCACCTACAACAGTGGCCTACTTACGCGCGAAGTTGTCCGGATTTTTTTTTTTTGTTTGTTCTGTTGGCATTTTATTTGATTTCTATACTATGGGAATTTCAATATTTTTCTCGTCAGTCCGCTGAACGGCGGCAACACTATAACAACATAACGTAATAACATCGAATAAATGTATGACGGCACTGCAGCTAGAGAATTCAAACATCTCCTTGTAAACGTGTTGCTTTTAAAAGTTGTAACATAATACGTATAACACACGATAATAGTTTTGTGATCGCCCCATTGTATATATCCTATTATATTAATAGTATGTCTCCAATCATCGCGTCGTGTAAACTTCAACCTGCTCGAAACACATTATTATATCGAGTGGTGGCGGCGTGAATACGAAAATAAAATAAAATAATAATTATATATATATATACACATTATATCGTTATATTGGCTCAAAACCAAGATCACGAAAACTCGTTGACAGAAAAAGTGTTATTATTTTTCAGGAATAGATTATTACATTTGAGGAGGAACATTTATAGTTTATTTCAAATTTCGTATTCGTATGGAGGCGCGGTTCACTATAAATATATTTATTATACTATTACTGACTGGCGTTACCCGGGCTTGATGTAACAAAGCCATATTTAAATCTTGGGTAAATTGCCTTGCTTATGGTTTTCTTCGATTGTTCGTATCTAAAATTTCATCAATTGTATTCTAACACTTACAACGTACATCACTTGTTATATTGTACGCATATATTTGAATTACAGTGTTATTCGTGGCGCAATAAATTTTTTTGATATTGTAATTTTTCATAATAAATTAATCGTTATACATATTTTGAAACTATAAAATGGCCTTGATTTTACCAGGACAAAGGAGTCAGAAACTAATATTGATATACTGAAATATATAGATTTTTCGATCCCTGGACTGAAAGAAATACAATTAAATTATTATTCCAAATACTTTATATTTTCAAATTTTTATTATCATATGTATTAAAGCTGGATAATATACTAAATGCATTGTTTTATTATTTGGACAACAAATACTATGTAACTTTTTCGAATCTCCTACTCGTGAACTTGCTACGAATAGTTTTCCATGAGAAAAACAGCACGTATCCAATAAAACTCTAACACATTCACAAAGATTGATCTTTTGATTTTTTGATTTTGAGCAAATGTAAGTCTTACTTGGAGTCTTTTAAAATTTAATCGGACGAAATGGAAGTAAAACGAGGATGGCTGACTCCAAATAATCGAGATAAAGACGTAAAAGAAGAAGAGAAGAATAATCATTATTATTAATATTATTCAAATATGTAGTCCTATTTTTTAAATTGGGTTTACTTTAAAATCATCGACAACAGAATAAAAATGATCAATTAATTGGTAAGGTATTCAAACAAATAATTACATACGTAAATTAACTAATTTATGACGAAATAATTTTCGGTATGGAAGTAATTGAATTTGGACAAAATTTTAACGGGTAAATCGATTTGATATAATAATTATTATTACAAATACTTAGATTTATTTCTCATGACAATCTGTAGATTTCAGCCGTGCAATTCAAGAATTTAAAAATTTGGGGCAATTATTTTCTGTCCTTTTTGTTTAAATATTTCCATGACCAAGAATGCTGAAAGTTTAAAATGTGTATCATGTGATTTTTTTGTTTTACGCTTAACAGAACGATCTTTGTCACTACGCGTCAAATCGAAAAAAGAAATACGAATACATTTATTATTTTGTCAGTTAAATATTGTATAATATGTAACCCGGTAAAAAAATTTAGTAGGTATTACATTATCATACACATTAATTCCATTCAAATATCACGTCAAAATTGATCAAATCGGTAATATTTAGAATAATGTATTATTCATAATAGTTCAAAATTATTCATGCACGAGTTGGTTCCATTCAAATTTAAACGAATACATTTTTCTACCGACCGTACACAAATGTTTCCAAAACATATATCTCAAGGATTTTATAGCATATAATATCCTATAGCCAAGGATGTAGATCGTAAGTACTGTATATAATTTTATATCTATATACCTACATCCATATATCTATGTATAGTCTACCTACATAAACCTAGGTATTACATACCAAAAATAAGTAAAATCTTTATGAGGCTTTATTCAACGGATAGATTTATAATCTAGTAGTAATTATAGTCAATGTTAACTTACCACCAACATAATTAATATCATGGAAATGAATTTTGGAAGATTTTAACTGAACAGACTCAAAGAACGAAGATCAAAAACAGTATACGCTACAAGTCGTTACACAGCATCACCGGAAACCGTATAATATTTAAATAGCAATAAAATCTGCACTGTAATAGAATTTGATTTGAAATTATGAATACGTTATTTTTATGCATATCGGAACTAATTTATAGGGATCGACCGAAAAAATGTTAATATTGAAAAATTAAATACCACTCTAATAATATATAGGCAGAGGTTCAAATGAACATTGATTATGTAAACATGTGGATCTATGTTGAATCTATTCGTGTGTGTTTGACAGTTATAAAATATTACCAATATATTTATATCACTTTTCTTTAATTATAAGTAATATATGTGCGTGTTTTTGCTTAAAACAAAACAGACCATCTAATAGAATACTTTTAAAACCGCAAAAATTACGTACTTAATATGTATAAACATATTTTTACCGTGATATTATAATATCCAGCCGGATAGTGGTTGTCAGACCGACGGCGTATGATAATATTTTATTATTAAACATGAGAAATATTAAGTTCATTAATGTATACACATCTTAAATTCTCACCTACAACAGCGGCCTACCTATGGTGTGAAGTTTTATAAATAATAATAACATAATTTCGCAACAGGCGGAGTTTTGCTAACTAAATAGTTTTGTTATAATTCTGTGAAACGGCAATATCATCATCATGTTGTTATCACAGAAAATAAGGTCAATTTTGACAGAGAAACCGGGATGTAAAACGGCCGGTAGAATAAAACCGAAACAGTATCAAAGGAATTTATAATTACCGTTTTACACGTACATTTTAAATCATAATATTTATAAATAACACGTATCAATCATGTTTGAGACGTTTGAGTGTGTATATTGTTATAATTATAAAATAATGTTACCGTGTAATCTGATTATCTCCTCAAATAAACTCCTTATCAAGTAAAATTTATTTTATAATGTATAATTAATATTTAATACAAATAGTACGCAAAATCTATCAATAAAACATCAATATTATATGCCGTTAACCCCCAAATAAGAAAAAATTGGGCTACTCACGCCTATACTTAAGTAACTACTTTTTTATACATTCAAATGTATTAATTATACACAATAAAGATTACATTAGTTATCGTTTAGGTAGATACCAACCTTAATTATCGACGTTTTCCATTTATTGTAATGTAAAATACATGAAAATATACCTATCTACAATTTTGTTCTCATACATTTTTTGAGAGTGTACCATAACATCATCTGTGTCTAAAATTGCGTATTTTATAGGTATCTTTCTTATGGTTTATGGATATTTATTGTACAAAAATTACTAAAATAAAACACTGAAAATAAAAAAAATATATTGTAAATCGTAAGGAAATTGTGAACGTTTTCATTTATATAATTGCTGAAATAAATACAATTTGTATTACTATTACGGTTTTAGTAGCATAAGTGGTATGAACGAACAATAATAATAATATATCATGAACATTTTTTTTTTAAACTATGTCCATGATACCCAGTATTCTCACGATTTGTCTTCCTACTTAAAATAATGTGGAGTTTATACGGCGTAAAATGTAGTATACCCTATGGGAACATCACTGCAGCCTATACCTGTGTGCTACTATAATAATAATTAAATAATTGTTTAATTATTTTTTAATCATACGCTTACATTTCAAAAGTAATTGTAAGTGGGTACGCATGCACGCGTTAAAAAATACTGTTATGTAAATAATAATGTCTTTTAATAAATAAAAAGATAAAAAAAACTATTGTGATTTTTAAAATTCATTTAAATTCCATTGTTTGAAACGGATAGACACATATAATATACGAAAAAAAAAAAATTAAGAAATACGAAACCGTTAATTTACGGAACTGATAGAAAATATTTTGTTCTTGAACCCGAGTAGGCAACCCGGTACGCATAAAATGTATAACAGAATTATTGACCATTCGGCAGTGTATGTGTTTAGGCTTATGTTTACGAGCGTCAAAAATCTATAATATGCTGGCAAACATAAGGAACTACTTCAATAAATGCGCAAGTATATTTTCTCGGTTATTTATAGAATATAAATAACCAATGCTCAAATAAAACTTAAAAGTATAATAGGCGAAAATTAGGCAGCAAATTCATAAATGATTATGTATTGATTAAAAATTATTACCATGACTTCAAATATGAATAAATTTGACCATTGTTTTACTGCAAAAACAATTATAAGTAAGGATTATCAAGACACAGCAATATTATAACAGACATCGAGTACATTCCGAGATAGAAAAAATTGTACAGGGCCAGTCGTTTGAAAAAAAAAATTGACTTTTTGTCAAAAACCTTTTGTTTCCATCTAAAACTATTACATTAGTTTTATTGCGTGTAATCACACCTTAAGGGTAGCATTTTGAAATATGTTAAACATGTTGAAGGTGATGTTTTCATAAAGGGTTATCAAATTTCACCCTATTTTCAGAAAGCAAACAAAAACAGCAAAATAGTTTTTAATGATGTTTATCATGGAAAATAATAAAATTATTCGTACACGTAATACTTTGTACAAAGTATACATGCATTGAATGCGAAATACGTCCTTTTAACAAATCAGTGTAGATTTAATTATATTTTAAAAGGACGTTTGGATATCTTTCAGTCGACGTTACCAACTTAATTTTCAGTATTTAAATACGTCCTTTCACCAGTTTATGCTCTTAAATTTTCTGAGTTTTTTGATACCAAAAACGTATTTTTCGATTTTTATTGGTAATAAAACACCATCGATGTGTATTTCGCAACTTTATTCTCGTCTTTTCTGTTAATAAAATTGTATGGGTCTATAATTACCGTACTTTCGCGCCTCACCTTTAAATTCATACATGAATATGACCAAGCTCTTTTTCTATTCATCCGGCATTTTTCCCTTGTTATGGACGGACAAGGGAAGGTACCAAATAATAGTACGTAAAACGGAAGTATGTACACAGGGAGGGTTAACATTTTTAAAATAGATTCAAAATATATATATTTCAAAACAATATTTAGCATTTAAAATAGATATTTTTAGTATCTTTTTGTTCAATAAAAAAAAAAAAACGGGCTAGGCCGAAATATTTCGTATAAATAACAATATTATTATTTATTACCATTTAACGAGTGAAACGTAATGATATAATATTGCTTCAGCCTTTGTACTGTGATTCGATAATTCCATATTTTACTTCAAGGTATAAAAAGAAGTCAATATTATTTATTTACACGCGTGTATTGTTAACGAACTCGCCGTTGGCTACACGACGAGATTTGGCTTGGAAAAAGAAAAGAAAATCCGACACGAAAAAAAAAAAACAACGAGAATCGACGTTAACGTTTAACAATAAACGTCAAACGGATCGGTCGTGTAGGGTGAGGGGTGGAGGAGGAGGTGGAGGAGGAAGAGATGACAAAGACATAATAATAATAATATTATCTTCTCGCGTTTAAAGTTTCTATGGTTCTTTTTTGTCTCGCAGTGTGTGTGACGTGTGTTTTGTAATCGTATACGGATGATGATATTATGCTTACACGCGGTAAACACGAAACTGTATACATAACTAAATCGTGCACACGATTTCTCCCCTCCCAGCATCTCTCGGCAAACGCGATTATATCGAAACCTTATTTGAAAAAAAAAATGATTCGATATTTTTCGACGCGGTGTGTATAATAATAATAATAATACATTTACCGTTTAACCCAATTTAGCGAGTTTGTACAATATTATTACAACGCGTTTAAACTCTTTTCGAAAAAAATTCACTTAAATGGATTTGTATATGATTATGATGCATCTATGAGCGTAATAATATGTATATATTTTTTTTTACAGATTTTTTTCGTAGCTCTTAACTTCATCTCGTTCAACGACAGTAATTGGTGATATCGCGCACTACTGCAGCTGCAGTATACTTGTTAAAAGAACATTTTACAGAATTCGACGCGGATACGTTTTTTTTATTTTTGACGACGCCAACTTTGAACAATATACATTGTCGTCTTTTATAAAATACCGGATCTTGATGGCATAAAAATGTTAAACGAATTGCGCAAAAAAAAAAAAAGACGTTAAAAATGTCACTATAATAATATTCGTTTTGTGTGATATAATAGCTGAATGATTGCCTATATTGATCGCTAGTAATAATGCACATAAAAATGAAAAAAATAAGTGCTGATACTGACGATGGGTGCTATTGTAATTGGGGGAAGTGGGATACATAAAGTTATTTAATTAATACCTGTGACCAACGATTGTAATTATTGATAACAAAAAACAATTCAAAGTTCAATTATATACCCACAAAATACCCACAGAATACCCACCAAACAAAAAAATCACGTAAAAAAACTCGTTAAATTAAAATGTCTGTAAATAGCTCAAAAATAACTCAAGTATTTTGAAAATTTTACTAAATCTAGAAAAAGTAAGTACATATTTTCTGCCAGAATTTCAAGTATCTACGAATATTTCAAACTGAACTACAACGAAAAACAAACTTAAACATAATAGAATCATTGTTTTTGTAAAATTTCCCTTTTTTTCGAAGTTTTGCTCAATTATTAAAAAAAACTACAAAGAAAATCAAAAAACGACTTTATCTGTCAAGGGCTATGTATTAAAAGGAACAAAATTGATAACTAATCATTTTTCAATTGAAGTAATATTTCTGGTAGAAAACTTAAGTATAAGGCTGTCTACACACAGAGCTATTCATTAGAAACTAATTACTGACACAAATCATTAACCAGTCTGCATCGAGTCACTCGTATGTTATTCAATGGAACACAACAGAGGCGCTACTGGTTACTAATTAGTAACTAACGCGTTAGTGATCAATTCCAACTGATTCAACTGTCGAGGATTAATTATAATAATTAAGAAAAATTATTTAAAATATTTTTACGAATATGTTTTAAGATCAAATTTTGATGAAAATCGTAAAAATTACGTTATTTCAAAGCATGTGTAACTGAACTTCGTTCAGAAACGTATTTTGTCAGCAATGGTTTCTCGTTGTTTATAAATTAACAAGAAATTAGTTTATATACCCTAAACCTTCCCAACTTTCTGCGTACATCAGTGGCGCATTCATCAGCAGTATCAATTATTTTACTATAAGTTACTATAATAAAGTTGTTTTTTTTTTTTGGTTTTAAATTATTTTAGAGCAAAAGGAAAAAAAAATTCAAACGCAATCTAATTAAGAACTAGTGGTTTTTTAGTGTAACGTTGCTACGACGATCGCATTCATATTATACATAGTCGTCTACATATTGTTGTATACTAATTTATTCATATTTCATCGGAGGTACGGTACTAAGGCCATTAGTCCAACTGGTCCGATGTAGGCGTATACCTGCACACTTAAACAACAAAACCATTAACTAGGTTTATACATTTATAATACGATTTGAACGCGAAATTGAATAATACTACTATGAGTATAATTTTTTTTTTATTATTCATCTGATTACCTAGGTATTCTTATTATTATTTCACAGTGCTGAATTGTGGACGATTACCGCGTAGGATGTTCGGTCTTTGTAGCTATTATATGTGAATAATTGCTGATAAAAAAAAAAAAATGAAACCCTTATACTTAATGTTATTTTTTTAAAATACAATAAATTCAAAAAGTGATACCCAAAAGGTACACAAAATCATATACACAAACGGTTTGTTGTTAATATAATAATAATTTAATAAATAATTAAATTCGGAATTAATATTCATCAGTGAAAAAAAAAATTTAAAACATATACTATTATATTCGTGTTTTAAAATGCACAATTGGAAAAAATAGCATTGTGAAATAAATAACTTTCGAAGGAAAAAAAATTGGAAAAATCTCATCACGGGGATCGCGGGAAGGATACCACGTGGGTATCACAGCCTCTTAAGAACAAAATATAAAATATCCCTGGTAGTAAATTATGTCAAAAAAAAAAGTATTAAAAATAATACTTTTTTAAGTGATATTATAACCTTATAATATTTTTAACAGGTAAAAAATAAATAATCGCTATTGTATTTAAACACAAACTATTGTACTAAATAAAAATAATTAAAACACATTTTTTTTAAAATATGTATTTGGAAAGTTTTAAAACGTATTTTTTTTTTTTTACAACACATTATTTTTACAAAAACATTTTTTTACGATAAAAATATTAAAGTTTGTTAAAATATACAATATAATATTAATTGAATCCGTTAAAAAATTTGTAAAAGGTTAAAAAAATATAACCTATATAAAACCAGTAAATAATTTCATAAGCCTATATTTTTATTCGATTATCCTTTAACGCGTTTACCATAAAACCTTTTTGACGATTTCATTAAAGTTTATAACACTATATTATTATGATATTTTTTCAATTGAAAAAAATTCCAATAATTTATTTGCGGGAAAATGCATTTGATTCTACACAATTATTAATAAAAACAAGTTCAATTTAATACGTTATATTAGGTATACACATTATGATATAAATTATAAACTTCGTTTATGTGAAAAAGCTATTGAAATACTTAAGAAGTATATAAAAATCATGAAAAAATATTTATATTTTTCAATTCTTTTGAACTAAAACGCCATCAAAAAGGAACACAAACACATCATTTGTGTTTCTTATTTGTAAGCGGAAAATATTAATTATCATTTTTTTTATTGGCCTTTGTCTGAAATTAGTTACGGCACAGCACTGGTTATACGAAAAAATGCTATATAGTCATAAATACAGTAAAATGTTGAAGTGAATATACTGTATAATCTTTGCACTGTCACCTCAACTATCTATGTATAAATAGTTTTGTCGGTATACGACTGTTGTTTCAAAGGCAAGTCGATTACGCGATATGGCCATATTGTCACGTGTAGGATAAAGTCAGTCACGTATTCAGGAGGCGACGGGCAAACAGGCTAATCTGTATTTATTTATACGATGCACTACCCATAATGACAGAGTAAAAGGTACAAAATCATCTTTAAGACCCGCTGACCCGATTAAATCCGCCGAGATTACGCGACTGGGCACACCGTCACTGGACAAATTGAGGTGAATGTTAGGTATTTTAGTTCATTATAATATAAACGCACAGGCGGAAATCTATTCAAATTTCACGGGAGAGTGTAGGGGCTAATATTTGTATTAGGTAGATAATATGTAAGATGCGGTGGCTTCATCGTTTCCGCACTTCCCTAATCCTCGACACAAATTAATTTAAATTTTGTATTTTATTACATTATATCATAATTGATGTAATGATTATGATATTTTATTCTATTAACAATTCAACCGAGTGATTCTGTTTTAGGTTCGTATACAACGCCAGCGGTAGATGACAACGAAATAAATTTTAGATTCGATTTGGTTCGTGTCTTGGTCTTTTGGTCATATTTTTGGGATTTACTAAAAAATAAAATAAAATAAAATCTAAAATGGTGTTAAATATGGAATTAAAACAATTTTGAAAATCCAATGGGAAAACCACAGGTATACATATACCGGAATTAACCTCGATTTCCCCAATATCCGATGTTTGGCACTTTGGCATACACTTTTCGCATTATATGCCGGTACAAAAACAAAGTTCAGCGGCGATGGAAGACAAGGGGAAGAAAACGAAGATAAATACTAATGGAAGTTATAAAGAAGGTTGTAAAAAATATATTGCACGCTACAGAGTTGGGCAATAGTTTTTTTTCTCACATACGAAGCATATTTGTCCATTGTACGGTTGTTTTTTTATGTATTTTTTATTAGTGGGTATATACAAATTACAAGTGAAGTGCGTACAATATTTGAATAATTCAAACGCTCGCTTTATGATTTATAACGCCAATTTTTCATTTTTATTACATTCAACTGAGAATTTGAAAAATTACCTATCTATATAAAACATTATCATTATACCTATGCCATCTCCGCAATTAGGAATTTACAAAATGTTTGAATGTAATTTTTCGAGAATATACCGTTGTGTAAATCTATAAACACGCTTAGAAAACTCCGATCGAATATAATAGCTACTCGGGAGTTCAATATTTCCGTTTTAAAACGCATACTTATATTCTTATATGGCGCATTACGTCACATTATCATTACAATTTGATCGAAATTCAAACTTTGCACGCAACTTCTATATATGAGGTAATAGAGACTGTATTTTGTGATTTATGGTATAATACAATTACGGATTTTTTCTATGACGTATATTATATATAATGTAAGTGGAGAAATTTTGATAGCACAAGATACAATACTGGTTAATTAAATTTTGTAAGAACGATCGGAAATATTGTTAATCTAATTAAAGTTAGTGACGTAGGATACATAGTTCTTTAATTTATACCCGTATGCAACGATAAATCATTGCTTACGAAACACGGTACTAAGCGAAGTTCAGTTAAACGCATGTTATAATGACGTAATTTTTTTACAACTTTTGTCAAAATTTGATTTTAAAATTTTTATAAAAAAACTACTAAAATACGTTATACTTTTCTTTTCTTTTTTTTACCATCAAGTATAACTTATGATGATCTCGTACATGATTTTAAAATACGGTCAAAACAACTGTATCCATATAAAACCGAAACAAACTAAAACAAATTCTCAACAACTTCAATAAACAATATTTATAAATAGTTTAAAAATCGACAAAATGTTTTGGAAATTTAAGCACGTCTAGAAAAGGATTATAATGATATTATGTGAAATTGCATGATGATTATTTATCAATGATTGTATTTAACGGAATTACAAAAAAAAATCTACATGCAACAAAAAATCTACGGCAGTAACCATAAATCTTTTCAACGTTTTTTTCTGATGTTTTAAGAAAACTGTAAATATGTGACTCCTCGCTCAATGAATCATATAGACAAAATTTACTATCAAAAAAGATCCAACATTCGAAAATAGGAACATGATTAACGGTAGAAAATTGTGTTCATAGATAAAAACAAAAAAACACCTAATATAATGAAAATTATATTATATTTACGTAGTCAACTTAACATATTTTGTTTCAATTAAACATAAGTAACTTAACAAAATGAATTAAATTTGCAAAGTTACATAATACGTTTTATTATCACGAGCAATTTTATATTATTTTTAGTCTCATTAATATTATTACAGTAGCGTTTAACACGAAAGTCGATAAGTTATAAAAAAACAATACGAAACACACCCAAACAAAGATAAAAATGAGATAAAAAGAAAAATTGATGAACATCATATTATTATACAAGCAAAATGAAATAATAGTTAGCAATTAATAAAATTATACACTAACAAAACGAAATCGATACGATGGACAGTATTTCAGCACACGAGAAGCGTTTTCATAGAAACATGTATGCATCGATCAGAGGCGTCCCTAGACAATTTTACAGGGGGGGAGGGGGGAATCTATTTTTTAAATCAATAATTACTGTATGCGTAATTTTTGCTTTATATATTCGCCTTGGAGACGCGGATGACACATAAAGCTATCTACGTATAGTTATTAGTTTTTTCAAATGATGATAACTCTAAATTAAAATTGTGATCATTATTATTTTGTTGACAACAAGAATAATTTTTAGACATTAAAAATTATTATGGGAGTGGCCCCCCCCCCTTGAGGACATGCTAGGTATCGGTGTGTTACAAGAACAAACATAGACGAAACGGTTCCGGTGAATTGCAGGTCGCAAAGAATTGATCGTGGCTACAAATTGGTCTACGGTCAAATTGATAGTAGAAAAAAAAATTGTATTATATTGGTTTATAATACTAATTATTAAACAAAAAAGGTTTCTTGAAAATTATTGGATAATTTTTTGTGATAAATTATAATGGATTTTCTCCTGTTTCAGTATTTTAAATATATCTAAAATAACTTTTTTTCATAATACTAAACCGACAAAACCGTACGACGAATTATGAATAATAAATAATAATTTTCATGAAATATTTGTTTTGAAGTATGAACCGGAGAAAATCAGTATAAACCAAAATGGTTAATTCACCGTATACCAGACGATACAGAACAGCTAATTGGCGATAAATTCGGAATGAACGTCAAGTATACAATACGTGTCTAGTATTGTGAGCTCCGCTGAGAATTTCTTTTTTGTTTATTATAATCCGACCAGAAAATCCTATAGTCGTTCAATAGTTATATGTATAATTTTGACCGTATTATACACTGTATTGTCATAGCGTTGTTTTTATATCTGTACACAATCATTCGAACGGTTCTTTAACCTAACGCCTAACCTGACCTGTGTTGTAATAATAAATGTTTTTTCTGTAACAAATACAACTGATTACTACAATAGGTAGTCCTACAATCAAAATAATAGTAATATATAGGTACGTAATAACGTGATATATTTGATAAGTTAGGTACGTAACAAACGCAATTATTTATTCATTTTTTTTTTTTTTTTTCTAGAGAACTGTAAATAATGTTTAGGTTGGACTTGGAAAGCATAGCAAGTTACATTCATAGTATCTGGTAGACACACTTTATTGTATTAAATATTATTTTTCGTATTTACATGGGTTGTACAACAATAATAATACAAAACCAAGTTAATATTTGTTACCTATCTCTAACTGCATCACGCATACGATAATTCTTAAAATAAATTGTATTGAACTCGAGCATACAATTATACATACTCAAAATTAAAAAAAATAGTTTTACACGGTTATTTTGTTTTAAATTTTGAGGTAGCAAGGAATGTATTGGGTTTTAATGTATGTGGTGGGCCTTTTTTTAAAATTTGTTTATTCTGTCCGTGAATTATTTTTTACGAAGAATTTCAGATTATTTGTAAAATATTTATTTGGTTTTATGTGGATAAAACAGAAATGTTTGAAAATTGAATACGAAGTTCATTATACTGAGTTGTACTCAGTTAGAAAAAAAAAAAAGGAAGTTGAGCATGTACAGTAGCTTCTTTTATAAGCGTTTTAAGATCAAATTTTGACGAACGTCGTAAAAATTATACGGTATTTCGAAAAACGTATACACGATCTTCGTTCAGAAAAGTTTTTCGATAGCAATGGTTTATCGTTACGCATACGGATGTATATTAAATATCTTTATGTAGCTTACGTTCCCCACTATACCACTGTACTTCCTTCCCATAACATTAGCACTCTCATTAGCAGTATCAGCTCTTATATCATATTTGTACGATCTATTGACAATTTTTCGACCAAAAATCCTTTTATAATCATTAACATCAGGGGCCGTTCCGGAAGTGAATTTTGTTCAATTGGTGCATTCAAGAGGTACGTTTTGTGTTTTTCGTAAAGTTTTCTTAATAATTTGAAAACCCTGGAAAAATAGGAATATTTACGTAACAATATGGTTTCTGGTGTTTTCGATTTTTTTTTTTTCGTTGTAATTCAGTGAGAAATAATCGTAAACACCTGAAACTTTCACCGAATATACTAATATATTTGTACTTTCTAGAAGCGATATGATTTTCAAAACATTTTGCCGGTTTTTTAAAATAATTTACTGCTGTTTGAAAATTCGGAGGTCATTTAGTTTGTCACTACGGGTTTGTGTAAACAAAGACTTTGTAATTTATATTGTTATCACCGTTATAAGTTTGAATTGACGATAAAATTCGTTTAAAAAAAAAAAAAAAAAAATAGGAATAAGTTTTTATTTTTATAGTTAAAAGTTAATGCGATTTTCAAATTGAATTTTAAATCTACATTACGCAGAATTGTTTTTCGTTTGCGTTAAAAATAAATTTGCCTATTCACGTTCATACACCTTCCCGACTTTCCGTCTAGAACAGTCGCGTACCCACACCGGCCTGGATTAATATTTCCGATTTACTTTTTTTTTGTTTTTTTAGTATTCACGTACATCATGACCTATGTGAACATAAAAATAAATAGTTATAATGTATGTACTTATATATAATTATAAAATATGGATAATAGATTGTAAGTATACACATTTTGAAAAAGAATAACGAGAAAAAATAAAATGATAATTCGATTGTAATATATATTTGCGTAGGAAGACTGCAAACACAAACAATGTTACAATAGTATGATATATAAGAGTTATCGGGTTAGTGACGTATTTATTTTACTTTTACCACAGTACAATAAAAATACACTGCCGTGAATAATGGAAATTCTATTCCTTACTTTTCTTTCTCAACCCCACCAACCCCTCCTCCCACTCCCTTTTAAAATGCATAAAATACCGGCCGATCGATGCAAACTCTGTTTACTTACTAACATATTATTATTGTTATTATTGTCATTTTTGTACACGTCGATTTTGAGCGGTTATCAAAGGCGGGGTGCATTATATGGTCTCGTAAAATTATACGCGGCGCACAGTCAGAATATTGGGTACCGTCAATAACTTCGCATATATAACATACATGATAAAACAACAAAAAAAATTTAAAAATCTTTAGATAAATAACGACGAAAATACAAAAACAAAATCGTCTGTAAAGTTTGACATTTATTCTTTCTTTTTTTAACGAGTAGGAAATATATTATTATATATTATGTTTCCGATAACGTTGTAAATTGGATAACGTCAACTTTTCTTTTGGTAGAACCGATTTTGCGTTGTTATTTTTATTAGAGTGCATTGACCGTTTACCTATGTGACACATACATATATATATATATATATATATATATAAATACAGGGTGTCCCACCGTGTTCAACGGAGTTCAACTTGAGCTTTTAATGTTCAACTTTTATTCCATTCGCTTTTCATTAAAAGGGACACTTATTATTTAGAGAAAAATACATTTTTATTTTCATTCCCTGATTTCTAATTAAAAAAATATTAAAATTTATTCACTTTACAAAATTTTCAAAAAATACATTTTGTAAAATATATTATTCTAATAATTTGAATGAAAAATGTTCATGGTGTTTAGGTAAAACGGCATAAAGTACTGAAAATCGAAAAATATGTTTTTGGGTATTAAAAAAAAAAAAAAAATCAGAAGAATTAGGAGCATTAACTAGTAAAATAGCGTATTTAAATAGAACAAATTAAATTAGTAATGCCGAATAAAAGATATTCAGGAACCTTTTAAAAATATAATTAAATCAACACTGATTTGTTAAAAGAATCTATACCACATTCAATGCATGTATACTTTGAGTACGAGTAATTTTATCATTTTCCATGATAAACATCATTAAAAAGTGTTTTGCTGTTTTTTTCGCTTCCTGAAAAAAGGTGAAATTTAACAAAACACCGTCGATGTATTCAAATCGGATCAATAGTTTCTTAGGAACAGCCGCTTTAATTTCCAGAAGAAAAGGTGTTAAAAACGAAACTACCCCGTAACGTAATAACAAGAATGACTTGATTTATTGTGCTATAAATTGAAAATATCAGAAATTAAAATGTCTGTTACTTAAAAACTGTTAATCGGATTTGAATGTATGATACGTTCAAATTTTAAATGCAATATGTTTTACAAAATGGCTCATTTTAAAATGCTATAAAGTGAATTATGGTAATGTATAATAAAGTTATTATTTCTTTTTTTGTGATTAGGGGATGAAAATAAAAATGTCATTTTTCTCTAAATAGATGTCAGAAAAAAGTAGATTGACACACACACATAAAAAAAAAAAAATTAAACAAATCAAATATTAATAGCTCTAGAAAAATCCGTTGGCCACGGTGGGATACCCTGTATAATACATATATTATGTTTACTGTATTTTCTTTTCCGTCATTCTGTTGTTTGTTCGAGCGCGTCCTTCACTCAGCAGCAGTTCAAAGTGAAAGCTACCTAAACTCTGAACTCTGAAGATCGACCAGTTAGATCGTTCTTCGTCAACCAGAATATATAATAAAGAATATTGTATATACAAGTATAAATGATGAAATATTACTTACGACGGTTTAGAGAATTTAATATTTCGAAATCTATCGAATACTTACGGTTGTGTAATATTCTGACGATTTTTGAGCTTTATGTGGACAACATTTTTAACGCCAAGCAGAAATGCTGGACAATTTTCCACATAGGATGTACTTGCCTACAGATAAAACAAATAAAAAATAAAAAATTAAGCACAATGTAATAATTCTTTTCATAAATGTTTAAAGTTAAAATTTCCATGAAAATCGTAAAAATTACGTAATTTCAAAACATGTTTCAACTGATTTCGCTTAGAATCGTTTTTCGTTAGTATTGATTTATCGCTTCTCACAGAAATAACTTTATGCACATGTATTCTATCTTCTAACTTTTCATTTACAATATTCAACATTATATCAGTTAAACTTACGTCCATAACAACATACACTTATACTAAAACTTACAATAAACGGTATTTTGTAAACAATAAACAGTTTCTTTTTTCGATAAGACAAAGACTTCTAATAAATTTAACCAGATTGTAAACTTTTTAAACAACATATATCTTTTTGTTTGTATTTGTATTTTTTTTGTACCTTTATAGGCTATTGCCTCAGGGGAAACTTTTTCATGAAATAAATAAATATACATTATAGAATAATACTATGAATTGCACAAATATATAATTTACCTCCTGTTCGTATTATGAATCGTGAAGATTTGAAGAAATAGTGTTTCTGTAAATTTTAAGAATGATTTACAAATGCTTTAAAGCACGAAAAAATATCAACATTTTATTCAAACTATCGAAGCCATCCACGAATATAACAGGCAGTTCACGGACAAAGGCGGGACGAATGGGAGTTTACTTATGATTTATTTTCCGAAGTTAATTAAAATTAATTAATTGAGAAAGGGTACGATAAAGTTTAGAAAATTTGACGGATTATATTATTTAATATAAATAAACTCGAATTTGAGTTATTCTGATAATATAAGTTGGGCTGTGTTTAACATCGTAATTTGAACACAATAATTTATCCATATTCAATGTTTAAAATACCAATATTTATTTTACCATCAGCAATTCTCCATAAGTAAAACATTAATTTAATAGCGAATTTATATCAAAATTACGTTTAATTATATAAATCGTAATGCATTATTAATTAAATATACGAAACAAAAAATAATATAAAGACTCCGTCTCATGAAGAAGACTTTTTTTTTTTTAAATACTTTTAAGTTTTATATTACGAGATATAACAAAAATTAAAGTTCCGATAAAAAAAGTAAACAGTGAAAACTAGACCCAGTGAATATTAGAGGGAGAGCAACAGTTACTAAAAATACTGACGCACTCAAAAAAAAAAAGAAGAGATATAATCACTAATCAGTCGATCGTTTATTCAACTCAAAAGAACAATGCAGGAATTCGACAGGGAAGTTTACGGCGCGTACTGTTCGAATGATTTGACATGGGCATCTTCCGGACCACGATATTCATAGGCTATAACTTGACTTAATGGCTTAATTATTTAGGATCAAGCATACGATTCGAATTTAAATTTATTTAAAATGTAACTATAAGTACCTTAATTCGAGTTTTAATGTAGAAATCGATTTTTACCAGTTACATTTATGTCTATCAAGAACCTCAGAAGATACTCACAATCAAAGCTCTATAATAGTACAAACATATATTAATTGTATTATATACCAAAATAAACAAAACGATAACTTTAATGCTGTTAAACGTGTTATTGACTCTGTAATGTAAATGATACTTAGTGAACTCACTTGTACAACCCCCTCTCATTAGATACATTTACTCTAGGTGGTTTACAAATTATTTGATATACGTGTATATGAGTAATTGTGACGTTATAATAATATGCAAGTTTACTATATATTATGTTATAACAAGATTACGTTATTTAGGTGGGTATGCAAATTGCAAACACATTATTATTGTTATTATACTATATCCTACAAACTCAAATTCTCGCCTTCAACATGTGCATCTCAAAGAGGAGGGGTGGCAAGAAGGGGCAATTGTCTTCCCCTTGTGTTTTGTTGATTAATAGCATATCGTGATTTCTTACCGGTATAAGAATCCATACAAGAAAATAATAATGCTTTTTTATTACAATATCTTCATCCCACAAATTGTATATAATTTGAGAAAAGCGTATTATTCAAAAGCATTGAATTACTATTTTTACAAAATTGATAATCTATACAAGCCGGAGCAGAAAGTTAGTACAATTTTTGGTAAAATCGGAATTATCAAGACATTGACTTTATTGGTTTGTTAAAAAGTAACTGTACATTTTTTCCAAGTATAGCGATTGTTTAAGAAATATTTATGTCCTTACCAGCTACAATTTATAGAGCGGAACGTTCTTTATTAACGCAATTCGGTAGAGAACGTCCATGTATAGATAAAAAAACTCGTAGGTATTTAACGAAAAATAATATTATAGTAATAAAAGAGTTAAATACCTACTTGAAATATATATATATATATATATATATTTTTTATAGGAAAAATTGTCTCTTTTTCAAATTAGTTTTATCCCTCCTCCCCTTTGGAAAAAAATGGAGACGTTCATGGTCTACGACATCGTCAATGCAACTAGATCCAAAATAGGTATAATCTGATAGTTTCGACGCAAAGTTTTTGATTGGAGCAAATTATTCCGGTCAAAAACTTGTTTATGGGGGCAGAATTCTCTGCAAATCGTGCAAAAGGCACTGTGTTTAATAATATACGTATATACCGCACAGTAAAACCAATAATACATTCTTCGACCAGCTCAAAATCTAAATTTATATACATGTTGAACTATTAATATTGTGAATGCCCGAGTACTGAAATATTTCACGGGACGTTCGGTGTCTAAAACCTACGTAATAAATAATTCTCGGTAGGTATTATAATTATAATTGTGCGGTGCCATTAATTACGATGCGCTCGGGCCGTTGTACCGTAAAATTGAATAAATTTGTTATAATAACTGACATGGTACGGTACGTGTATATATATATATATATATACATACCATAATAGTTAAACAGCGAAATGCACACGGATTTCACCTCGAAAAAAAAGAAAAACGACTTAATACGATGTTGTTCATAAATAATATCGTTCTGGGAGTAGAAAAAAATAAAAAAAAAAAAACGAATAACACACCATGTGAAATTTGGGATAATCTTTTCCAACACCCCGCTGAATAGGTTATCGTAATTATAATAACGATTGAACGGTTGAACGTAACAATTGATTATTGGTTAATATTTAATATAATACATAAGTGGAAAAAAAATATGGTCTAAGCAGACATTTCGTATTGACCTACATACAACGGTGGAGGGGATGGGAGCTTAAAAGCCATGCCTCGGGCCCGCATTTTTCTAAAATATTCCGTCGTGTGTTATTATAGAGAAGAAATTCAGAAAACCCATAGAATATCGAATACCGAATTACCGCAGATCATGTTTGTCACGTCTTTATGTGAGATATAAGTAGATACACATAAAATGTCAGTAACACAGAAGCAATAATAGTAATGAAAAAAAAAATTCACATTTTATTATTATAGCAGTGTCCTCGTACTCGTTGACGACCGGCGTGTGTGCCTGCAAGAATGGACATGGTGTCTGAGCGAAGTGAACACGGATAATTCTTTACAATATATTTTGTTTTGTAAATAAAATATTTTAATTTTTTTCGAAATATCGAATTTTTTTTTTTGTTATTAATAAATAGGCCCTCGGCAGCATAAGCCATTGGGCCGTTAGTTTACAATTATTGTACATGATAATGACATATTATTGTGTACTTATTCTAATTAATCTAGTTTATTATAGGTTTTTTTTTTTTTTTTTTTAAACCAAGATTTAAAAACCTATAATAAACTAGATTAATTAGAATAAGTACACAATAATATGTCATTATCATGTACAATAATTGTAAACTAACGGCCCAATGGCTTATGCTGCCGAGGGTCTATTTATTAATAACAAAAAAAAAATTCGATATTTCGAAAAAAATTAAAATAAATTAAAATGTTTTATTTACAAAACAAAAAAAAAAACATTTTAATTAATATATAAAATATACGAAATATCGAATTGTATTGCGTTTCGATGATTTTTAGATTCGAAGCGGAGGGAGGAATATATTGATTTTACACGGGTGTATATTATTTTTTTTTTTTATTTGAACAACTTTTCTACTAGAGATTTTGCTCCGATTTTCAAGTGTAGCATTTTTCCTGAAAATAAATTTGACTGTGGTGATACTTTAAGGAGGTAATTTTTTTACAACTGTTATCATAATAATTTGGTAATCATCGGGAAAAACACGAGAAAAACTGAGAAAAAACCGGTCTAGGACATTTCGGCATAGGCCCGTTTTGGCGTTTATTTATGTTAAAATTTAACTTATAGAATTGATATTTTTGTTATTTAAACATATTATATTCGTTGTCATGTTTAGTTTATATTATACAGTATTAATAAAAGTATAAAAATATAATAATATAATTAGGTAACCTATAGATATAATATTAAAAATTAAAATACTTAAATTATGTGTTTTCCCAAAAATTAATTTTGAAAAATTATATTTTATTATATTATATTGCTTAAAATCATTTTATGAAAAAATCTTTACGCCGAGATTGACCCACGCCGAAATGTCCGGACCCGAGCAAAGATTAATCATTGCGTACAGATATACATTGAATTCCTCTCTATATCCTATACCTTCCCAACTACTCATATACAATATTGGTTCATCCATCGCGCGAATTGCAGTTTTAAATGCAGTTCATTCGGTGCGCATTTCGAGCCGCTTTGTTTTTGGTGCGTAAAACGCACCGAGTCTCATTTCAAATATTGATATATAAGTTTTAATACGATTTGTATAAAAAGTTATGAATTTGCATAGTTTAGGAATTTGAAATTTAAATTGTTAATTGTCAAATGTTATTTTGAGAGTTTTGAAATTTTGAAAATGTATAATTTATATATTAGTAAAATTATTATTTTTTATAATAAATACTCTATATTATATGGATAACTATGTATGTTTTTCATATTTTTTAAAATTAAATTGTTCATATATGTTTAATAGGTCGTTTAATGTTATTTAGCTTAATGATAAATATAATATACTAATTGTCTGGTTCATAATTATTATTTATGATGTTATGCAAATTAATTAATCATGGATGTGTACTGTAACTCCTTACGCCATCGCAATCTTAGCTTAAAGGTGTAGGTAATTTTTGTTATTACTTTAATTTATTTATTTTATTAATAAAAAATGTTTAATGAAAAAAAAAAAATAATAAAAAGTCTTAGATGCGTATTAACACCGCGGTACCGATTCTTGTGCGTATTATTTTTCATGAATACAATCGCAATCACTGTCATAATAATCTTTAAAGAATATTTTCGTCAACAAATTTATTTTATTCAAAAATAAAATAAAATTTTAATCTGTGTATGTTAGAACTATCGATTATTTATATCTGATTAAAACAAATTAGAATCAATACGGAATAATTCACATCGGCATAAAAACCGGGACAAAAAGCGTCTTGAAAGAAATTCGTCGGAACAACAGGACGCCGAGATGAAGAAAAGTGCAATCCTGCATAAAACAGGACGTATGGTCTGACCCTGCTAAGTATACGAAGTAAGTATCGGGAATCGACTTCATAACTGCCATCATATACGACTCGACTCTGGACACGCGGACCGTGTATCGCGGGGATACGATTATGTCGGGATATAAAAAATGCCGGTGCAGCACGATTGAGCATATACCTTTTTAGCGACATTTTAGCGATTGACCGTAGAATATTTGCCATATTCACACGTTTCCGAAATTTTGTATTTTCACGTATTGTTGCACCAATTGTTACGATACCGAACTTAGACGAGCCGTAAGCCGAGTCCAGCTTTATCGACGAATGTTGTCGATAGGAACGGATATTAGTTTTATTCGTAATATACTGACCGTTATAGATGATTATGGAAGACGAGTACCAAAATTATTATAGAAACAACGCGGTTCGTGTGTTCGATCGTCCGCACGATCGTGTCACACGATATAGCGCGTTAAAAAAAAAAAAAAAAAAAATGCCAGTCTCTATATTTTTAATACGTGATGGGTTCGAATACGAAAGCTTGCGACCGATATTCAAATCGAATACGGAACTCTGCTATTATAGCTAAGCCGACTCGGAAACGAATACCGACGCGTATCGATTTAATTTGTTATATTATTACCGACCATTTTATTGTTGACCCCACGTCGGGCCGCAGCGACCAGCGAGTGTGTAATTCGACTGTTATCGGCTATGGGACCATGTTCATTTGTGAACTCGTACTATACGTTTCGAATCGTTATAATTAGTTGTTTGAATAGATGGATTTTTCCGCATAATGCAGTTCGAAATTGAAAACGGCCGCGGCACTATAAGACGCCGTTACGATTATTATCACGATTATTACGCGGACGTAATGTCGTGTGCGTGACCGCGGTATTGTGATACCGGACCGGCGAGGGCGCTCGCGAGCGGTCGGTCCCGTATATCATTACAATGCGATGATAACGATAATAATAAAAACAATAACGATAATAATTATTGTTATTATTGTTATAGTTATTGTTAAACGCATCGCGGTAGCGCGCGCGTATACCGCACGCCCGTGACAATGTTATCGCCGCGACACTCCGCAACGTTGAATTATATACGGGCCGGCAACGATAACGATAATCGCCACGCGTAAAAAGACGGAAACACGCGCGCGTCGTAGGCACGCAGCGCCGGGCGGCACCGGGCGCCGCATCGGCGCACCGGAGTCGAGCGTGTTATTTATACGTCACGACCAGCGCAGTTGTCCTTTCTCCGTTCTATTCTTTCTCGGCTTTTTTTTCCTGAACAGACTCGGACTCGGATACGGACGCGTAGTGCGACGTGCAGCGGCGCACGCGGGATATATTATTATTATTATTATTATTTTTTTTTTTCGCGGGTGGGGTTTCGTTCATAATGATTTCCCGGAGAGGGAACAGCCGCGCACATGTTGTAAGTACGGCACCATGTATCACTATCACTACACCGAATAAACGATTTTTCGCGAAATTAAATTTTATTTTAGTTGATTTTTAAAAAAAAAAAATTTATATATATATACTACAGGCTGACATTTCGGGTGGCGTTTTGTACGAGAGCTCGGGTTATGCGTCGCGTGCATTTACACCGCTTTTCGATATCGCGCAGTTATCGATCGTGTACCGCAATGATATTATTATTCTTATCAGGCGCGGATCCACGGGGGGAGGGGGGCGGGGCGGGACGGGGGCATTCGCCACCGTGCGTTTTATTTAAATTATTACTAACTGGTATTATTTGATTACTAACGAAAGGTACTTGTAAAAATATATTTTACATAAATAGAAAAATTTACTTTGTCCCGTAATATTTCTAAATAAATAATAATTTTGAAATATCAGACTTGTTTTTAATTTTTTTCTGATTATCTCATTGCATATGGCCGGAAACCGTTCAATTACTATTAATAAATTAATAATAGTCACAGAATATGTTGGAAAACAGCAGAATACGCATTGTCTTTGTACAAGACAAAGCGTATTTTGTATTTCATAAACGTATTTTTACGTACCCATCAGTGGCGTAATTTGGTAATGTCATAGTGCAATAATCCTTAATAGTCCTTTTAGTGCAATAAATGTATGTAACTACGCAGTGGCATAGCTAAGATTATGTAATGGGGAGTGGGGTTGAAGTATAAATTATAATATTAGCTTTTTACAGTTTTAGATACTGTGTGGAGCGAGAAATGCATTGGTTTTACAATGACGTTTATTTATGTATTTTTTTCTGTAGACACTTTTTCTACCAGAAATGTTGTCCCGATTCACAATGGTAACACTTTTTCTAAATGGAAATCTGGGGAGGTCATTTTTGATTTTTCCAATAAATTGGGAAAACCGAGAAAAAACATGGGAAAAACGGAAAAATAGGTACGATATTAGAGAAAATATATAATTAATGCACATGTAATTATTTTACTGTAATACGATTGACAAAGCAACATAATCAACGCTCAGAATCGTTTTTTCGTTAGTAATGGTTTATCGTTCCTTACAGATATACATTAAATCACTTTGGCAGGGCAGTATGTACAGCTAGCATAGGGGAATTCGGGTTTTTTTTTTTTATTATTTCTATAAAATAATGACTAAAAATTATATTAGATAATAATATTTATAGTTAAATAAGTACATAAATGTAGTTCCCCAGTCTTTGAGAAAAAAAAAAAAAGTGTTGTGGGGATACGACATCCAATCCTCCCCCCCCCCACCACCGTAGTTATGCCGCTGGTACATATGTCATATTAATATATTATACGACTCGTTCATTCGTGTAGTTGTATACTCGTATATCATTAATTTCACGAATTTATAGAAATAATACAAATAATTGGCCTCCAATACATGTTAAATTGGAAAAAAAGGTAATTTCATTTTTCAAAAATTTTCCCTCCCCTTCTTGGGCGACTTCTGGATCCGTTAATCCGCTACTGATTGTTATTATTGTCGTACGGGCGTATACAGGCGAATAATAATACAATTACGTCGAATAATTATTACGGGAAATATGCAATTTCCAATTGAGTTAACGGACACGCGGAGGCATTCGGCATATACGTCGGTACATCTATTACAACAATAATAATACGCATACAATACGATATTATACCGGGAGGTGCATATTATAGGTATTCTATTGTGTTTGTACCCTGTATATTATATTGTTATAATGGGTTAGGCGTGTACTGTCATATATTAGAAATTAGAAATCACCGGAGAAATCGAAAACGTATAGTCCTTCACAATATTATTTCTCGCCGGTGCCTATACAATATATTGTACGTATGTTAACCAACTGTTGTTATTATAATATTATATTCGCCGTACACACAAAAACAAATTTTTAAAAAAAAATGGTAAAATATGATTTTATGATTTCATAATATTACGGTTTTGAAAATAGCGAAACGCAATTAATCGCCGGCAGGGGCGGACGCGGGGGAAAATTTCGCGAGGTCGAAAAAATAAGCGTTAATACCGTTTTATAATTTTCAATGAAATAATAATATATTATGTTATATTTTTATCGATTATACAATTCAGTGGTGGATATCGTGGTATTTTTTTTGGGGGGGGGGGAATGGGGGCGAAATTGTAAAATACAGATAAAGATAATAATCAAGCAGGGGCGGAGTGTGATCTGAATTAATTTCTGGAAATATTATTATTTTGACGTCGATCTTTCCAAAAATCCATTCGGAATCGAAATTTTTTTTTTAAGTATCACAAAATGTTAAACTCTTTACAGGGCTAAATAAACAAAAATGTTAGTTTCCCAGACTCTAAATCATAGTTGCTCCAAAGTAAGCTAAACCATATTGAAAATTAAACATAAATATGGTTACTTAAAACTTAGAAGACACTTATATATATTCATGATAAATAATTGAGTAATGCATAAACATATAAGATATAGAAGTACACTTATATAATATTTATAATTTATAACAAAAAAAAAAACCAACAAACATCATTTTTAAAATGATTAAATAAATATGCGCAAATTATTATGTAGCTTACAGGTTCGGTATACTACACTTTTATAAATATAATATTTATGAAGAATGATTATGCTTAATTAATGCATTATAATTGCAAATTGCACAATTTTTATACATTTTGCATGGTTTTGACAGGTCCTTTCCCTCATCTTCATTTTCTGAGTCGCTATTCAAATAATATATCCCTTCATTAAATTCATCGTCTACGTATTTATTAAGTACTTCAAACATTTTGAAAAGCTTAATAACTTTCCAGAAAGCTCCATTTTAATATTATTTTAACTGTCTTCAAGATATGGTTTTGACTTAACAGTTAATTTAGTAAACGCATTTTTAGGTATTTCATTTTCATTATTAAATTAATCAAAATTTGTTGGTGATAATGAAGAGAAATTAAGTAGTAGTTCATTATTGTTTGTAAAGTAATTTTCCATATTTTGTAATATTTTTTTTATTGAAAACGTATTGAAAAATAATTGAACATTGGTCCATATATTTAATATTTTCCCCAACTTGCGTGTATAATTTATCTATTTTATAAATAATATTCAATATATTTTATTAAATATATAGGATAAGATATTTAACTTGTGGCTGGCCCATATTTTCTCAAGAGTAACGACCCATCTGGAAATATCCGGATTTCCAGATGGGCCACTCCACCCCTGCTGAGTGAATCAAGTAACAACATTATCGACTAGGTATCGTAATAATAATTGTTCTAACCGCAATTTGAACGACAATTCATAATCATTATTATTAATTATTAACTCGTACTATTACAACTACAACTGTCAAGGGGGGTGGTTAGGTCTCCTTAATTCCACCACTGCTACTATATTTGTTTGAACTGATCCCCGTAACCCTGATCCCACGCGAGGGCGGAGGGTTGAACACGCAAACCGCCCTACCCCGCGTCTGCGGAAATCTTTTATTTAAACTCCGATTCATATATACGCGTGGAAGATAAAAGGCTAGAGCGCTGGCCAATTTCGTTTGGCGTTTAAAATTTGAGCTTTGTATGTTATATGTATGTATAATATTTTTAGAGGCCTATAGTTAAAGACCGTTGATTCCAATGAGGAAAATTAGTGCGTTTTTTTCTCACGAAATATTATAAATTATCATAAATATTGAATTTTGGTGAACAAAATATGATGTGTTTGTTGTATCACGGATTCCACATACTCGCGGTCCGTCGTCTATTCTAATATAGGTCACTTCTACGGCCCCGGCGGAAAATTCTGTTAACATATTGTATGCTATTAAAGTTAAAAAGTTATCCGGAAATTCGACGCCAAAGTTTTACTGAAATAACAGATAGAAAACGTGTGTTTTATCTATAATGTACGTATTACGCTGTTAGTTATTAGATATTTTTTTTCAGTATTTGTTTATGAACTATAAGAATTCGAAATACAATTCAAATATTTTTACTTTCTGAACGGTTTTTGATGTAAAAGTATCCGCGGACTCGTAGCTTAACACCGCCTATTTTAAAGTCGTATAATTTCGACTATTGTCCGACGCACGCAGAGCCCCGCAAAAGAACACCTACGAAGATTATTCAGATTGGGGTGTTATTTATAATAACGAATATTTTAAACGAATGTGATTTTTTCCCTCCCCTTTGGCGATACGCAATTGATATTTCTCCTCCAAATACCGATTGATGCGATATTTTTCGTATCCACGCGTGCCAAAGTACATGATACGTATTATTATAGACAATATTCGTTAATATTTTTCGATTATTCGATAATATTTGATAATGCGTACTGTTTTTATGTAAACAAACAACACCACTGCAGCATGACTCGGTGTTCTTGGACGGAAGACCCTTCCGGTGCGGAATATTATTCGAAAGAGACAAGAGTGCGATTTTTAATTGGCAACAAAAAGTGGCTGTGTGCATTGGAAGTAAAAATGTTAGCATAGATTCGACAATTTATCCATATTTTATAATGGTTCTCTTCCTCGTTTGGGATGTTTCGCCATCAGCGTTCATCAGAACTCACGTATAGAAGTTGTTTAGGTATCACGTTATGTTTTCTAAACCTATCATGTATCAGACCATTCATAGGCGCGTCTACGGTGGCAGCCTAGGGTGCCTATTTTCAAAAGGCACGGGTCAACCAAATTTCATATCTAGTGGCTTATGACTTTTAATAAAAAAAAAAAAAACTTTCGTATGCAATGTTTATAACAAAATATTATGCTCTATCAGTTTATCATTTTTTAGACTATTCTATATACTAACACGTCATATATTTTGTTAAGTACTTAACTTTATAATGGATGGAATATATATTAAAGATGTTGACATTATAACTATAACAAGTACGCCTTAATTTAAACGTGCCCCCCTTCCCCCAAAAATACAAATGTTTTTCGATAGTTAAAAATTTGAAAATTAAAACCGTATTTGTCGATATCGGTCAAGTGAGGCCGTGAGCCCGTTGCACGTTATCCGTCCACCACTTCAGGAGGCACTAAGTTTTCACTTGCTACACCAGTGTACTCTGGAACTATCAACAGGTTTTTGTTTTGTTTAATTATATCGTTGTGTGTGCTCTCCATTTTGACGAGCGATGTTAAAAAAAAAAAAAAAAAAAACGATCTATAAATCATAGATAAAACACTCGTTTTCTATATTGAATATTGATTATTTCAATACGATTTTCGTATACAATTTTAGGAAAACCACTTAGATGCAAACAGATTTTTTTCGGAGTTGTACAAGTGATTAATCAAGTAAGTATAAATGAGCACGCCTCGTGGAAATTTATGTGGTAACGTCACGCGTAATTTTTCAAACGACCATATCTAATGAACGGAGTGGTGGCTACATATTTTTTTAACGGTGACTAATTTTTAGTTATACCAAGTGCTAACGATTAAACCCATAGTAATTTTTTTCTTGGACGGTCCTTCATTTAGGAATTCATGATCCTGTTAATTTAAGCTTCTTACGATAATATTATTCGATATCAATGCGTCCCAGTGTTTTTATTAGAATTTCTCTATACATTTGTTCCATAAGAATAAGTATGTAATGCACTATACTCATAGGCGCACATTTGGTGTAAATTTAAGAAGTACTTGAATAATTTATGGTACAAATATCCGTGTGGGGCTTTGCCTCCCACACCCCCTAATACTACAATAGTTTCAAATTTGTTTAGAAATATAATAAACCAAAACTTCAATTAATTGTACTTGTATATATAAACAAATGAATAACTTAATTATAAAGTTTAAATTTTTTAAATGTTAATAATATAACATAATATCGCTATACTGTTTATTTATATTAAACAACTAAACTATGTATAGTTTATACAAGAATAGATCGTTCGCATAATTTATTATGCATTTAAAATATATAAAAAAAAAAATTGTAATTTATAATTGCTAATCAATGTTATACAACATTTAATTTTCTATACTGCAAATGTTTGCAGTAAAATTTCGTGAAATTGTATGGTCAAGTTAGATACTGTATCAAAAAAAATTAATATTTCATCCAAATCAATAAATCACGATAATTTACAAATTATTGGCGAAATAGTAAAATTAATTAATTACTTAATTAAGTAATTATTCAGGAAAATAGAGGATGCTTATTTGAAGCCTGGGGTGTTTTCACCCTTAGAACCCTCCCCCCTCTCCTGTGTGCGTCTATATGTATACTGTGTACAGACTATGGGTATTCTTATTCAGGATTTTATTTACTCGCTAATAATTTTCTACGAGATTATAGTTACACATAAACTGCAGTGTTCCGATCATATTTTATTTTATAATTTAAATGTTATTGTTCTAAAAAAATGATTAGTTTTCTGCAGTTTCCGCTGCACGGTGTACACCATAAGATACCGAAACTATTTATACTCGCGCAGACGAAAATAAAACGTTTATAAAAACGGACACGTCTGGAGCGCAACGACACATATGGACGCGAGACATGTGGTTCGCATTATTATTTTGGGTATAAACGAAACTGGAAACAGATCGTTAGTATCCTTATGGCGACAACACGTGTTTGTAAGGTATATAGACACTGTTTAAAACATCCGAATTCCGTCTTGCAGGTATTTAACTATTAAATTATTTTTTTTTTCCAAGCTTAGGACTGACAGCTTTGTTGGAATGTTTAAAAGGTTTTTTTTTTTTGGCTTATTGTCGGGTATAAAAATAAACAATGCAAATCTTACGAGTACGCATTTGAATTTCTTTTGATAAAAAAAATTTGAAGAATTCGGTTTGATTTTTCTTCTTCATGACGATTTTGAATCGGCATTTAACATTCGATGTAATTTTGCTAAACACACTCTAGTATACTTGATTGTCGTTTTCACTTGGGGTAAGAGTGCAACAAAATTCAAGCATCGGATTTAAACTATAACTATCGCAAAAGTAACGCCAAGATAAGTGTATTTCTAAAATTTTTATTTTGGATTTTCTTTTCATCGAATCCGATGAGGAATGAATTTCAAAAAAGCATTTTGTGATTATTCTATGGGTACAATTATTTTTCATTAAACTACCTTTTTACTAGCAGTATTTATCAAGTCATTCTCGTTCGAAAAATGATAAGCCTAGAAGAAATGCTAGGAGAAATGTTACTATTACGTTGTACAACGGGACGGGATTTGGAGGTAAATGACACGCGCACGAGACGGAATTCGGACTATTGTTTTGACACCACGAGGACAACGGCGTAATTTTGACTTTGGTTTTTTTTCTTTTTTAAAGGGGGGGGGAAGTGGATAATGTGTTTGGTCGTGTTGAGTCCCTACTTCTCTCTGTGTACAGAATTATATTTTAGATTCTGAGCGTTTTGGGAGTGCCATTGGGCGGTAACTTCTCATATAAAAGTTTTTAAGTAAATATTAAATGTTTTTTATATTATCTTTTAACTGATTATGTAATAAAAACGTATTATGCATCCCAAGCTTCACACATATACTAATTATAATTTATAACCCTTAGGTATAGATCGTACATTGCAAATAAAGGAATGACGAATTTATTCTAATTATAGCGAAGAAGCTATTAGTAGTTTTCTTAAGATAGGTTTTTGTTTTTTTTTTGACAGAGAATACTTTATTTGAATACATTTTTTAAATTTTCAACAGTTTACCCCCCTAGGTCCTGTATGGAGGGAATCTATCCCCATTATCTTCTCATAAATACGCTACTGCACAGTGGGCCCAGGACTGAATTTGGGTAGTTATGGAAGGCACGAAAGGACCGATTCCGTTGTGAATTCTTTGGATAATTAACACTCGAAAGACAGATAATAAAGATACTGCCAGAGTTGTTATAATTCGTTTAAAGAAATTGTATATGATATATATAAAAAAAAAAATCAAATGATTCATTGAAACGATGAAAAGTACGGTAGAAAAAAGAAAAAAAAACACGAAAATATTATAATCGTATTGTTTAAGACATTATTAAACACATAAAGGTACAATCGTTGGAATTTTTTATTTCGATTGTGTATTGTTTTCCGAAACGCAATTGGTCGAGTCAAACTTCGAGAACAATACCGAGGGATTGAAAATAAAAAATAATCGGGGTCGGGAGAAATATTTGCAGTTCTATATTTCAACTCGAACGAATTCAAGAATTGACAAAAAGACAAAAATTATAAAAAAAAAAAGACTCGCGATTTAAAAAACAATAATATTATACGCGAGTACGAAAAAATGTTTGCTCCGACATATTCGATTCGCGAGGGGGGGGGGGGGGGCGATTTTGTGTGTTGACCGATTCAAAATGATTAGAAAAAAAAAAAAAAAACAACTCCCGCCGCGCCGAATCGACAATACTCGCATTCTTATTCTCGTCGAGAACAATATTAAACTTCTGAAAAACACGACCGGACAATTTAATGAATAACGTTAACCCGATCGCCTGCGTATAACACAACGCGTCCATAATTTATCGTTCGCAAAAGCAAACGTTTGGTTAGCGGGCAAACGAAAAACGTCAACGTTCGTTACGCTATAATTTCATTGCGGCACGGTTACCGCGTGTGCGCGCGCCAAAGCTAAATCCGCCGTCGCGCTCACGTAACATTTTAAACACGGTTTGTAATAACCAATTGTGTTGTTTTTACCGTTCAAACAGTTTTCAACATTTGGTTTTGGATTTTCGATGGGCAATCAAAACGTAAACAACAATCGGACGCGATTCGGCCGTTCGTCGGGCAGGGATTCACCGAGGGAGCGTGTGAGTGCCGGCGGATGGTAAAATTAATCGTCCCGCGGCGCCGCGAGAAACTGAGAGACCAATTTCGGCGCGGCTGTCGATTAGCGTGGCACAGAGGCGTACACAGTGTACCGATACCGCGTAAATCGAATACAATTGAAGTCGTCTCGGCGGCGTAAATGTGCCCGGCCATTTATCACGTGGGCGCGATATAACGAGTTCGCAGTTATTAAGCCGGCGTAAAAGTATCAAACACGTCGGCAGTATTGAATCAACCCGAATGTTAAATTGACGCGTTAGCGCCCGGCCCTCCTGGTGCCCGCGATCATATTTTCGCGCGACAAAACCGTACACGCGCAGCTAATTGGAAAAAAAAAAAAAAAAAAAAAAAAAATAAATAAATAAAAAACGACAAAAAAAAAAGGGGGAAAATAAAAATCCCGTAAAACGTCCGTACACGAATTCGAGTAAATAATATATTGTTGTGCGGATTTTTTTTTTTTTTTTCTACCGGATACCTGCCATTTGTATTGTGTAATTTCTACACGTTATCCGTACACCGAATAAATTACGTCTGTACGCCGGCGACACTCCGTGTGGGTGGGTATATATACGTATATAAAGCATATATACTGTATTATACTTATTTGTACGTGTCAACGACGGGCGAGTGACATTTTATTTGTATTTTTTTATAAATAAATCCATTTTGTGTCGAACCGTTTCCACTCGCGCGAACACTCGACGACCCCTTGTAGCCGCACGCCCGACGAATTGTTCATTGACTTTGCGGGCGGCCGTCCTCGACGTCAACCCCGTCGTTTCATGCACGGTACCTATATCACCGACGGGTTTACCTGTCGAGCAGAGCGGGTAGCTTATCGGAGCGGCAAAGTTTTAGGGGCCACTTATGAAAAAAAAAAAAATAAATAAATAAATAAAAAACGACAAAAAAAAAACGAATTGACTTTGTTTGTACCGCTGTAACAGTTCTCTCGGATAGATTGTTTTTGTTTTTTTTTTTTTTTTTATTATTCCCCGACACCTTGTACCGGCCGTTTCGTTCACGCGTTTTTCCGAAAATTTACGAAAAAAAAAAAAACCATCGATAACCAAAAACACGTCACGATCGCGAGAAACCTATGGGGTACCCGATGATAATAATCGCCGGGTCGGCTAATTAATGTCCAATCGTTCCGGCGTGTCCCGAAATCGCCTCCAATCCGATTTCGCGTGATATCTTTACAGGCGATTATTATTATTGTTATTTTTTTTTTTTCCTCTACCGATAATTAATAATAACACCGGCATTTATACAATTGACTTTGTACGCGTCCAAAGTGTTCACCCGTACGCGTCAACGGGGCGATTTTCCAAAGTGACGATATTAATAAATTATGCGGTCCGTCCTTTCGCCCTTCCGTTAATTATTATTCGTACCGTACGTCGCGTTGTATAATGGCCGCACGCTTCCCGTATATTTTACAATATGATAAACAATAATTTAATTGATTTTAAACATTTTTTTTTCCCCCCGAACCCGTCATGGCGAAGGGGCGGTGAATATATTTTCTTTGCGCTCGTGGGCCGGCGCAAATCGGTCGATCCGACGAGAGAAAAACAAAAAAAAAAAAAAAAAAACCCCCCCCCATAAACGCATTCTCCTTCGAATAGGATTCAGCCAACGAAACGAATACATCGATTCGTTCGATTCGGATTCCGTTGACAGCTGTTCGAAAATCACCGTTAATAACATTTGATTAACGATTTGTTTTACGCCGATCGCTGCGCGCCGAGTTTTCGAGAATATCGTTTTCCGTCCAAACGCGCGTAATCGTCTAATTGTATCCGCGCGGACATAAAGAAATAGCTACACTCGCGTGATGGATTTCCCCGCCGTAACAATAATATTATCGTGTACGCACACGGCGAAACGTCGTGTCATTAACGGACCCCGTTTACAAAGGCGGGTAATCTCCTGGAAACGGTGAACAACGTCGGTTTACGGCACAACCCGCGCACATTTTCGTCTTTCTGTGCACGGCGCGGCACGGACAAACCCAATTGCCGTGCAACGGACAAATCGGTCGGCGCCGAGCGATTCCGCGTCCCGTCGACAGCAGCGGCCGCGGGCGAACGCCGTTTACGGCGGAGTGGCGCGGCTGCGGCGGCGGCGTCAGCGTGGGGTGTTTTGGGAGGGGGGGGGGTTCGGCGCGTTTACGGTAATTCCTTTGATACGCGCTGCACACGCTCGTGCTTTTTTTTTTTTTTTTTTTCTATCGTTATTTTCGCGCCCGAACCCCCCGCCGCAGTCACGGCCTCGGGCGCCCGTGAAACGCGGGAAACGGTTCGGGTGGAAAAAAAGCCCAAGGGCGGGGCGATCGCCGCGTCGCCCTGCCCCGCTAATCCGCCGCCGTCGAACGAACCGGCTGTCGGCGCGCCCGGGGTTATTACGGGGTCGTCGTATTCGGTCGCGTTTGCCGTTTACCGGCGATGGGATTTTCCGCCTCGCGACACTCGGCCGGCCTTTGACGTCGCACGGCGTGTTGCGCCGTTCGAGTTTGGCGGGCCGTTGCCGGTGTCGGTCGAATATCTCGCCGCCGGCGCGGGTAACACGCACGTGACTATCGTGCGAGTTGTTTCGGTCCCGGAAATTGCATGGCATTCAAAGCGGATTGACGTACGACATAATACGGCCGACGAGTGACTTTTGAGGAAAAAAAAAAACATTTACGGGACGGGGATGGGGGCACGGTACGCGGTTTGAAACGTGTAACCCCCGACAAAATCCGCACGCGGCGAATTCGCGTCGGGTTATACGTCCGTTCGACAGGGCGGGGGACGGGGGGAGGGGGATGGGCGCTAGACGGCGTTCACCGTTCAAGCGCCGACGACCGGTCCGCACGTTTCAAAACAACCGGGCGTTCTAAAACCGACGCCGGTGAGACAGCACGCAACGGTATTCGACTTTCGGGGACGGTTCCGCGGTAATATTTGAAACGCGACGTGCGCGACGTCACGGGGACGGGCTACCGTACGGCTGTGCGTGGGCAGCCGGAACACACCGCCCGGGCCCTTGGACGACCGGGCCGACGCGGCGAGGGGCGTGATAAAATCGAAAACGGAAGAATCACGACGAAACCGTTACGCACAGCGACCGTGTGATCGTCGAAGTCACGTTGGAAATTTCGAAATATCCAGAGAGGGGGGGGAGGGGGCAGGCGCCCCGTCACGGCCCCCGCTCCGGACGCCCGTGTACCCGTAATGAAATTTCATCGCGCGAAACCGGAAAACGCGGCCGGCACGGCGAACGCTCGACGTTCCGGCGTGACTCTCCCGGTTGATGCGATAACGCCACGTGGTGCTCGTCGCACACCCCCCCTCTACATACTTACTATTTTCGTTTGCAGTGCGTTTGGATTCGCGATGACGACGGCGATGCGGCCGGTGAAGCGGTGGCGGCCGACGCGACGGGACCGGCGGCGGTGCGGCGGACGACGGCGGCCTTTTCGAGAGTCATCGTCGCGCGGCCGGGCAGACGAAAGGCGTTCGGCGGACGTGTCTACTGGACCCGCGAGGGGGGCAGGGGCCGGGGGCGTCGTCGTGCGACGCGCGCGCGTTCCGGGACGGGCGAGGGGAACGGGCGGGATTACACCGCGGGAGACGTGTACTCAACGCAACGGTACCGGTATCGTAATTCGATTACGTTTGCGATATTAACGGACACGCTAATAACGTTATTACAATGTCGACGCGGGAACGCGTGCACGGCCAACGGTATTATTTACCCTGCCGTTTGCGTTATAATCGTCTTCTGTAACGCGGACGGTGTCGTTGCGCGGGTTAATCGGCCGTAACGATATTTATTATTACGACAACAATAACGATATTATCGTCGTCGTCGCGATAACGATACTGACAGTAATAACAGCGATATTATTATTATTGTTGTTATTATTATTATTATCATTACTATTATTGTTAAACGTTACGACGTGTGCCCCGGGGTCGGAGTGCATTCAATCGTTTATCGCGTCGGCGTGCGCTGTTCGCGGTGTGACCGCGGCGACGGCGGGGACGCCACCGGGACGGCGTCGGCGGAGGCGGCGGCGGCGGCGGAACGGGCGACGGACGGGCGACGGACGGGCGACGGGACCGCGGCGGCGGTTATCGTGCGGCCGGCGGGCGGGTGGGCGGGGGCGTCGGACTGTTACGGCGCGGCGGGGGCGGACTGCCGTACGGCGGCGACGGTGCGGCGACAGTAAACGCGCGCGCGGGACCGGAGCGCGTAACGTATTGGGAAATTCCCGGAATCGAGTGCCTTCGGGGGTCGACGGGCCCGCGCTCGGCAACCATCGGGTCCGCGGCAACTTGTACGCGCACTATTGATCCCGGCATATTTTGGATACCGCGCGTTACACGCGTACAATGTAAGGCGCGTATGCACGTACGCACGTATTTGCGTACTGTCCGTATGTACGCGTGCCGCGAGTGCACGCACACACGGAACGCAAATAGTGCGTGTGCGTACGCGCCGCGCGGCGCACGCGGATTATCGCCACTGCACGGCGGTCCCGGAACGACGGTCCGCACCAACCCCCAACCACCGCCGTCGCCGACGGCGTAAAGTTTTTTTTTTCTCGCCCGCGTAAACTTATTGTTATCATCATTATTTCCCCCCCCCCAAAAAAAAAAAAAAAAAAAAACGGTTACGAAATCCGCCCCCGCCCCCGCGCCGGCCGACATCGTTACCGTCGCTCGCGATGTCACTCGCCGCACGGTTCACAAACTTTTTTAACGCCAAGTCCGCGGACCTATTACGATCCGCCTCCGTAACGCGCGCGCGGAACAGAACCGGCTCGGGCCGCGGAACAAAATCGTTTCGGACGGTTTTTTTCTTTTCATTTTTTTTTATATCTGTAAATATCGTATTGCAATAACGGACGTGTACGCGCCGGTCAGTTGCGAACGGAGTTCCGTCCACGATGTTGTTACGCAAAACGACAATCGAAACAAATAATACTCCTCGCTATCCGAAAATCGCAACTGCAGGTTACTGTCGTTTATGTTCCCGGAGCGAACGGTCGCTTCTGCTCTTCACAACGCACGGGCGCGCGCTACTTAGTGACGGGAAATACTCGGGCCGGCCGAAATCCGAAAAGCGTCTCGTACGGCGTATAATAATGTTGATCGCGGATACCCAACAGACGAAAATGCATACACAAAAGCACAAACGTGTCGAATAACCGCAAACAGCCCAGAATGTTTAGAAAATTCCACCATGTCCACAAAAGGCCAATATGAGCGTTTTTGGTAAACTTAACTGGACAAAACTATAGGTCTTTACAATTATTTCACATTAGCCACGGTGATCGCTACGCCGTAATAATATTTGTCCGTTTGTTCCCGCATTTTTTCCCAATAATTACGAAAACCTGTTTGGAACATCGAAAGAATGACTTCCTCAAACTTTAAGGAACTTCAATGCTTAAAGTGCCACACAGAAAATGTTCAGTATTTGAGGTCCAAAATCTGAATTTTCGGATAATCCGGATTTAATCATATCCCTCATAGGTATAAGTGATTTTAATTTCATTGTAAAACGTTTTAAACGTTTCTGTTTATCAATTATGTTTTAAACGTAGAGATTTGTTCAGAACAATTTGCAACCCCGAACAGAACACGGCCGACTAAACCACAAGCACCAAGTATGAGCACATTGGTTATTATGATCGCGGTTTTTAGATCACCGAGCATATAACAGACGATTGCGTAAAAACCGTAAAATAAAAACTGACAAATTTACGCCGGCGTTGACGATCTCATTATTTTGTAATAAGAGCCGATACTGCTGACGGGTGGGAAGTCGGCGAGGTGGGATGCATAAGGTTATTAAATTTTTATCCGTATACATGCAACGATTGACCGTTGCCAACGAAAAACGATTCTGATTCTGTGATATAATACATTATATCACATTGTGATAAAATAATAATAAAAAAAAAAAACGCATTATGTGTTTTCTTTAAATATATTTGTTTATAATTGTATTTATTTTCCGGGGTTTTCCGTGTATTTTTCCCGTTTGTTAGGAAAACCCTTGGGAAAATCGAAAAATCACCTCCTTACGTAATATTTATTCGGTCGGGTTAGGTACTCGGGTGTGGAAAATCGTCACACCAAACCGAAATGCTCGAAAATTTAACAGGGTGTTCGACTATATGCCGTATTATAAGTCGTACTATGCGGCCAAAAACAGTTTTAGCGCAATGCGTAGAGTTATTTTTTATTATTATTATTATTATTTTTTTCGTATGAAATTCCGTACGAAAACCGTAAATATCACGCACGGCCCTCCGGATTCCGCGCGCAACCGGACGCCGTAAGCACGCGCCCGGCGCGTTTTGAAACCGAAACCGGACGAAACCGCGAAACGCCCGGCGGTCACCGTCGGTCCGCAACGTTCCGCAAAAGACGAACGTTCCGTTGGTTTCAGCGCGTAGTCGCGAAACCGTTTGACTGCGCGTCGGTAACGCGGACGCGGCGGCCGAGCAAACGCGGGATCGCCGAACGCCCGAACAGATGTAACGCACGTCGAAACGGAAAGCGCGACAAACGGTTCAAGGCGCGGGGGGGGGGGCGGACGTACGTGACGGCGTGAAAACGGTCGTTTTCAACCGAGTGTCCGTTCACCGCGGATACCCGCGCGAACGACGCGCGCGCGCGCCTTCCGGGGGGGGGGGCACTGCGTCTCGGATTCTGGGCGCGGCGCAGAACTTGTCGGTTTTACAAAGATGTTTATTTATTGTTGATGTTGTTGTTGTTGTTATTATTTATTTTTTTTTCTACGCGAACGCTTTTTATACCGGAGAGCTTACACCGGTTTATGCGCGGCTTAGACGTTTCGCCGATTATCCCGGGGCGGTATTTTGGTAAAGTCGTGTTTCGATTGTCCCTGACGTTTTCACGTCGGACGAGAAAAACTGAGAAAAATGAAACGAGAAAACGTACGAAATATATTAGTGAAACGTCGTGAAACGGAGTTGAATATTTTTTTTTTTTTTTTCCCCCGTAAACGACTCTTCTGCCAGCAATTTTACCGCGATTTACAACGATAGCGGTTTTTCTAAAAGGACATTTGACCGGTGGTGAGGGGGGGGTTACTCTAAAGAGTTCAAGAGTTTTCCCGGCAAGCGGGAACGACCCCCTAAAAAAATAAACTCGGGAAAACCGACAGAACACGGAAATAGATACGATACTAAACAAAATTCGTCGAAAACAAAAAGGAATGTCAATTGCGCGCGTAAAATTATTTCACCACGGTGATATGACACCGCCGTATGTATTGTTGACAAAGCGACACCGTCAACAGAACTCCCCGGCTTCCCGCCAGCGACAGTACACACGCGCGGACTGTACGTTTACTGCAGGTATCGAACGGACACGTGAACAACGTGGCGCGCGCAATATCCGCGGTCCTACGGATTTTACCGTTGACGACAGAACCGCTGGCGACACGCGGAGATAATTAAGAAAAAAAAAAAAAAAAAAAAAAAAAAAAAACAAAACCCGGGTTTTTTTTTTTTTTTTTTTCTGAACGAGCGCTCTGAGAGAACGCGCGGACCTTTTTCTCATTTCGTTGTTGTTTTTTTTTTTTTTTTTTTTATCAATTTCGTTTAAAACGCTTTTCGGTCGTCCGGGGCGGGGGGGGGAAATCGGGATTCGACAACGCGTGATCCATCAACCGCCGCCGTCGCGTTATCGGAACATAATAAACGCGCCTACACGCGTGTGCGCCGCATATTCCGGTGGACGAACACAATGCGTTCGGAACGGTCGCGCGATATTAATGCCGCGTCCGGGCGGCCGTCCGTCGATGCGCATTAATATTTAATATCTAGGGCCTTTTTTCTTGTTTTTTTTTTTTTTTTTCTCTAAACACCGTCATCGCCGCACGACAGTTTATACGCTGCTGTTTTGCGCCGGAGCAGCCACGCGCGCGTCGCAACGTAACAGGGCTCGGCGACTCCGGATATGGGCGCGTGGTGACCGTACGTGTTCCGTGCGCGGCGGCCGTCGACGATGGTGTCAAATATCGGTGGTGTTGTTGTTGTGCGGCCGGATGCGCAAAGAGACCGCGCGACTAGAACGAGCACGACCGAATGTTGTACAAACAAACGATACTGTTATCGGTCGACAATTACCCATTTAAAACAATAATGTCTAGACGATAGTACGGTCAGGGAAACAAATAAATCCGCCAAACAACCGTGCGACTTTTTATCTGGTGAAAAAAAAAAAAAATAAGTAGAAATGAAAACAAAGGGAGGATAATGGGGACGGGTGCGGCCACGCTGGTGTAGGCGGCAAGTTGAGAAGGTGGGATACAGACGGGAATTTAATGTATGCCCAAAAGCAACGATAAACCGTTGCTTACGAACAAACGATTCTGAACGGGGTTCAGTTGATAGTGATGCTTTGTCAACAATATGTATATCATTTTGTAGTAAAATAATAGAATAGGTTACACATAATTTCTTGAATAAAATTTTCCTAATGTTGTACCAATTATCTCCATTATCTTCCTACGATTTTCCCGGTTTTCCCATGTTTTATCCCGATTTTTTACATTTTCTGGGAAAACTCTTGAGAAAATCGAAAAGTCTCCTCTCTAAAATACCTCCTTAGTGAAAGTTTCTTTTAGAAACATTGCTATTATTAAAAGTTAGAGGAAAATTGATATTAGAAAAGTTGTCCACAGAAAAAAAATCGTAAGATTATGTTTATTATAGGTTTTTTTTTTTTTTGGTTTTTGGCATTTGATGTGAAAACTTGAGAAAATTAAAAAATGACCTTCCTAAAGTACCTCCTCACGATTTTCTTTCAGAAACGACGCTACACGTAGAAATCCGAGCAAGTCTTCTGGTAGACAAGTTGTGCACAATTAAAAAAAAAAAAAAAAACATCTTTGTAAAACTATAAGTTTCTTCGCTCCACTCAGAATCTAAAAGACAGTTTCGTTAGTTATCTATCGTAAAACACAACGTGTGAAAAAATCTCTTGATCTTTTCATTTTAATTGCAGCAAGATTTCCAAGAGAAATATTCCACGCACGAACAAAAAAATAATAATAATAAAAATTCAGTAGTATATAAAGTTATTCAATTTATATCTATAAACAACGATAAACCGTTGCTATTGAAATAAGATTCTGAGCAAAGTCGAGTCATACACGTCTAGAAATGCCTTTTTATTTCACGATTTTCGTCAACATTTGATCTTAAGGTTTTTTTTAACTACTATAAATAGAGTGTAGTCACCGTCTATTTTGAAATGTACGGTTAAAAATTAAATAGCCTTATGAAAAATACTGTATGAGATAACTTACTTACTTTATTTAAAATGTTCACTTTCTATGTCGATCCTATATGCTATCTATATGTTTTTAATAATTGATACCACCCAGTAAATTAATTAATTCATTTTTTTTTTTTTTTTTGATAAATTTAATTCACCCAATTCTCTAAAAGACTTAACTGGTCCAACTTTTCAAATGTTTAAATTTTTTTTTATCCTTATTGCTAGAAAGTCTTAGATTGATTATCAGTAAAGAAAATGCTTTAATAATTTGTTTACTGAAACTGAAACTCATCCTTGTGAAGCTGGCAGCTCAACATTAGCAGACATCGGTCTAACCTATCCACCAAATTTTTTGGTAAATTTTTGAACAACTTTTGAAATTTATTTTCGACAGGAGAGCAAGTTGAACTTTTGCGCTGCCGAGTTTATGCCACTAGTGCAACTTATTTTTACGGCCCATCTAGGTTCGTTGTACAACTTTTTACATTTTTTAGACTTTATTTTTGATAGGAGGCTAAGTTGAACTTATAATTATAATTATTATTGACTACGCAGTAAGTTGTCTCCTTTCTATACCTATCAATTCCGCTGAGTCATTAAGTCATAAAAATGATAGGTAACCAGCTACATGTTGTAGACTGCATTTAAATTTGTCCATTTTTTTTTATTAAAATAATTCATTTTTAGCGCGATTCATCAACGGCGGTTTAAAATTATATCTCAAATCGTTCTACCAACAAGTTTATTTTCGCCTTTATTGTCAGCAAACAAATATTATGCCATCTAATACATTGAAATTCAATTTTTATTATTGAATTAGTCATAGTTATAATGTAAATAGAATAATTGTAATTGTACAAACAAAATATAAAATAGTTAAATGGGGCTTGTTAATGAAAACCATAATGGTAGAATTGATAAAACTAAGTAAATAATAAATGAATCAATATAAAGTAAATAAATAGTTATTTTATTTCGCTTTGGACAATGTCAATAATCAGTAATTGAATTTAAATATTACGAGTTTCCTATACAAACTATAGCTATTATACAAGCATACAAATTGCCCAGGAATTAGTACCCGTATTTCCCACCAGAGCACGTAGTTTTTCAGCATAAGTACGGAGTTTATAGTGACGTCCGTCACACAGCTCCTTCCGCGCAAATCTGCTAATACCGTCGTCAATCACCGGCCAATCTTGAAAATAAAAAACAAACCCCATATACTCTCCGCCACTTACCACAAAGCCTCTTCCAATACCTTCGCCGAACACGGTCTAAATACTATACTACAAAAAGCCCTTTGACTAAATCCCTAAACGCGAACCCTATTCCCTATTCTACTGAATATTTTAATGTATTAGTTTTAGATTCTGAGTGAAGTGAGCAATGTATTGGTTTTACAGATGTGTTTATTTTTATTTTTGTTTTTTCTATGAATAACTTTTCTACCAGAAATTTTGCTCCGGTTTTCAAGTGTAGCGACTTTTCTGAAAGGAAATTAACGGGGTCGTACTATTAGGAGGTCATTTTTGATTTTCACAATGGTTTTCATAATAAATGGGAAAAACGGGAAAATTTACGAAATGTATTATTTTCAAATTGTAAATATTACTTGACCAACAGTTGATATTGTCTTTGTCACTGTGGTCTGGTTAAATTGTTTTTAAGTTTATTCTGGACACCGTGGACATTTTAGAAATTATAATTTAATTGTATAATTTTAAACTAAACTTACAAGACTGATACTTTTTATTAAGCCTATATATTAGGCTATTATATTATTCTATATATTAGGTAGGTATTTACGGATGTCATCATTTTTAGTGCCATAATAACGTTTAAAAAATATGAGAAAACTAATAAAAAAAATATTATAATATCACTGTACAGTGATACATGATAATACGTCATGTATCTAATATTTGGTACACATTATATGTAACTTTTGAATTCATAATCTTTTCATAAGTTTTGATGTGTTTTTAAACCTACATTATTTTATATCTCCATATTTTATTAGTACTGACTTATCATTTATTAAAAAAATATTATATAATTTGTTTAAATAAATTGACACTATCAATTTGTCTTTAATATCTTGGTGATCCCGAGAATCACCCAACCCGATCGTTTATTTCACATAGTAGAAATATTTAATATTCAATGTCTAACGCAATATTATTGGTATCATCATTACTCCTATTTATATTTATACAACTGTTATTATCATTCAAATTGTTTTTACAATAATTACTATAATTACAATAGTTATTATTTAAATTATTACGTTCATTGATTGTTATAATAATATTATTATTTCAATTTAGATTAAATATATCAGTGCTATTAAACGCTATTGTTCTTAATTTTCATTTTCATTTAATATAAATTCAAATTTTTGGTGAGAGAATTATTTATTCATTATTTATTAAAAAGAAAAATTGATTGGAAAAAAAAATGTGTGTTGTTTAGTTGCCCGGCGCATCTATCACTTGTGCAATATACCTCATTGTTTTCCAAAATGGAACGTAAAGGGCTGTCGATATTTATGTAAACCTAATATTATTCAATTAGCATTTAGTTAGTGTTATTCTTACACTATCCGGCCTCTTGGACGGGATCTTTGAGCCGGTATAAATAAAGGTCTATAATTATATTCTACAGGTCAAAGAGACTCAGGACCTGTGTTTGCCATTCAACACGATTGAACACAATTCAACAACGACTGTAGAATTTATTCCAAGTATACAAAATAAAATATAACATAAAGTATAAAGTATGTTAACGAGTGGTGTGTGATGATTGATAATTAAGAAACAATATTGAAATTACAATTGCGACGATATTATGGCGGTTGTTGTTGGGACTCGACTAATTTATTAGACACACGTAGGTACGCTCGTATTCTGCGCTCCTGTATTACTCGTACGTGAGTTCGTGAAATTAGCGGGGGCATGGAAAGTAATTATTCCCTCTATAGTGTCAAAATTTAGTGCTCAATTAGTGCTTTTAAGATATATACAAATTTAAATTAGTGCTCTATTCAAACCTGGGTTATCGCTGTTTCTGTTTTTCAACTTGGCGGGAATTTGTTGAGCATTAGTTCTTGCTACACAATTATATACCGCCACCAGTTTACGATTCTCCGATAAACAGTATCGCAGTATATATTTCAAGTGACTTCGAACCACATATCACCTCTATAAAGTACTCGCCACCCTATTTATACAAAAATATCTTACCGGGTAGCTACACACCGGGTATTTAAATAGTTTTACAATAAGAAATAGTTTTTAACCGTGGTATAATATGGTTGTCATATTGAATAAAATATAT